TGGCGAATCCGGACCTGTTTGGGAGCTCGGATAAACCTAGCGGTGGGCTGGATAATAGGCAGAAGAAGAGGAATGTGTCTCCGGTACTTCCGTTGATCTTCGCCGAGGTCGGTTCTGGCTCATTGGACATGTTCGGAGGTAGTAGCAGTGGTGTTCAGGCTCCTCCGGGATTTCTGGATGAGTTCTTCAAGGACTCGGACTTTGATAGCTTGGACCCGATTCTGAAGGAGCTATACGAGGACTTGAGGTCTACGGTTATAAACGTATCAGTGCTTGGAGATTTCCAGCCACCACTGAGGGCACTCAAGTATCTTGTTAGCTTACCAGTAGGAGCTAAATCACTGGTTAGTCACGAGTGGTGGGTTCCACGGGGACCTTACATGAACGGTAGAGCAATGGAGTTGACGAGCATTCTCGGCCCTTTCTTCCATATCAGTGCACTGCCAGATAATACTCTCTTCAAGAGTCAACCTGATGTTGGGTAAGTTCCAAGTGATTTTAGGTTTTCTATTGGGGGTGTTAGTTGTTGAGACAGTTTGGACATTTAGAAATATTGTGTAGCTTTACTCATACTAGAGACTTGATCCAAAAAGGAAAGAAGCAAATGTTTTGGCTTATAAAGTGACACTGTTAGGTAAGGTGATGTATATTTTAAGCAAGTCCCGCATAGTTAGGTGATCAGTGGAGGCAAAACCAACATAAATCCTGTAAACACTCTGCTAGGTTTGGAATACTGTGGATGAAATCAATTATTTTGCACATTTCATGACTGTTCAAGTGTTCATTGAACATGATATTCTTCAGATAATATTGTTTTCCTGTAACGCCAACTCTAATATATGTCCATATTGTTTTTGTGAATATCAGGCAGCAATGTTTCTCTGAAGCATCGGAACGTCGTCCTGCAGATTTACTATCATCCTTTTCCACAATTAAGAACTTTATGAATATTTTGTACAGTGGGCTGCATGATGTACTAATGATTTTACTTAAAAGTACCGACACACGTGAATGTGTTCTGCAGTTTCTTGCGGAGGTTATCAATGCAAATGCGTCGAGAGGCCACATACAGGTAATCTTCCCTCAGAGAAAATGATACTTGCTTCGGATCTTTATTCATGCCTTTGTTTTTGTCTCATCTCGGTTTCATCAAGTAGGTATTTGTCTGTTCTTCTCAATCGAGCATTCTGTAATATGTATATATATCTTGTATGGCAGGTTGATCCAGTCTCTTGTGCTAGCTCAGGCATGTTTGTTAATCTCAGCGCAGTCATGCTTCGGCTCTGTGAACCATTTTTAGACCCGCATTTGACTAAACGGGATAAGATTGATCCAAAATATGCATTTTGTGGTCAACGCTTAAAATTAAGGTATGGGCCTCAAGATAATTCAACTTGTATCTCCTTGCTGAATTTTCATATTTTGATTATGGCTAATACTGTATATGATCAACATCAGCGACTTGACTGCTCTCCACGCGTCATCTGAAGAAGTTTCTGCGTGGATTGGCAAGGATCATACGACAAATGGCGTTGGGCGAGAAGACGGGAATGAAAGCCGCTTGTTACAATCCAAAGAAGCCACAAGTTCAAGCAGTAATGTTTCTGGGCAAAATGCAAAGTCAACAACTAAATTCACTTTCATTAGTGAATGCTTCTTTATGACTGCAAGGGTCCTCAATTTGGGACTCCTAAAAGCACTCTCTGACTTTAAACATCTTGCTCAGGTAATCTATCGTTATACTTTTCCCCAACTGGAATAAAGGAGTAGAGACTTATAATCTGGACAAAGCTTCTTTCAGTGAAAATTTGAACTTTATCATATTTTGGTTGTGATAGAGTCTTACTGTTTTGTTCCTTACTTTTCTATTCTTCGCATGATGTAGGACATCTCAAGAGGTGAAGACAATCTTGCATCATTAAAAGCCATGAGAGATCAAGCACCGTCTCCACAGTTAGAAGCTGACATATCCAGAATGGAAAAAGAATTAGAGCTGTATTCGCAGGAAAAGCTTTGTCACGAAGCCCAAATATTAAGGGTTTGTATCATAATCTCTGCTCTGAGAACATATTTTGACCAAGAACATGATAGTAATAGCTGTTTTCTCTATACTGTTTTGAAGGATGGAGATTTTATGCAGCGAGCTCTGTCTTTCTATAGACTAGTGGTTGTTTGGTTAGTTGGACTAGTTGGTGGCTTTAAGATGCCTTTACCATCAACTTGCCCCATGGAATTCTCCTGTATGCCTGAGCATTTTGTTGAAGATGCAATGGAGTTACTGATATTTGCTTCAAGAATCCCCAAAGCTTTGGATGGGGTGCTACTGGTATGCTTGATTTGATCTCGTTCGTCTGTAGAAATTTGCTTTCTGTACCTGCATTGATGATGGTTGCTCTCTTTTCTTAAGGACGACTTTATGAACTTCATAATTATGTTCATGGCAAGTCCAGAACATATTAGAAACCCGTATCTCAGAGCAAAGATGGTTGAAGTTCTGAACTGCTGGATGCCCCGTTCAAGGTAATTTTTCTTCCCGTGAAAGAAAGCGCATTCTTAAAATACTCGGTTTGTGTTGGAAATGCAACAATTTCTGCATTAACGCGGTCCACTAAGCTCAAATCAATTTTTATTTGCAGTGGTGCTTCTGCTACATCTACACTTTTCGAGGGTCATCAGCTATCACTCGAGTATCTTGTCAGGAATTTGCTGAAACTATATGTTGATATTGAGTTCACGGGTTCCCACACTCAGGTGATTACAAGAGTTTTTTTAGTGGCTATATCCCTGGAGTAACGAGCCTCTCTTTATTTGATAGTGTTTCGGAATATGTTAGCTATGGAAGCTATATTGGTCATTTGCTCTAGCTTTTCATGTGACTGAAATCGAGTTATCCAAATGCAGTTCTATGACAAGTTTAATATTCGCCACAACATTGCCGAGCTTCTGGAGTATCTATGGCAGGTGCCTAGTCACCGGAATGCGTGGAGACGGGTAAATTCTTAGTGAGCTTATCATGTCTTTGAACTTCAACCGTCATGTTCCAATTTTATAACATTACCAAATGTGATGTGTTACAGATTGCAAAAGAGGAAGAGAAGGGCGTGTATTTGAATTTCTTAAACTTCTTAGTCAATGATAGCATCTATCTCCTGGATGAAAGTCTTAACAAAATTCTTGAGATTAAACAAATCGAGGCAGACATGTCGAATACTGCAGAGTGGGAACAGAGACCAGCTCAAGAGAGACAGGAGAGAACAAGACTCTTCCATTCTCAGGAGAATGTTAGTTGGATTGTCACTTCTTATATCTTGTTTCCGTCTCGGTTCACAGTGCCCTAAAGAACTTCATTATGCTCTGCAGATTGTTAGAATCGATATGAAGCTGGCTAATGAAGATGTGACTATGCTTGCATTTACATCCGAGGAGATCACTGCCCCTTTTCTACTCCCTGAGATGGTAAAACATGTCTCTATACCAAAAACGATAACGTGCTTGATCTGATAGCCTAAATTCCTATTGAATAATTTGTTTGTTTGTTTGTTTGTTGATCACCAGGTTGAGAGGGTTGCGAATATGCTTAATTACTTCCTACTACAACTCGTGGGTCCACAACGTAAATCTTTGAGCTTGAAAGATCCCGAGAAGTATGAATTCCGGCCAAGACAGTTGCTTAAACAGGTTTGTGATTAGTATTCTTACTTGTCTTGCTCACCAAAATGTGTGGAAAGAAAGAACTGACGGAGTATTATTGTGATTTTCTTTGGTGAACTTTGAAGATTGTTCGCATATATGTTAATCTCGCAAGAGGAGACTCGGAAAACATATTCCCTGGTGCCATATCCAGTGATGGACGATCATATAACGAACAGGTCAAAATCCTCCTTCCAGAAAGTCCTCTTTTATCATCCATAATCTATCTGTCTCTCTACTGAACAAAACAAGTGCCGTTTTTTGCAGCTATTCAACGCAGGAGCAGATGTGCTTAGGAGAATAGGCGAAGATGGAAGAATCATTCAAGAGTTTATGGAGCTAGGCACAAAAGCGAAAGCTGCTGCTTCTGAGGCTATGGATGCTGAAGCTGCACTCGGCGAAATACCAGAGGAGTTCCTCGACCCAATTCAGGTACTTTTACAGTCTGACTAATTTGAAAGTAAAGTAAATCTTAGAAACTCTTGTTCTAATGACATGACTCTAATGTCTGGTTTTGTTCGTTTGTAAATTTGCAGTACACACTAATGAGAGATCCAGTGATACTTCCAAGCTCAAAAACCACAGTTGATCGAGCCATCATCCAACGTCATCTTCTTAGCGACAATGTAAGCAAATCTAACACATATGATGATTCAGGTTATTTATCTCTTTCTCTCTCTCTTTGAATCTGATGGTCATATTGTTTCTGCTGCAGCACGATCCATTTAACCGGGCACATTTGACATCGGATATGTTGATACCCGACGTTGAGTTGAAGGCAAGAATCGATGAGTTTGTGAAGTCGCACCAGGCTAAGAAACGGACAGGTGGAGAAGATAGTAGCAACAAGGAGAGGATACAGACTACGAGCAGTGATATGTTAATCGATTAGTTCTGTTCTCTTACGTACAAACAAAAACAATCTTTCTTTTCTACTTTTGTTAGGCTTTCCTCTGTTAGAATTGTGACTTATTCTTCATCCGACTCGACTCTCAAGTGTGTTTATCTAGGTACTGCTTCCATGCCATTGATTTGATGTCATGAAACAGGAAACTTACTTTTTTCATAGCCCAAAACAATTGCTAAAATTGTGATTCAAAGAGAATACAGGTCCCTCGAGAAAACAATTTCAATAAGATAACCGTAAAGAAAGGAATCAGCATTGATAGAAAGCAAAATTGTTTTTGGAATGAAAAGGTCGATCCGAATTATCGCCCATTACAACCTTACACGCAAAGGTACACAAGCTCATATAACATGTCACGCTACAGAGGGATATAAAAATGACCCAAAAAGAAGAAGACGGGAACTTAAAAAGAAGAAGAGTGGTGTTGATGTCTACGTTTAGCGAACTCGGAAGCAATACTAAGGGAGCTTCTACTGTGACGAAGTGAAAACTCAGCCATCAATATCTCTTTCTCTCCTTCCGACAGATCTCCATGGCTTCCCTGTTGGTGCAACCACAGATAAATGTTATAAAAACACAAGTGCAATGCTAACTTGATATATAGATGATTCTATAGCTCTGTTGAATCGAGGACAATTTTTTCTTTACCAGACGAGTGGTTCTGTCAGAGACTGCGTGGTGCATCAAAATCCCTGCAGCCACTGAGACATTGAAGGAATCAACCATTCCATTCATTGGAATACTGCAATGAAGATCTGATAACTCCAAAGCTTCTTCACTTATTCCACTGCCCTCGTTGCCAACAACTATCGCTGTTGGACATGACCAGTCCATATCGTATATCGAAACCTATGAGATATATATTACCACCACAAAAAAGATGTCACATCACTACACTCATTTTGCCTCGTTTATAATAGAAAATTAACCGAAACGAATCTCTACCGTGTCCATTCCCAAATGAGTTGTGGCGATTCTGTAACCGCGAGACCTCAAAACTTGGAAACATTCTTTAGGTGTGTCCCAAAGCTCAATGTCTAGCCATTTTTCAGCTCCCATACTCACATGCCGATTGTTCTTATACCTACACATACACCGGCAATGATGAGAATCCCTAACTAAATCCCAATCCTAAGAACTAAGAAAAACAGAAAATGCCAACCTCAAAGGCACCTTTTGGAGCTGTCACAGGCAACGACGTGCACTGATTGAATCCCTAACGCATCCGCTGAGCGAAACGCAGCACAGATGTTTCCAAGATCGGAGAGACCTTCGACCACAAGACACACCGAGAAGCTTCGGTTCTCCACCACACGCCTGAACCTATCGAACCTCTCTTCCATCATGTAAGGGCTCACCGCCTCCAACACCTCACGGCTGCTAAGGTGTACATCACCGCACCTGAACCTATCCTCGTAAGGGAACCATGATCCTCTGCGGTCACCCTCACCGTCGCTTAAGGTGCACCTCCGCTCCATCCTCATCATGTTATACGCTTCCTTGCGATTGGTTGTTAGGATTTCCTTCAAAGTGAGATCCTTGGGCGATGTTTCCGGGAAGCTCTCCAGTGAAATAGCCGCAGCTCCATGAACAGTGCGCCGAGCTGTTCCGATGCCTGTTGAGAAACGTCCAATTCAGATATCGAAATGAAAGGTGACGAAAAAATCAAAATCGAAATGTTCACCGATTGTATTGTATCGACGAGAAGAAGAAGAAATAGAACGAGTGTGTACATGGATTTGGATGGAGAACGGATAGAGAAGAAATAGCGCGAACCGAGACAAAGGGGAGAGTCGAATTAGGGTTTGGGAGAGGGACGAATGGAAAGGAAGAGAGAGAGGCACAGAATAAGGTTTTGCAGGAGTTCATGGTGTAGTTACTGTGTTCGATGCTGCCAGAGTCGTAGCTTGAGATTTGGAGCTCGATTAGATTCAGCTTCAGGAATACAAAACGGAGAAGAGAATCACAGAGCAGAGAGGAGACAGTCGAAGGCTCGACGACCACTGATGGTCTCTCTCTTGTCCTCCTCAATCCAAGATAATGTTCACCGATTCGCAATTTTTTTCTTCTTCTACTTCGAAATGGAGTTTTTTTTTGTTGCACACAGACAGAATTGTGTGATTAATTTAATCCGGGTAACAAAAAAGTGAAACCCATGCGCGGTTTTATCCTTTGGGCCCAAAATACGTGGGCTTTGTATTCATTTATACGTGGACGCGCTGTTGGATGCGCGTCGTTGTTTGTTCTCAGTCTGAAGTCTGGTCTGACGAATATTCTTATCATTTTGAACCATTGGTTTCTGGTTCTTCTCAAACCGTAACGACCCGACACTGGTTTCCTCGGTTGATCTAGTTGAGTAACCAAAAGGACATGTAAGCCATGGGCTCATAGAAATTAGTTTGTTCTGTAATGAAAATTATATATGCATTTTTGTATATTAATATACACGAAAAAAAAAAAAAAAAAAAATACACGAAAGAAAATCAAATCCATGAATGTGAATCTGAAAAATCAAGGAACCAATGAGAGGCCGAGAACAAAAGTGTGGAACGTTCATGAGAACCATATCATCACATGCAAAAAGCGTATAATCAGTATGATAATTTGAAATAAAGTATTTAAATAATAACTTAGGTGAATATATATATATATATATTATATAGACATACAGCGTGATGTTCTGGATATGTCTGGATTTAAAACTAAAGCATGCTTTGTCAGCTCAGCCTTGACTGGATTTTCTCTTTTACGTTATACATACACTTTTTTTCAAAAAAATAGCTCCATCACATTCACATATCAAAAGAAAAGAGAAACTTATCTTATTTAAAATCTGTATTCGTTTAGTATGATCAATATGAAATACCACCACATTTATATTCACAGAAAATCCAAATTATATAGTAAGAAAATTGAACAAAAACCAAAAAAAAAAAAGAACAAAAACTTAGGATTTGTGAGTGGCCGCAGAAGCAAACGCGGTTGAAGTGTATTTATTATTTAAAATCTTATAGAAATAGTATTTTTTTTTAAAGAATTTAATGATTTTCCATCGCACAGCTACAGCAGTTGAAAAAGGAAACAAAAAACTCGGCTATGAAAACCCACTAGTCCACCTCTAAAATCACAAGTTGCGCAACTTATAAGTCTAGAGAGAGAGAGAGAGAGTTTTGTTAGAGAGAAAATGGCGAGATTTGCGGTTTTAATTGCTGCGGTGGTGCTGGCTTTCATAGTGGCAGCGCCGGTGCCGGAAGTGGCTGCGAAAAAGTATACAGTCGGCGAAAACAAGTTTTGGAATCCCAACATTAACTATACCATTTGGGCTCAGGGCAAACATTTCTACCTCGGAGACTGGCTCTGTATGCTCTCTTCTCTCTCTCTTGTCTACTTATGATCCACACTCTCGGATCTGTTTATATTAGATCTGATTTGCAATTGGGTTTCGCTTTAAATCTGATAATAGCTTCAAAATTTTCAACTTTTTTACTAAAGTTCTTCGCTTTCCGCATTTCGACAATGCCATTCAATTCGTTGAAAAGCGCCATCATTGTTGTGTCTATTGAAAATGATTTGCTTCACAGTTTTTGTTTGTTTTTTCATAAATATTTCCCTTATCAATCCAGATCTGACTAGAACACACTCTTAAGGTTGTCTGAGTGAAACCAATTGAATCCCTGTTTCTCCTTTTTCTCTCTGTTCATTGACTGATAAACAGTAATTTTTCTTTGTCACACTGGTTAAAGTTGAAATCTTGAATCGGACAATTCCATTGTAGCTCAAAATGGGTAAATGCCGGTTTAGTGACTCCCTCTTATGTCAAATCCTTGGACTCATGTTTTTATGGTTTGTCTTGTCAGATTTCGTGTTCGACAGGAACCAACACAACATTCTCGAAGTGAACAAGACAGACTATGCAAACTGTATCGCCGACCATCCTATCAGAAACTGGACACGTGGAGCTGGGAGAGACATTGTCACTCTCAATGAGACCAAACACTACTACCTGCTTGACGGAAAGGGTGGCTGTTACGGTGGCATGAAGCTCGCTGTTAAAGTCGAGAAGCTTCCTCCTCCACCAAAATCTGCACCTGCCAAGAGCATTGGATCAGTTTCAATGGTCACAGGTCTCGCTCAATTCATTGTTCCGGTTGCTCTTTTCTCTGTTTCGACAGTGTGGGATGCGATCTTAAGGATGTGTTAGTCACCAATCTCAGAGTTCTTGTTTAGTTGTATTTTGAATCCAATCCGATTTGAGAAACCTCAAAATTCTTTTCAGAGAAAGTTTTTTTAAATTAGGGAGTGAATTGAATCAGCTGAGTTTCTTTATCTTTGTAATGTTGAATTTGTTGGTTTGTTTTTGTTTGCTTTCTTTGGATCAATTGTTGAAAAAAGGTTGTATTTCATTCATTTGAGAAATTTAATTACTAAATTTGTCTTTCAACTTTCAAGAATCGAGAAATATCAAGTTTATATATTTTTGTTTGGGTGGAAGTGAATTGTGTTGAAGAAAGTAGTGTATATCCAGATTATGTGTGAATGAAATACAAAAACATTGAACTTTTTGTATTGTAACGTAGTTTTGGCTTATCTGTTCCATGTGGTTTATCTGTGATTATTCGTATGGTTGAACCAAATCCAACTACCACATGTCCCTTTCGTAAAGCTGTCTCAAATCTATTACCAAATGGATTGAATTATTTAACGAATAGTCTAGAGTTTATGTCTATTTACGTAAATGTTTGTTTTGAATTTTGTTGGGAGGGATTTTAAGAATTATGGGTAAATTTCATACGGACCGTCAAAAGAATCTAAAATGATGATGTTGATTGGTGGGGACGTGGTGAATTGTAGATTGATATAATGAAGATTCGGGACCATCTTTTCTTTCCTTCTTTTTGTTCGTTCAAATAAATCATTTTTATTTCTTTCCTCTTTTGCATGACTTCAATCTATTTACCCAAATATGGATATACTGTAATTAATTTAGTGGCGTCAAGTTCCATAATTTCTCAATAAAATCTTAAATGTAAGTAATTCGTTTTCTATAAATGATACTATTATATTATTATACGCAAACATTATCTGAAACAGGGCCCAAAGAGAGGGCTTACAAATAGTAGGCCCATTTCTTAAATGCTGAAGAGAATTTAAAGACCCACGCGCGTAGAAGTTGAGAGAAAATTCAAGCGATCGTGGCGCGTGAAGTTACTTGAATGCAAAGAAGGTTTTGAATTTAGATCATAATCCTATGAAATGCTTATCGTACCAAAAAGTTCGTCTCCTTCTCCGACAATGCGCGCACCGCTCGTATCTCCGTCCCGGAAAGGAATTACACGCCGTTCTAACCATTTCGGGGTTGACGAAAGCTCCGAGGTCGTACCTGAGCAACTCGCTCTTTCAGTTTTATGCGGCCTCCGGTGATGTAGCGACTGCCCAGAAACTGTTCGACGAAATTCCTCTGTCAGAGAAAGACAACGTGGATTGGACCGCTTTGTTATCATCCTTCTCGCGGTGTGGATTTCTGGTTAATTCGATGAAGCTCTTCGCGGAAATGAGAAGGAAAAGAGTGGAGATTGATGATGTTTCTCTAGTCTGCTTGTTTGGCGTGTGTGCCAAGCTAGAAGATATAGGGTTCGGTGTGCAAGGACATGGGGTTGCTGTAAAGATGGGACTTTTGACTAGTTTAAAGCCTTGTAATGCGTTGATGGATATGTATGGGAAATGTGGGTTGGTGGGCGAAGTCAAACGAATATTTGAGGCGTTAGAGGAGAAGAGCGTTGTTTCATGGACTGTGGTTTTGGACACGGTTGTGAAATGGGAAGGGTTAGAGAGAGGAAGAGAGGTTTTCAATGAAATGCCCGAGAGAAATGCTGTTGCTTGGACGGTTATGGTTGCTGGGTATTTGGGAGCTGGGTTTACGGGTGAAGCATTGGAGCTTCTAGCTGAGATGGTGTTTGAATGTGGGTATGATTTGAACTTCGTCACTCTCTGCTCGATGCTATCCGCTTGTGCGCAATCGGGAAACCTGGTAATGGGAAGATGGGTTCATGTGTATGCGTTGAAGAAGGGAATGATAATGGAGGAGGAGGAAGAGAGTTATGATCCTGTCATGGTGGGAACGACATTGGTTGATATGTATGCGAAATGCGGAAACATAGATTCTTCCATGAAAGTCTTCAGATTGATGCGTAAGAGGAATGTGGTAACGTGGAACGCCATGTTTAGCGGATTAGCAATGCACGGGAAAGGTAGGATGGTGATTGACATGTTCTCGGAGATGGTAAGAGAGGTGAAGCCTGATGACTTAACCTTCACTGCCGTCTTAAGCGCGTGTAGCCACTCAGGGATGGTAGAAGAAGGGTGGCGATGTTTCCACAGCCTCCGGTTGTATGGTTTGGAACCTGAGGTTGACCATTACGCATGTATGGTAGATCTTTTGGGACGAGCTGGTCGTATTGAAGAAGCAGAGATGTTGATGAGGGAAATGCCAGTGGCTCCAAATGAAGTTGTCCTTGGTTCGCTTCTAGGCTCGTGTAGCGTCCATGGAAAGCTGGAGGTAGCGGAACGGATTAAGAGAGAGCTTGTTCAGATGAGTCCAGGAAACACCGAGTACAATATACTTCTCTCCAACATGTATGCGGCAGAAGGAAGGAGTGACGATGTAGATGGGTTAAGAGGAAGTATGAGAAACAGAGGTATCAGGAAGATTCCTGGTTTGAGTTCCATTCACTTGAACGGCTCATTTCATCGATTTAGTTCAGGAGATAGATCGCATCCGAGAGCGAAAGAGATATACTTGAAGTTGAATGAAGTGATTGACCAGATTAGATCAGCTGGTTATGTCACTGATGTCTCTGGTTTGGTTTCTTCCTTGGAGGGTGACTTGGAAGATAAAGAGCAAGCTTTGTGCAGTCACAGTGAGAAACTGGCCGTTTGTTTCGGGCTTATGGAAACAAAACCGAGGACACCGATTCATATCTTCAAGAATCTGAGGATATGTCGGGATTGTCATTCGGCTATGAAGATCGTTTCAAAGGTCTATGACCGAGAAATCATCATCAGAGATAGAAATAGATTTCATCAGTTCAAAGGAGGCTCTTGTTCTTGTTCCGATTACTGGTGAAACAGATCAAATGGTGTTCTTGAAGACTATTTCTCAAACGGATTTGCAAAACGATACAAGGTTGAGACAATTCAGGAAATTATCATTGAAAAGATCACTGTTCTACAACTCAAATGCATAAGGAAGCTGTGATCTGCAAAATGTGTTAATGTATAACAAGTTAGGGGATATCAATTATCAAGAAGCAAAAAAAAATCTCAAAATCTTGATAAAAGCAGAGCATCAGTCTCTTCTTGATCAGTGGGAAGGTGGTCCATTGTCTTCTTTATCTGATTCATCTTTGCCCTGCAAGTCTGTAGAGTTTGGAGAGTTTTCAGCAGTTACAGTCTCATCATCCTCGCTCTTAAGAAGCGATGAGAACGACAAAGGATTGTAAGTGGAGCTGGCCTTTTGTAACCCTCGTATAGCTCTCATCGCAGCGAGTGTACTCCTGTATATATCAAGATTCTCATCGCCGAGAGTTGAGGAAGTCTCGGCCGAGATCCTAGGCGAGTGGTGTTCATGCGAGGTTGACACCGCGTTAGAAGACTCTACAACTTCTGCTTCTGATGGGAAGAGGAGCTCAAGATTCGCCTCGCACTCGCGGACTAACCTTGTGAGTGGCTCTGTTGTGAAGAAAGGTTGATGGAGAACGACTTGTGTGAATGGCAAACGTAGAAGCCCTCCTGTTCTTTTATCGTACTTCTTCAGAATCTTGACAAGTCCTGGAATCCAAAGATGTTTTTAGCATAAATATTCATTCGGTGACCTTTGTAACTCTGTGTATATATCAGACCTGCAAAATTTAGGGAGCTGTAGTTTTTAAGGAGCACCATCTCGCCATGAATGGTGACAAGGTCTCTGCGAATATCCATCATTTCTTCACTGAACTCGCTTTCTGATGCGAATTCCCCATCACTACCGTTCCTCTCCTTAATTTTCTCGATTCTTTCCTTCAGCTCCTGTTTGCAATTGATGATTTCACTTAAAGCTTCAAACAAGCAGAGCAAGAAGAAGAAAACGACCAAGGATCATACACCATACCTCTCTTCTAAAGCAATAACTGTGATAAGCCACAGACGATCCAACCATATGTAGCCTAAACTAGAACTACTCAACTAGCTGCAACTCGATTCTAAGATTCGAGATCAATCATCCTAATCATCTGTGGGATGTCGATCCAATTCTATACAATTCTTAAGCTCTGAATCAGAAATCTGCAGCATATGTCTTCAGACTACAGAATTCCGAACTTGACTTAAAGTTCTGAAGCTAAAATCAGCAGATTCGATTCGATGAAAGTAAACGAGCGAGAAGCTAAACCTGTAATCTGATAACGAAATCCTCTTCTTTGTCGACGTAAAAATCGTTGAACTTGTCAAGTTCCTCATTGAGTATCCTCACAAACGAACTCTGGAGATCTTCCGTGGGCCTGACGCCGGGAACGACGACGCCATCGGCGGAGGAAGATGTGTTCGTAGTGTCGGCAAAGACGGGACGCGAGTCGATCTGATCGGAATCTCCGGCTCCTAAATCGGCGGAGGGGTAAGGGTAGTATTTGAGAAGCTTTTTCAAGGGTTTATAGCAGAGGAACTTGTCTCTCCACTCAGGTAAGGTTTCTTCGAGGTGGGTACGAAACTCTTTGCCGAATTTCATGTAGAGCTCGTTGGATCTGAGAGCAATGGAGACGAAGATTGCGATGGTTTCTGGGATTGGATAAGAACAAGGCTTTTGCAAGTATATTTCTAGAGAGAGAGAGGGAGAGGAAGCGCAAAGGAATCTTACAGAGAGAGAAAAGAGAATCTGATGAAGTTGACGTGGATGGCTCAGATTAATTACTGTCTCCTTATTGGTTTGCTCCTTTTTTCTATTTTAAGTCAATTCTTATTCATTTGTATGCTATACACACAAAATGGACTAATAACTAACTTTATTAACGAAACTTGAAATATCATTAGTTTCTCGAAACAAAGTGATTATGTTCGAATTTTATCTTCCTTTTCCTTCGGCATTTGATTATATTAATTTAAATTCACCAACTTGTGAGGATGCATATATATTCCACAAATTAACACATTTTAAACTGTTCTCTATATTGGCTCTTAACCAGATCGTCCACCTCAGATGAACCTTTGGCGGGCTTGAACAGACATGCAGATCTAGACTTATCGTATTCAAAATAATACAGAAGATTCGCCTTTACATATAACGAGATTCCTTCTTTGTTTAACGTATAATTTAGCAACGGATCCACAGAATTATATTCTCTTAACATTTTATATTATTGCTTTACACACTTTTTCATTTCAGAGTTATAAAATAATGAGATGTTCGAGCCACGACTCACGACTCTAGGTTATTACTGGGCTAAATTTTGTGACCAAGAGCAATTCTTCACAAGTTTGACAAGTCTTGCTGAGAAGATCCAATATGTTTAGCATGTGATAGGATTTGTTTTCTATTTCTGTTTTTCGTATATTATATCAGACCTGCAACATTTCAGGGAGCTACTATAATTTGTTTTGACAACAACATAACATCTTTTTAACAAAAAAAAACAGCATAACATCTTACGATTTTTGTTTCTTTTACCAGAAATCTTACTATTTTTGTTTAATCAATTTAAAGAAAAAAAAAAGAAAAGAATGGCAGATATGGAAATGAACGACGAATCGGCGAACGACTTGAAGTTAACGGCTAGCTAGTTCAAGTCGACACGGCACCGTTTTGTGGGGAAAAAGGATGTCGTTTTGATTTTGGCGGGAATGGTATCAAGAGCCTGAAGAATGTCAGCTTCCAAGTCATCAAAGTCTTCAACACCAAAGCTGAAGCGAACTAAGTTGTCTTTGATTCCATATTTGAGCCTTTCTTCTTGTGGTGTGTCCCTAAATAAAATAACCCCAAAAAATTAACCTAAAAGCACAACTAAACACACAAAACTGTCAATGTTTAGCCTTAGTGGAAAATCATATATACCAGTTCCTTGCGGCGGGTTGGTCCACGAAGCTTTCGCATCCTCCAAAAGATGTTGCTATGTAAGGGATTTTCAGAGAATCGATGAACTTGCTCGTAGCTTCTAGGTCTCCATCAATCTGAGGTTAACACACACAAAAACACATTTTGAGGTTAACATTTATGTACTTGGTTAAAAAACAAAAATAATAATCAAAGGTGATCGATGTGTTGCATTATTTAACTACCTCGAAAGTGACGAGAGCACCAAAACCAGTCATTTGTCTCTTGGCAATGTGATGTTGGGGATGACTTGCAAGGCCTGGATAGTAAACGCGACTCACCTAACACCATCATATATATTTTGTTTAGGTTAACAATATACTAATAGATAAATATGACGCGTAAACGAAAAGAAAGAAAGTTTATTGGTGGAAATATATAATGGATAGATACCTTTGGATGTGATTCTAACACTTGGGCCATCTTCAAAGCGGTTGAGTTCTGTTGTTTTAAACGAAGATGCATCGTCTTCATGCTTCGGATGAGTAAATATGCTGCGTTCTAGTTTTTCACAAAGACAAGAGAGTTAGCCAAAGGTTATACAACTCTTGAACCAATAATTTGTCCAAAAACAGATTTTTCAGCATATTTTTTTGTGAACAGATATATAGCATTAAAGTGAGGATCAACCAATGCTTACCGGATTAAGCGCGCCTCCCAAAAGATTTTGCAAAAAGCGAATCTCGGAAACCAACTTCAACGAACCAGATATGCATCCAGCAAGAACCTGTGAAGAAGACACATGGAAAACATTATAAGTAAATTTATTTTCAAAAACAATAATAAGGTTCTAGGTTTTGATTTACGCACATCGTTGTGTCCTCCAATGTACTTAGTAGCAGACTGGACAACGAGATCAGCACCAAGAGAAAGCGCCTTTTGATTTAGAGGTGATGCAACGGTACCGTCTATACAAACAAGTGTTCCTCTTTTGTGACAGATTTTTGAAACTAATTCAATGTCCACACATCGAAGAAATGGGTTTGTTGGTGACTCAGTAAAGAACATAGAAACCTGCAGAATTATAGACCCGTATTCACATGTTGTTTTCCAACTTTTAAAGTATATGCTAAGATAACTTGTTATGTACGTTAATAATATACCTCATGGTTATTCACTACATCTTCGAGCCCCTCGATAGAATCAATCAGAGTCACCTGGAGACATCAACACACACATAATTAACAAAATGTTTAATTGAAATGAAAAAGGAAAATGATGGAAATTTTGGTTTTTCTTACAGAGATTCCTAATTTCGGAAGAAAATTCTCAATGAACATCCTTGTCTCTTTGTAACAATCTGTACTTGTCACGATATGCCCACCTCTTGGAACCAATGCCAAAAGCGTTACAGTGTTTGCACACATCCCAGATGACACAATCAACGTTGATTCAGCCCCTTCAAGTGCACTGCTCAATAAATAATAAAATGGAAAAGTTAATAACAAAAATCAATGGAGAGATATAGAGATAGAGAAAGAGAGACCAGACCTAATCTTCTCTTCGAGTACCCTAGTTGTTGGGTTTCCGTAACGAGCATACTCGTGACATTCAATCCGTTTCTCCTACAAAATTAACGTCAAGCCATCACCACAATCAATACACTGTTTTAATTTAATAGAAAAAAAAAAACAACAAACATTTAAAAAACTTCTTAGATTTTTGAGCTGACCTTGAAGTCGATTAGCTCGGAAGTGTTCTTGAAAAAGCAGCTCGTTGAGTTGTATATAGGGGTCGTGATCGAACTCGTGACAATATCACGACCTAATCTTTCACCTGATCATTGTTAACCACAAAACCCAAAATAAACCCCACGTTATCTCCGATTCTTTGCAAATGAATACACCAAAAAAAGACATATGTAGATGACGTACCAGCATGAACAACCAGACTTCCATCGGAGCTCAAGAACGAGCGTGAGCGTTTCAAACCATTCTTCGTGTTTTCCATTTCAAGAATCGGGCTTTTCAAATTAAACGATAACTCTCCTTCTCTAGTTCGCACTTGTTCTCTTCTGTAAAGAATTTGATATTTGATGAGTGATTGATATTCGAAAGTCTTTATGGCGCACCTATTTATATATATACACAGTAGCTGGTAAAAACAAATATTCTTTCTAAGAGAAAGGAAGAGGAAGATTCGAACGTACAGGTAAAAGAAGGGCTGCGATTAGGGTTTGTTTAGTTTTATAACGCACGTGAATCTTATGTTTGTTTTCAGCTCTTTTTAGTTACTTCGTTTTATCTTCGTTGTTTAGAGACTACAAAACTCATTTACAGTTGTATTTGAATAGAATAAAAAAGACCAACTTTTTCATCAGGATTAAAAAAAACATTCATTACTCTAGAGACTAGAGAGTATAAAAAGGAAGGGGTTCTTAGTGGGTCATCATAAACAAAGATAACATTTCAGTGGCAAATTAATTAGGTGTAGTAATCTCTGTATGACCAATTTTCCAAGATATAGATTATAAAATTATGCTCAATCCCGTCCAAATGATCCCCATAAATTTTCACAAGAATTAGTCCAAAAATCTTTCGTATCAGCGAATCGACGCGGTTCAACCGCAGATCCATGATTTTCACAAGAAACCACTTATCTAATGGTGGGTTAACTTGGTCCAAACTTTAGACCGGTTACGGTTAGGTTTGTGTGGGACATCAATATGATTTGCCATTGGAGCAAGTAGAATACTCTTTCTTTTTGTCATATTAGGAAATCCACTACAAGAAAAACAAAAAAAACTTACATAATACAACGTAACTACACAAGTAACACAACAACGCTAATGAGAGTTACATAGTACAATGTAAATACATAAAAAAGTTTCTTATACTTTAATCACGTGTTTTTACGGGCGAACGTAAAAAGTAATAGAAGTCCATGTCACCACGTGGAATTGCACCAAATATGTATATAGATTGACCAATATAATGGTGATGATACGCGTTAGTTCGAAAATGCAATGTCCATGCTGCTGTCATATTCGTGAGGAAAGTATGTGTTATTGGCTTATTGCATCGATCTTATTATAACTCTGTAACTAATTAACTAATTAACAATTTAATATCCTGTTGCCTGTGGGTACATCTTAGAAGTCAGAATGTCACGAAATACGAAAAAAGAATCATCATCATTGAGTTCTGTTCGAATATTTGTCTTTCCGGTCCGTTGAAGAACTTAAAAGCTTTTGAAAATATTGAAGACATCAAATATGGAATCAAAGAGCTTCAGGCTCTTGAGCCTCTCCTCTTGTGGTAAATCCCAAAATTAGAAATCGTGTAATTTATCGAGAAAAGGATAAATGTTTTACGAGGAGAATCATACTAATAAAGATTAATTTACGTAGAAACCTTAAATTAAGTATGATTAAAAGGCAGGGCCGTGCCCATGTGTTAAATTATGAAACATTGGCCTACGGGCCCAAAATTTCTTAAAAAAATGAAGGGCACATATATATTAGTGGTTTATAAATATGTATTAGTAGTATTAGTAAACTGATTTTATATTAATATAGCTACTAATTACTAATAAAAATTAAATTACAAAAAGATTAGGACTTTAATCTTTCTTCTCGGTCGACGACTTCTCAACTTCTTCTTCTCAAGAAACAGAACAAAATAAAAAAATAAACAAAAGATACTTGCTAATTACTAAGTCTTCTTTCTAAAGCTAATGTTGTATTTTTTTTTTTGCTATGGTTTTTATTTGTTTATTTAAGATGATGATAGTTGAACTTTGGAACAATCTTATTATTTGAATGGATTTTTTTAGGGCCATTTTTTTTTCTGTTTACGGGCTCTAAATCTCTGAGAACAGCTCTGTTAAAAGGCAAAAATATACGAGGAACTTTCCTGAAAAAATGTCAATTTGGAGAATGATCTATAGAAAAAGACTATAGTTCAATATTGCAACATGAATATGTGGCCTTTGTTGATAAAAAAAAAAAAAAAGAGAATATGTGGCCTTTGAAGTAATGGTCATTGATTGATATTAATATATTGTCTGAACCTCGTAGTGGGATATGTGAGTTAGAGATCAAGTACGAGTGTCTTCATTTTGGATCAGACAACAAAATAGATATTCAAACAAACAAAACACTAGAAAAATAACAATTGCAAATTTTGATTGACGAATACTCAAATGACTACCTAAATAAACGAGCAAGACCTGTAAAGTCAGGTGTGAAGCGTTTTTTGGTTTTGATGGTGACTAGTATATCAAGTTAAAAAATGTTGTTTCATCAGATCCAATGTCAACCGATTATGTACTTTTGACGATAAAACAACAAACGGACTAGGGTCATATGCATTTTCCGACAAAACAAAATCTAAACTTTTTTTCACCCGATCCAATTCAATAAGTTTCCGCGAACACCGAGGTCCTTAGCGTTATCATGTATCTGTTTAAGACGTCAAGTGAATGTGAATGGTGTCGTTATTAGAGGGTCCCGTTATTACTTATTAGACGACAACAAAAGAAAAGATGTTCTTGACAAACAAATGGCAATTTTGGCTCCAAAAAAGGTCTTAAAACCGTATAAGATGCTCTTCAAGCACACATTTGTTCATTATTGTGATTAAAAGATGAATCATGACAAACAAAAAATTGCTAACAGGGGACACATCACCCCCAAATTCTCAACTTTTGGCTTCTTATTGTAAAATGGAGAGAATAATGGTTTAATGATGAGCACTGGCTTCAACCTTCTTCGTTGCCTTCGTTATCTGCATGTGAAAAAAAAGCAATTTGTTGGTACTTATAATAAGATTCAAGAACATTTCAGATGTAGAGACACAAGGATGAGCAAACAACGGAATGCAACATGTTTGAATAGCCAGAAATTTTTCTGAAACAGATCTTCTTTAGGTTTACAGAACGAGACTAACAATCATAAACTTTAAAAAGCTAGTAACTTCAGAAGCAACATCCAGAGAATAAGATACCACCAAGCGATATAAGATCAGAACTCAGACGTAACAGTGGACTATAAGCAGAAACAAACCATCAAAAGGAGCAAAGCAGCATTTCTGCAATTCACAACTATAGCTATAGAGAACTGTAGAATGGTGGAAACACAATACGATACCCTAAAAATTATATGTCACAATCGCCAGATGATGAGAAAATAAATCGGAATCAATAAACTTTACTAGATCAATCAAATATACTGCATTGCCGATTCGTAGCAGATACCAGCAATAGAATCAGAAAGTCTGTAAGAATTTCGATGAAACAGAGGAATTGGAATAGAATTTTCACCTTCAAGACCTTGAGCTTCATGTTCCCGTAGACGAGACCCATTCCAAAAGCCGAAGCACGAGCCACCTGATCATCAAAATCGAAAGAGTCAATGAATCACACCAACAAAAAAAACGAATCGGTGCTACAGTACGAGAATCGAGTAGAGAGAGAAAATTTACAAGAGCGAGAGAGCTTGTGCCGGAGTAAAGTCCTGGAGGTAGCGTCATCGGCGAATCACTGTTAGTACCCTTGGAGTCGTCTTCGTCTTCAGAGAGAAAAACCTAAAATCCCAAATCAATCGAAGAAAGAAAGCTTCCGAAATCTCCAAATTCGCGATCGTGATGGTGTAAGTGTGCGAGGCCTTAAGCGAACTATTGGGCTTTAAATGGGCCTAATATTATCCAGTTTCCTTTTTTTCAATCAAATCTATCCAAGTTCTTTTTCAACCAATAACAACACTTATGTATAACATGTTTTGGTCAAAAGAGTGGATGTCCCAAATGAATTGGCTTAGCCTGGAAAAGTCTTGTTCTTTGGAACACCTATTTTCTATGTTGTTATCTTTCTGAAAGATTAATGAAAAGATATGGAAGGATTGTATGACTTGGGGTTCGAGATAGCAATAGCAAGAGCCATTGTCTTTCAATCTTGTTTTGAGAACTTTCTTACTCGTTTATGAAAAGATATGTTCATGTTTATTGTGCTACTCATTAACTTTTATCAGTGACAATACAATAAAGTAATATCTTTCTGAAACTTTGGGTCCTTGGGATATCTTATGGGTCCACTTTATGGGGTCATATCCAAATAAATAGTGTCCAATTATCAACACGACCATATTTATTATTTCATTTCATCATAATAAATTGGTTTGGTCATTTTTTTCGGCTTTGCTGATTCTAAATTATTTTCTCATATTTAAAATGGGAAATATGGAAAATGGGATTCGGGAGGAGGAAAGCCAAAGGCAGAAAATGACATGAAACCACCAACATTTAATTTTATCTTATAGTAGTCGACATGTCAACGTGTTGTTTTTATCGTGGCCACATTTATCATTGATCTTTCCTATCTTTTGCATAGTAAACTAGTAATAAACATAACAGATTACCGACATGTGAAGAAGAAAATTCAAAACTCTAGTTGTTTTGTTCAGTGATATTGGGTTATATGTGGTAGTACCCAGATGCGGGTTGGTTGGAGGAGAATGCGGACATAAACCAATAGGAATGTCAAAATGACTTTCGAGATGACCATATGACTAATCAAAAGAGCTAAAATTTGAAGGAAAGAAAATGTAAGTTTTGGGTCTAGTTCAAAAGCTAATTATTGGTCCAACATATCTTTTTTTTTGTTCAAACTGCTTCATTAATTAAAATAAAAACCTTACACCTCTGATAAACACGATCGGAGCGATTGTTTTGCTAAAGAATCTGCCAACACATTGGCAGCTCTTGGAATTGCAATGAAAATTACTGAGAGGAAGAACGAAGATAGGTGTGAGATATCTTGTAAAACTCCAAAGATTTCCGATAAGCTGGATTTCGAATTGATTGCTTCGACGAGTTGCTGAGAGTCTGAAGCCACATGCAAATGCTTGAAGCCTAGATCTATCGCATGTCGGAGAGCCCACCGGATCGCGAGACTCTCTGCAATTAGGGGGGAAGCGATATTCGCGAAACCCTTTGAGCCCTGATTTAGGGATTCGAGATTACTGTTGTGGAAGGTCCATCCCGTGCCGCCTGCTCGATTCTCCTCTTTCCATGCCCCATCTGTATGACAGCGGATGCAATTTGCTGGGATGCTTCCTCTAGCAACTCTTGGTGGACGGATCTGGATCGGATTCTCGCTCTGAGCTTCTATCCATTCTCTCGCTCTCACCATTGCCAAATTCAAAGTTTCCCAGGCATTGAGGCTGCTATTGTTGAAAACTTTGTTGTTCCTACTCAACCAAAGGCTCCACAGAATCCAAGGCGCTAAGGTTTCTCCCTTTAAACCCACCGGAGGTAAACAAATGATTGTCTTTAGCTTGGAGATCCCTTCTTTTGTGTTGGTGATTGCCAAAGTATCAAATGGTTCTTTGAAAGGTGCCTTGTTCCAAACTGATTGAGCAAATCTACAGTGGAAAAGAAGATGGACCGTTGTTTCTGGTTCTCCACAGTGGACGCATTTGGCTTGCATGTTGATTCCCCTAGTTGCTAAATTTTCACCCACAGGTAATGCTCCTTGTACCGACTTCCACACAAACAGTTTGAGCTTTGGGACATAAAGACCCTTCCAACTATCTGTGATCCAGTTAAACCTGCTACCATTATCAGGTACAAAATCTTCTTGAATTCGAGCTCGTGCCGTGAAGTACCCAGACTTGACAGAATATTCACCATTCGCTTGAGGAAGCCAGGCTAGACGATCTTCTGTCTCATAGGACCCAGGTATGATACCTAAAATCTCTTTCTCATACAAAGGTAGAACTCTTTGGATTAGGGACTTGTTCCAAGTTCTAGAGTTTGGCAGAAATAGGTCTTCCATCTTTAGGTCTTTAAACTCTCGTGGTGCTGGTTCCATGGGGGTTATGGGTTCTTGGTCCAACATATCTTTGGACGATATTTAGAAGAGAATTAGGATGTAATCATGTAGGAATTATTTTTCAAGGAGGATGATTGTCTTCATAAGAAAGCATGTGGCCAGAATAAAATATGTTAGTGACTGTGTTTAAGAAAGTTTATAATTTTTTCTTTAAATTTTGAAGTCTTTTAAAAGTTCTTCTTATAGCTCACACTCACATATTAGACTGTATTTGTATTTTGTTGTTATCACAAGCAAAATATGCCTTTTTGACTGTCCTTTTCATGGGAATATTCATCTAAATAACATATAAGACAATAATAATAAACAGTGATTTCGTGACCCCAAAAAGAAAGAAACAGTAACTTGGTGACCCAATAAAACGAAAGCAAAAATTGGATTAGCCTAAAAATTATATAATCAGAGTTTACACACAAAAAAACTAGAAACTAAAAGAATCAAAAACATTGAAGAAATATGGACCCTTGATTCAGAACATTGGCGGTGAATCGGACGGTGAAGGATCCACAAAGCTAAAAATGCTGTCCAAATAATTCTTGTTGTCCTCGTAGTAATTGCAGTCACCACCACCACTACTCTCGACGGCCGTCTCGTTTTTATCGGCGGAGAAACTCCGGCCGAGCGAATCGCCGCCGAGCAGAAGATCAGTGAACCCTTCTTCGATTCCTTCCGCCATCTGCGTAGTCTCGAATTCGTGAATCGTCGAATTGATCCAATCGTTTTCCGGTTCTTTGATCAGAGTCAGACCCGTGGATGATCCGACAAACGCAATCTTCGTCGAGATTCCGCTAGATTCCTTCATCTCCGAGAATGACACTGTAGATGTCGGAGATTCAAGCTGCTGTTGCTGTTGTTGATCTGCATTGCCATACCAAACACGAAAAAATCAGTCAAATTTCCAAATTATTACTACAGAGACTTAGTGTTCTGTTTTTGTTCACCTTCGTTTGTTTTTGATGTCCAATTCGTTAACAGTGTCTTGTGAGTGAACCCATGTTGATGATGATGATGATGAGATGATGGTTTGGATTGGTAATGAAGAAGCTTTGATTCTCTAGCTAGCCTTGCTTCAGCTTCAAGGCGAGCACTTTCCCACTGAGCCATGTGGCTAAGTGTGGCTGCGTTCTTGGATACACCGAGAGAAGACAAAGGAGTCTCGTTTTTGGGTTTATGAGTCACCGGATCAATCCCCATTTTGACTAACCGTTTCTTCAAATGCGTGTTCCAATAGTTCTTGATCTCATTGTCTGTTCTCTTTGGCAAATGAGTCGCAATCGCTGACCACCTATTGTTTATACCAACAAAAATTATAAAGGAGAAAACTTTTAGGAAAGACTTGAGATTGTTTGTTTGTTTGTTTGTTGAAGACCTGTTTCCTAAGAGAGCATGGAGTTGAATTATGGTTTGTTCTTCTTGCAAGTTGAATTTGCCTCTTTTGATGTCTGGTCTTAGGTAGTTAGTCCATCTGAGTCTGCAACTTTTCCCGCATCGATGGAGACCTGACAAGAAGGGAAGATAGACATATGAGAAAGTTCTGAATACAGAGAGAGCACAAAAATGTGAGAATATGATCATTAACCAGCTTTCTCAGGCAATGAACGCCAACTTCCATGGCCATGTTCTTCAATATAAGCCAAAAGTTTCTGATCTTCTTCTGGTGTCCAAGGTCCTTTCTTCAAACCCAATTTCTCACAGCACGGTGATCTACCCATTTTTCAGCCACACACTCTAATCTTGATGACTACAGAACAAAGAAGAAAGTTATAAGAGATGTTTCATTCATCACATGATGATCATCATCATCATCAGAGCACAAAGGAATGGTCTTTTGGGCTACAGTAGTAGAAAAGGTTAGAAAGTGAAGCATATCTGAGTGAGGAAGGATGATATATAGAGGAGAGAGAGAAAAACACACACAAGAAATGAATCCCTTTTTTCCGGCTCTCTCACATGGCTGAGCATTTATTAACAATGGGGTCTGCAGAAGTTATTACCTTTGTGGCTCAAAGACCTGGAAACAAGCCCCCCCATTTCTATATTACTCTCTCTTACACACACACAGAAAGAAAGAAAGAGAGAGAGAGACTGAGTTGAGAGATTACACACAATAACAAAAAAAAGCGGTGATCTTTTATTACCTGGTCCTCATCCCACTGTGACTTTTCCACATATCACAAGATTAAAGCGGTTATTTCCTGTGCTACAAGTAAATTCAGGTCATGGTCTACGCAATAGACCTCACTTCCATGCTCTTTCAAGTTAGAATAGTGATCACTACCCTCAATAATTCTCTCCAACAATAAAATTTTCAACAAACTGTTTTTACACTATGGTTTAAAAAAAGAAGAAGATGACTTTGGTTTGTTTTAGCTAGCCTCAGGTTACTTTTACTGGTAGTATAAGTCCACAACGTTCTCATTGTTTTTTTCTCTCTGTGTAGTTACTATAACTAGTAATCCTTATTTAGTCACACACTACATTAAGTACAAACTGATTTACCTTTTACATTTTTGTTTTCTCTCATCAGTCTTTGCTAAAAAGAGTAAATAGTAAATGCTGTTAAAAAGGGCGGTGACTAAGAGGAAACTGATACCACAACGGGCAAGTTAATGAGACAGAGAGCATAAAAGTAGGAGAAAACTTATTAGATGGAAAAAAGTAATTTAATTTATTTATCCATAGACTTTCCTCTTTGCTCAACTGTTTCGTATCTCTCAAAATAGTAAAATTCTAACCTGTGTAAAGCAAACGATTAGAAACATTATTACTACAAACTCAGTTCACACGCAACACTATATTAGGTATGCTCTAGATAAACCATCTAGCCTTTTCAATAACAGTACTGCAAGAAAACAAGTTATTGAGGGCTCTAGGTTTGAATATAGTTGCGTAGAGAGATATCTCGTTACACACGGAAATATATTTAAGGAAAACTCTTAAGCTTAAAAAGGGTTTAGGAAGCATTTTGTGGCTGTAGAGAGATTAACTATTTCTTGCTGAAAAGCCTTAACTTGTGTAGTGATTTCTTACATCATTTAATGAAATGTTCCACTGGCTGCTACACTGTTCTTGGTGTCAAGTCAGTGAGTCATAGAGTATCAAAGTTTTCACATTAGATATAAAAAAGTGTTCAGAATCATTTGGACATCTTCTGAGAACTCAAAAGCATCAGAACTTTCATTACTTTAGTTTAAAATCTAGACATCCTTTGAGAACAATGAAGATGTACTAGGTCACTAGATCCCAAATTTACTTTGGAAGTCTATTTATATAGTATTATGGCCTAAACTCAGAATTCTTACCTTGACTTGATCTTTTGACCTTATGTGGTAAAGGTACCTTGTAGGTGGTACAAATGTTATTGACAAAGGTAAATATTGCTGCCAAGAAAGGTAGATGATTTATGAAGGCGAACGGTGACATTAAAGAGATTTTACAAGACCAAACAAGGAAGAGTAGCTTATAAATTACAATGTGTTCCATGAAAGGCAAAGGATGGATTTATTGAGGTGGGCTCCAAGCTTGTGGGATAGAGAAGAAGTATCTTCATCGAATCAGAGAACGATAAGACAAAATCATAAAGATTTGTACAAATAAATACAAAAAGAAATCAGTTTTTATATATATTGAAGAAAAAAAAAGGGAAAAATGAGTAAATGTGAGTATGAAAGCTGAAGAAGAGAAAGAGAAAGAGAAGAGGTCATTTGGGATCAAAAAGATAAAAATCATATTGGCTGCAAATGATGTAAAGGACAATGGGGACAAGCCCCTTTTAATGTCTTTGCTGATTCCATATTGCCAGCTTCTACTCTCTGTGTATGGTCCTAACATACTTCAATATAGCCCTCCATAAATGATGCCACTTGTCGACTTTCTATCGATCCACGACTTCCCACACATTTGTTGCTACAAATCTCCTGCATAATTGTACTTGAATCAGACATTGCAAAAATCAACAAGTCTCTCCCATGAAAATCAAGAAATCTGAGCCCAAATCTATACCATGTGAGATGTGAGACCAGACCTACTTTAGTTTGCATCATGCTCAATCTGCAACATCAGACTGAAAAGTTTAACACTTCTAGTGTACATGTAACATATGAATATATGATTTTGGGTCTTTTGATCAAGATATAATATAACTTCAAAGTCAACAAAGCAAAAGAGGCCAAACAGCTTAAAAAACGTGTTAACCACAAAAGGAAACACGTAAGCATTATTTAGTAAGAGTTAATTTGCAACAAACAACCAACTAACAAAAATCTCACTTAATAGTGTAAACGTTATATCAAGAAGATAAAATACGCAAACAATTGTCAGAAAAAGGACTATCTCTAATTAAAAGTTGAGTAGTGACTGATCAATTCCTTGCAAAGTCACCTTCAAAAGAGTACACAGATACTATTGAGACATCATCTCCGACCAAGAAAACAAGAAACACAGTAACTACTTGTTGTTCCACTACCAACAAGAGCAGCTTCGGTACCAGATTTTTTAACTGCCGTAAAGGCGACTCAACTCTGTCTGTAAACCGTAAATCCAAAAATTCTCTGTAAACTTTATGTACGAATCATGAAATTGTTCTCCTTCTTCTTTTGCAGCAAGCCAACATTGTGTTTTCTTCTTTTTATACACACCGGTTTACCAGAATGGGACTTACCATAATTGTTTTTATTAATACCGGTTCGATTTAACTATACCGGAAATCACATATGAATATACCGAAAGCCAACAATTAAACAATCATCGGAAACGCGATGATCAGGAAGCAAACAAACGATCGAACCGCGAATCGCCGGCGTCCTCAGCTATGGCAGAGCTGCACAAATCTCCGATCTTTGAAGCAAATTCACGCTTTTATGGTCGTTAATGGCCTCATGACTAATCTTTCCGTTGTCGGAGAGCTAATTTACTCGGCTTCTCTCTCTGTTCCGGGTGCGCTTAAACACGCACACAAGTTGTTCGACGATATTCCTAAACTAAACGCAGCCATTTGCAACCATGTGATGCGCGGCTCTGCTCAGAGCCTGAAACCCGAGAAAACGGTCTCTTTGTACACCGAGATGGAGAAACGTGGCGTGAGGCCTGATAGGTACACGTTTACGTTTGTGCTCAAGGCGTGTTCGAAGCTTGAGTGGAGAAGCAATGGATTCGCGATTCATGGGAAAGTGGTGAGACATGGGTTTGTGTCTAACAACTATGTTAAGAACGCTTTGATCCTTTTTCATGCTAATTGCGGAGATTTGAGGATTGCAAGTGAGCTTTTTGATGATTCTGCGAGAGCTCATAAGGTTGCTTGGTCTTCTATGACTTCTGGGTATGCTAAGAGAGGGAAGATTGATGAGGCGTTGAGGCTTTTCGACGAAATGCCGGAGAAAGATCAGGTGGCTTGGAATGTGATGATTACTGGTTGTTTGAAATGTAAGGAGATGGATAAAGCAAGAGAGCTCTTTGATAGGTTTGCAGAGAAAGATGTTGTGACTTGGAATGCAATGATCTCTGGATATGTGAACTGTGGATACTCTAAAGAGGCGTTAAGTATATTCAAGGAGATGAGAGATGCTGGTGAGCATCCAGACGTTGTGACGATACTGAGTTTGTTATCTGCTTGTGCAGAGTTGGGAGACTCGGAAACTGGGAAGAGACTTCATCTCTACATCTTGGAGACGGCTTCGGTTTCGAGATCAATGTATGTGGGGACTCCTGTTTGGAATGCTTTGATTGACATGTATGCGAAATGCGGAAGGATAGATAGTGCGATTGAAGTGTTCAGAGGAATGAAAGAGCGGGACTTGTCGTCTTGGAACACTTTGATCGTCGGTTTGGCTTTGCATAACGCGGAGGGATCGATTGAAATGTTCGAAGAGATGCAGAGGATGAAAGTCTGGCCAAATGAGGTGACTTTCATTGGAGTTATATTAGCTTGTAGCCATTCGGGGAGAGTTGATGAAGGGAAAAGATATTTTAGCCTTATGAGGGATGTGTATAGTATTGAGCCAAACATTAAGCATTATGGTTGTATGGTTGACATGTTGGGACGAGCAGGGCTGTTAGACGAAGCGTTTATGTTTGTGGAGTCGATGGAGATTGAGCCTAATGCCATTGTGTGGAGAACTCTGTTAGGTTCTTGTAGGATTTATGGGAATGTTGAGTTAGGGAAGTATGCGAATGAGAAACTGATGAGTTTGAGAAAGGACGAGAGTGGCGATTATGTGTTGCTCTCTAACATATATGCTTCCACAGGTCAGTGGGAAGGTGTGCAGAGAGTAAGGAAGATGTTTGATGATACAGGTGTGAAAAAACCGACTGGATACAGTTTGATCGAAGAGGACAGTGACAAGTTGATGATGAGATATTTACTGTCTTCAGAACCTGAGTCAAAGTCTAGAGTTCGGATTCGTTAAGGTGAAAAAGAACAACGCTTCATTGGCTAACTGTGGACAGTAAGATTGTATAATTTCCTGAAATGATGATAAATTTGATAGATTCTTTTCATTTTTTGTAAGGAGTTTTCGAGTTCTTAATTTAGAACACACAATTTTTTATAGAGTAATCCTCTACATTAATCATAAATCACACTTTAAATCACAGCTGAGATGAGAAAAGAATAACCAGAAATGCAGAGGACACACGAGTGAAAGCTCAAGTTCACATCTTTACACACCAAACCATGTACTTTAAATATAAGAGGAAAATAAAACTCATATTTGAGGTTAAGAATAGATCTTCAATGGCGACGGGAAAGAGCAATAGCTGATAGGAGGATGAGAATGATGAGGAGGGCAACGGCAATGAAAGATCCAATCAAAGAGCCGGAGATACGCTCGCAGAAGGAATTAAACTGTTGACAAATAGCAAACCAGTTTGTTTTGTTGTTCCCATTGTGTGCCAAGTAGACAATAGCTGCTGCTGAGGATGCTCCAGCGGTTAAGAGACCCAACATTGCCTAAATACATGAAGAGGAATCAATCGTAAGCATTGCAGTGTAGAAGGCAACATTCTTATGAAACAGGACAAGTTTAGTTTGCTGATGGCTTACCACATCAAGGACGATAAGAAGAATTCTACTGTTCTGAGTCTTGCTCTTGACCATGTGTACACAGGCCAAAGCTAGAGACAAGATGAGGTAACCACTTACAACAGCATTTGCAACCACAAAGAACCTGTTTTGATCAATTAAAAACAGAAGGCAAAAAACATTTTAATAAATTGCAACCACAAAGAACTTGTTTAAAAGAAACAAAAACACATACGTTAAGGCTGGAAGATCGTTGTATTCAGCACGGAACCGTATGAATTGAGTAAAGAAAGGCAGAGTTTCATTAGTGGTTGCCATGATGATTGCACTACTTATGGTGTTGAAAAAGGCAATGATCCTGAGGATAAACTCAAGAATCGCAATCCTTCTGCTCATCAAGCCGCTCTTTTGGACACCTTTGCTTGTTTCCACGATTTCAGCCTGACCCGACTTCATTTTCCGCTCTCTGTTCTTCAAAGTTTTCTAGGTTTCTTGGGAAGAAAGTTAGCTTGTCTTTGAGTTTTCTTGGGATGTAAGTAAGATGCTGTGAGAGTTTGATGAGGGTTAAGAGCAATGAGTGAGTGTGTATTTATAGATTGCATGCACTGGGACATAAAGTGGTTACGATAATGTCCTTACAGCAATTGTACTTGCTAAAGGTATCCCTTTTTAGTATTATAATTCCATAAACTTTGCATGAAGCATATTCTTTATGGATCTATTATCTATACATCACCTACATGTTGACCTTCCTAATCCACCAAACCAATATAGCATCCGATATGTCCATATTTGGAAAACATAAACTCTGTCCAAATTGCGTAGAATTTTCTTTTAGTTCAATTTAAGTTTCTTTTGTTGGATGAACAACCCATGTGGAGCAGTTAAAAACTATATGCAGAGTGATAAAGTTAGGATAATGGAATTAGCTATGATTTTAACAAACCCACTTTCTTCTAAGCTACTTTGAAAAATGGGAAATCTCTATATAGTTGGAAACTGAAACTAAAGTTCCCAAATGATTGGAGAAGTTGAAACCCAAATGGTTCTATGTGTCAAACAAGAGTCTATCTATTTTGGTTTTAAAAATATATACCAATTTTTATTATCATCAAATTAACCATATCCAATTGAAGCAGGGCACCTAACCCACATGATAATGTTGAAGTATTTACAAAAGCATGTACGCTTTTTGAATTTGAAGATATGCTTTCAGCTTTTGAGTTGGCTTATACACTCTGTTGCAATTTATGTTATTCTTATTCTTGAGTTAGCATTGATGTTTTTTCATCAACATCGTTTGAATTAGTAGAAAGAATGTAAGAACAATCAACAAACTATGTAGAGGATTATAGTTTTCTGTTTTCACTTGCATGACGGAATTTAAAGTGAAAATGACAATATCAGTCAAAAAGTTGACAACAAGAATAAGCCGTAAACACTCTGGCTCCCATGTCGTTATTTCGACGTTGTGCTTTTTGGGACGACAGTGGAGATAATTTAAATTAATAAAAACAATTTCAAGATCGTAAAAATTACAAAAACGTACACAAATTTTCTTACATTTCTAAATTAGCCCCAAAACTTTTCAAAAATAGAGTCATCGCTTCCACGCAAACCCATTGCCCGAGAGAAGCCTAGACAAGAATCCTTCACCAACTGTTGTCTTCTTCTTCTCTTTACAAGAGCTCATGTTACTAATCAAAGACCAATGCGTCTCAAAATCAATTTCATGGCCACACTTTTGCATCATTTCCATCATCTCCGAAGCTTTCACAGTATTGTTCTCCACTCGAAACCGATCAATCACAGTCTTAAACATCTCCTGACTCGGTGTTTCGCCTAACGCAACCATCGATTTGATTAGTCTTTCTGATTCCACAACTTGACAAGCCTCGCAATACTTATGAACAAGACCACTCCATGTATTTATGCTTGGACTTAGACCTAGTTCCACCATTTCTGCATGAAAGTCCATAGCTTTATCCAACTGGTTGTCACATCTCAGCAACCCATTGATGACTGAATCATAGCTTGAAGCATCCGGAATCTTTCTTCTCTTTAACATTGTGTTCAAGAGATGAACAGAAATGTCAAGATTCTCACAGTCAGCTAGTCTCTTGATGAGATTATCGTAGCTCCCCATCATGCCATTGCTTGTCACACGGCTAAGAAAGTCTTCAGCTTTTGAGATTTCGCCTTTTGAAATCAGAGATTCGACGATTTTGGTTTGGACAACTGAAGAATTCAAAATCCAGCCTTTTGATTCCATTACCTGACAAAAGTCAAGAGCTTTCTTCACATCTCCATTGTCACACAAAGAGCTTATAACCACTCTCAAGCTTCGATTGTTCGGTTTCATCCCCTCAGAGATCATAGCTGAGAAGTAACGCAGAGAACTCGAATAATCTCCGCACAGAGCGTATCCGTGTATAAGAAAGTTAAAAGTGGTTTCGTCAGGCAACAATCCTCTTCCACGCATTTCGAGCAAGACTTTACTAACTTCCACACGATTCTTGGCCTGAAACAGATAGAAAATCAGCAGATTATAGATGATTACACCGTCAGGATTGCTTTCTCCTAGCAACAGAATCTCCTTCAGACTAACTGCAGAGAGAAACTGACGCTCTAAACACATTCTCCGAACATATTCTCTGTAACTAGTAACTGAACAGATTCTGTTCTTCCTCACCAAGATTCCTGATACTTCCTCAATTTTCCTCAAATTGTTACCTTTACAATAACCTTGAAACATCAGATTGTAGGTATCGTTATCCGGTAAAAACCCATTTGATAGCAATAACCGCAACTGATTTTCAGCGTCCACCATCATCCCAGCTAAGCATAGACCTTCTATCAAAGCATTGTAGACAGAAGATGAATCTGATTGCTCTGCTAAAGTAAATGCCTTCTCTGTTTGATTAGCTCCACAAAGCCGAGGAATCAACATCAGACAACTTCCCAAGCTCGGAATGTGTTTCTTGTCAAGCATTTCGTCGAGTATAGCAAATGCAGCCGAATCATTCTTATCTTTACAGAGTCCTTTGATAAGATGATTGTAAACCTCTTCTTCCACAATATAACCTTCTCCTTCAAGTCTTTTAGCAACAGAATGAGCAATGCGAGAAAACCCAAGAACAGTGAGCTTCTCAGCAAAATTCCTAAACGCTTCTGACTGTGATAGAGGATAAGATATGAATACACGCTCAAAGAGTTTAACCGCTTCCTCCACCAGTCCTCTCCGGACAAGACATTCCCATAGAGCTCCGCAGCTGTTCAAATCAGGTAACCAGTTAACGTTTTGAGCAGCGTCCCACACATTCAGGACATCACTGAGTGTTTCTTTCTTACAGAAACAACTTATCAAAGATGTGTAAGTTGCGTTATCAATAGGATGATCCATTTGAACCATCCTATGGAAAATGAGTTTGCTTTGGCGACTAAATCCCTTCTTGCAATATTCTTGGACAAGAAAGTTAAGTGTTTCTCCATCTAACTGATTAGCCAACTTTGGCCATTTTCCAAATAGGCTAACACTAACTCTGACAAGGGAACGCGATGCGCAAAGACTCTTCATCAAAACAGCAAAACCTCGACGTGATAGTTTTTGACCCCATCGAGCCATCTCATCAAGAAGCCCCAAAGCTGTTTGTAAATCACCATCACCACATGCTCTAACGAGAAGCAGATTAAATTCCGGTAACACAGACCTGTCAAGTACCATATTCACCCTCTGCTCGTAAGCATCCAAATCAGTGTCCAAGTATAGCCCATTCCCAAGATCATCGAAGAACTCTGCTTTGGAGCATTCATTATCATTGTCCCTTTTCAATCTAACAGCTAACGGGTCAAATCCTACTAAGCTAAAAGCTTCTGATAAAGGGTCTTCAACTTTAGATGCTTCGATTAACCCATAACCAAACATCTCGTTAACAACCGCCTTAGCTTCTTCAAACCGTCTAGCTTTGCAGTATCCGGTTACCATTACCTTAAACGTAGACAAGCCAGGGAACGTTCCGTTTTCCTTCATCTCATCAAGAACACAACGGGTATGTTGCCACAATCCTTTTCTAAAAAGCCCACTCAAGATAGCATTATAACTATACACATCCGGTTTTAAACCCTTTGATGTGGTCTCGGATAGATACAGAAATGCTCTTTTGATATCTCCTTCAAAGCAACACCAACCAATCAAGATACCGAAGGTGACTTCATCGGGCTTAAAACCCAAATGTTCAAGCTCTTCCATATATACATAAGCTCTCTCTGAGCCAAACCTCCTGCAGAGAGAATGAACAATCCTATTACCAACAAGCACATCAGGCTCATATTTAACTTCACCAATGAAACTCAACAAATCCTCAAAGTCTTGCTTCTCGCTGTATCCTAAAGTAATCTTACTGTAAATTGAGCTGTTCAGGTTACAACCTAAGGCCACAAGCTTTCTCGCCAGGACTCTAGCCTCCTGAACCCTCTGGTCCAAGCAAAGCAACTCGATAACTTTCCCGATTCCATCAATGTTCATGTTACTTGATTCAGCCGTTGTCTCCACCCAATCCAAACAAACTCTATGTGCTGATTCTGTTCTGTGAGCTCTAACCAAATGATCAATTAGAGTCTGGTAACACGAGCTTGAAGGTATGAAACCCTTACGCCTCATCCAGTCGAACAGCATAACTGCCTTCCTGGAATCGAAATCATCGACATATTTCTCGATCAAATCACAGAAAATCTCCTCGTTATCAAACCTAATTCCATTGTTTTCCATTTCCATAAGCAATAATTCAACTTCCTTAACCATTCCTTCCCTGATAAGCGCTGACGCCATGATCTCACGAGCTTGAGGCAAATGCTTAAACCCTTTGTACTGCCCACTAGCCCATCTGAAAATCTCCCATAAAGCTCGCACCTTTCTACCTCCAATTTCACCTCTCTGACGCTCGGATTCAAAACCCAGTAACAATTCGAGAACATTTTCGGGTTTCAAGCCAGGGAATCTTCTGAATCTACGGGTAATGTTGGGAACAACATCGAAGAAATCCAAAAGCAAGTCTTTTAGAGAGGAGCCGGAAACGTCACGGCTCTCCTTCGCTGCCCCACGAAGAGACCTCGATATCCGATCCAATTTACCGACGGAGGGTAATGTAGACGGAGAAGATTTATCGTAGTTGCGTCGGGTCGCTGATTCATTTCCCAGGGACGAAGCAGATGAGGTAGTAGAGTAAAACGCGAAAGAGTAACGACATGAGAGAGAAGAAACCTTGTTGAGAAAACGAAGGCGAGTAGAGTTACTGATGGAGAGAAGATTAAGCATACGATTGCACAAATTAATGGAAGTATATTTGCCTTCTTATTCATCTGCTGCATTCGAGCTCCAGGCAGAAGAAGAAGGTGAGGACTGACTATGACGACGAATTAGTAATCGACAGCGTTTTCCTCGAATGCAAACGTTTTTACTCATAAACAGGCCTAATTATTTCGTAAGCCTTTGGAGTGTCTATCATTTTCTATGGTTATTCTCATTCATCGAAATGTGAATTATTATTACTTTGTAAAGACAAGAAAAAAAGCAAAAACTATATACAAAATTTTACTGATCCAAATAGTTTTACAAAAGAAATGATTTCAGTAGCTCTAACTATATCATTCTAGAAATCAAGAGAATTCCGAGATAACAGAACCGGATGGCTCAGGCAAGAAAAACGAACTGTCTTTGGAGTGTTCACCGTGCAAAATTATGGAGAGATGAAGCTAATGATCAAAAGATTAGTTTCCAACGACGAGAAACTTCCGGAACTTGAAACCTCTCTAAACTGCTGGCAGAGAAGCATACGTGCAATAGAAATAACATAGAGAGGATAAGAAGTTGAAGTTTATTACCTTTCATTGTGGACCAATACCCCACTGGTCAATTTACCTGTACAATGTCGACAAGAGCCTATAGATTTTTTCACTCATCTCGTTCCCTGCATATGATCTTTAAGGACCCTTGAGAGATGGTATTAAGGTCGGGTACTATGAATAATGTACTACCAGTTATCACTATCGGTACTTGATTCACAACATTTCGTCTGATAGTTATATCATTAATACAAACGGAACTACGCACAACCAAACTAAAAGGTTTCTGAATCTGATCCAAGGTAAACTGAAAGATAGATAGACAGCATTACAGGCAACTGGAAATGGTTTAACGGGTAAGAGCTTGGCAGTATGTTGGTCACAGTGAGGGAAAAGGAAAATTTCGAAACAAACTTAAATATCTCATCCACATGTAACATATTCTCCTAGGTAGAGTTTGGTGGTTCAGCTTTCTCATCTTGTTTTGGTGAAAAGGCTTCAACTGTGGGCTGTGGTGGGGGTTGGCTTCAGGCTTCAGGATCTCACACTGTTTTAGTGGGACGGGGAAAAAAAGGTCACAAAGGGTAAAAAAGCAGTGTATCAGAATCTGACACCGGGACAGATCAGATCAGATTATGTCATGGACTTGGGACAAATAGCTAGGTACACTAAATTTTAAAGGAAGGACTAAATCAAAACCATATTATTATAAATCTAACCTTTTTAATCACCCACCAACCAACAGCTTCTAGTAATCATGGTTTCTGCGACGATGGCTCGAGGAATGGCTGGATAACCTGGTGACAAAAAACCCACCAAGAGTTGTTACGCTATTGAAAACCAAAACTCTGAGAAGTAACATTAACATTCGAAACACTTGATAACCAAAGTTCTATCTAAATGGTAAATACTTGGTAGAGTGTCACAAATACATCAGGGAAGAGATAATCTCACCCAGAACTGCCACTGCGTCCAGATGCATAACCTCCATACACTCCATATGGAGTACTACTACTACCACCAACCTACAAAAAACACGTCCCAAAAGTCACTAGTTGAGCACTGATGTGTAGCATAACAACATGTAATGCGGAACTTTTCAAAAGACATACCGGCGCACCATAAGACGAATAACCTTCAGCAGGCAATCCACTTGAACCATAATGATTCCTGCGTTCAGGTCTTCTGCTATCTCTACTATCATAGTCTAATCTATCAGCATGTTCTGGTGCAACAGGAACATAAGGCAAGACCGGCATGAGTGCAGCAACAGCCCCTTCCCGGTCAAAAACGTTGGCTCTTAATCTCGATGTAATTTGTATGAGAGCGTCCTTGGCAACATCAAGTTCTCCAGAAATCTAAACCATCAAAATTGCTTCTGCTGTTAGAGCTCTATGATAAACTGCAATGGCAACTAGAGGAGTAGCGCTACGATATTGTGATTTTTACCTGAACCATCTCATCATCTTCAGATGCAACTTTCGGAAGATTTTCCTTCCCGAGTACACGGATGTTAGCTTTGGTCATTCGTCTCATCTCACTTATGATAGATCCTCCTTTGCCAAGAATACAACCAATCCTAGAACTTGGCACCAGAAGACGAGTGGTGAACGAAACAAGTCCAGAATCTCTCTCCACCTTGTCGCTGCATTTTGGTTGCAGCCGCATAACTGCCTCTATGGTTGGAGAATACGCATCCTCAAAAACCTAAAACAAAACAAACACTGTCAAGAGAAGAAAAGCTGGAGAAACTATTTATCACCTAAAGGAAACAAGCTCAAACCTCTCTTGCTGATATAGTTATCAAACAATCGTTCCCTTCAGTTCTAGTGCTATCAACTTTAATGGTTGCTCTAGTCTCCTGCCGAAGCTGATTGATCAGAGCACCGCCTTTACCAATAACACTCGCAATGTTCTCAACTGGTGAAACCAGCCGAATGTAGAAATCCGTTGCCGGCGCCTCGTTTCTAGGAGCTTGGTACAAAGGGCGTGACCAATCTCCAGCCTCACCTTTGTATCCCCCATAGGAGCCCATCAGCGGTGCTATCCCTACGAGCCGAGCACCACCCGCATGGCTCATGAGTGAGCCAGCAGGATATCCCCCGGCGGCCATCGCAGAAGAGAGTAGGTTCTGAGTGCGTGAAGGGTTTCCATGAAGGCGTGATGCAATCTCATGTAGAGCCTTCTTAACAATGAGCACTTCTCCAGATATCTGAATGAGCTCATCAGAATTCAAGGCACACAGAGGCATGTTTCGGTCCTTGATGATGCGAATGTGAGCACCAGTGTCACTCCGGATATTCTGCACGATCTGGCCACCTTTCCCGAGAATGCATCCAATCTGATCAGAAGGAACGAGCAGCCTTGCGGTGACTTGCTGCTCTCCTCCTTCAGAGCTCCCGTCGTCGCTCTGCGCATCATCTGCGACCACTCTGTCATGGATCTTGAACAACGCGTCCTGCGCGGGAGAGAGAACTTTCTCTTCGTCTCCAGAGGGATTAGTCTCGTCGCTAGGGGAATAGATCGTGATCACGCGCTCGTCGCATCCTTGAATCGCCTCGCCGATTCTGATTTTCGATCTGGTCTCCGTTCTCAATTGCTTGACGATATCACCTCCTCTGCCGATGACGCTCCCGATCTTCTTAACCGGGCAGAGGTATCGGAATACAGTATCGTCACGATCGATGACTAGTGAATGCGAATGCGAATGCGAGTGTGAGTGTGAGTGTGAATCTCTGTCGTCGCTGCGGTGTCTCCTTTTGCTTCCGCCATTGTTGTCGTCGTAGTCGGATTGAGGACGAGACCTCTTTCTATGGCTATCTCTGTGATCATCCGGTGACCGTGACATTGTACACTTCAATTCTGTACCTTCCAATTACATGTAAATTAAACAATCAGAAGAACTCCAAATCTGCAGAAGTAACCAATCAAAGCAAAATTGGTAACACTTCACAACAATTCTATGCAAGTAAGTATATCTACACACATAATCAATCAATTTTCAGAGAAGATCCGATAAACATACGAATTCAGAACTCGGAACTCAAACAAGCTCGGCAACAATTGAGTAACAAGGATGAGAACAGCAGACTGGAAAAAAAAAAAAAAAAAAGTAATGGAGACCTCGAGCTCAATCTAGGAAAGATGGATTCCGATTACGATCTCGGAGAAGTTTGGATTGGAGGAAGAAAACGTACGAACCTTGAATCCTCTGACGAAATTGAATCTTCGGAATTGGGGTTATCAATATATGAATCTAGGGCTTGCGCGGACTTTTATCGGGTAGTTTTAGTTGTTTGTTCCCAGATTTTCAATTACACGATTTGCTTTGTGTTTTTCGATTTTACTAATACGCCTCAAGACTTTTAACTATTGTCATTGTCTTCCCCCTTATTATCGCTTATCATATCCATACCCTTAAAATCTGAAAACCTTTATAGACGTAATTACGTAAAGGTTTCAAAACTCAATTGGAGACTTATGGGGCAGATATAGGAAAATAAAAAATATCTGGGTTTGTTAACAAATAGTTGCTGGAAAAAAATGGTTCGGTTTTTTCCTCTTTTCAGATTGCTTCAAATTCCAATTTACTTTCTTTCTATTTTTATCCGGTTTAGGCTTATAGAAGAGAAGAAGTATTACATGTCATTTTGGTTTGTTTTATAAGATTAGTTGGTTCAACTTGATTCGAATGAACAAATTTTTCATCTTCGAACATTTGTGTCTAGATTCAGTTTAATATTTTTACAAGACAAAACCAATAAGAGAAAGAGAAAAACTAGCTTCTTTTTTGTTTGTGGAGAAAACTGAACATGTTGGTTATGAAAAAAAATTTACGTTGTGTCGGAAGATTTTTTTCAGTTAAAAGTGTTTTCCATGATAAATCAGTTACAGTTTGAACTTAGAAATTTCACAGCTACAAGAGTAAAGCTTAGTTTATAGATATTTTCAAATAACATATTGTTATTTATTACAAACATATATGAGAGCTCGAACCATTTTGTTGTAAGAGAATATCCAAAAATGATTTATTTTCAGAAATTATGGAAGTGGAGGAGACTCAGGAGGTGGAGAGGCAACGAAACCACTCCAATTGGTGTTAGACCCCGGTGGGTCGTAATCCATTAGCTCTGTTGTCTTCCTCACATTGCCTCCCTGTATTTTCCACTCGTTATTATTAGTGCAGTATAATCAAAATAAGCAAAGACAGGAAACAGGATCAACTCTTCATCAATATGAGAAAAGTTAAGAGCTAAGAATCAAAAACAAAAACAAAAAGTTCATCAGTAAACTTAAAATAACGAAAGTGTATTCATCTTCGGCTCAACAAAATATTGACCACAAAATCCACCTTTTGGGTCGTTACAATAATTTATATACACAAAACGCAGCCAACACCTAAAACTAAAGGTTCAGAAGTCTCGTTTGAGTCTTTTATTGAATTACAATTAGCTCGGAAAAAAAAGTTTACTAGACATCTCGTATACATTAAACGGAATGAATACACCAAGAAATAAGATTCTACGTAGTACTTTGCAAGATGAGTCTTGAATATATTTGATAAAAAGAACCAAAAAAGGTCTTGAAATATATATCCTTTTTTTTTTTTGATAACTTTGAAATATATATCCTAAATAACAATATAGGTTCTTCTTTGTTAACATCCAATATAAGTTCCTGTAAACAGAAACTATATAAAGAGAGGTAGAGAACGACGAAATACCTTGGAAGGTAATAGCACGACAGTGCTGTAAACTCCTGACAACTTTGAAGTTCGCAAGTTTCTCCCCATGGCTTCATCACATACAAAAATCATCAGGCTCAATTTCAAAATCAGTAAAGATAGGGGAAACAAAAGATATAAAGTCTTAAGAATATTAGGAACAGTGGGAATAAGAAGAAGATGACAATTGTCTATTACCATTGGAGCAGAAGACTAGAAGTAAAAGAGAGGAAACAAGAAGAACTTTGAAGAAACAAGATTGACCCATTGTTGTCTGTCTGAAGTTCTGAAATTTGTTATTTATATTATACTTTTTATTATAATAGTCAGTTTTGTTAGTTCCTAATCCATTCATATTGTAATAAGTGAAACTTTAATAAAGAGAAAAGGGATCCTTTAGTTTCAAGGTTTTCCACTTTTCCTGGAAACTGCTTAAGCTTCAGATCCAATGAAGAAAGATGTACTCCAAATGTAGTTAATTGATTAGAATACTCGATTATTTTATTTTATATGATTTGAGTTATTACTATGAGAAGTTGAGAACTATATAAGCAAGTATAAATTGCCAGTTGATTATTATGAAGCAAACTCGCACGTGTGATTACACGTGTAACGCCAGGACTCCACGTGATGTGAACTGGAGTCAAGCTCCTCATGTCTGCCACTACCAGAGAATATCAGTTTTCTTGTTAAAGGTATTGACCGCGTAAAAAATTGTCATCTGTTTCATTTGGAAATAAAATAAGAATCTGCCAAAGTTAGGCACTTATGCTATCGTCCACGAGGTTGGCAAGTATATGGACTTTTGATTATGAGAATAAACGTTCTTTGGGGTACTGAAATGGAGAAGAGAACCAAGTTGAAGAAAAACAAACAAAGTAAAGAAACGAAAGTTACACATTTTCGCGATCTCTTTTTATCTTTTTATCCAGAAGAAAAAATATCGATTACCGTGTTTATTTTTAAACCAGGGAACAAGGTTTGACTTGGTTTGCATTGTTTATCATGTTGCCATTTTACTATCATAGCCGTCCATCTAAATCATAACACATAACAAGACAAATGATTCAATAATTTGTGTTATTTTATAAAGCAAAAAAATAAAATAGATGCTAAATTAGTGCTGAAGCATGTGACTATGAGACGTTTTATGAAAATCAGTGACCTTCCCAATTTTTTTAAGAAAGCAGAAACATATACATACATTGCACTCTTCTGTAGATTCTAGTCGAAGTTATTTTGGGCCTGGTCTTCATTCATGAGTTTGGGCTTTTTGTAGTGGCTTACTCGTAAATATGGTGATAAATTTCAGAAACATATTTAAAGATTGTCAGAAAAGATCTCTACAAAAATGAAATAAAATAATGTAACGAATGCCTAGAGAAAGTGAAGTCTAGTAGTGAGTAGTAGTGACCCACGAAATCAACAAAGTATCTAAAATATTAAAGGTTAATTTGAAAAAAAAGTTTAAATAATTAAGACTATAGTACTTTGGAGAATGGAGATACATACACCTATGCACGAACAATCTAGCTCATAATCTTAAACGCGTGTGAGACTTCCTCTCTTCCTTCTTACACGACACGATCATATCAATTCGGACAGTAAAGAGAGAAGCTTTATATCATGACGATTTAATTTTCCTGTCTCCCGATTCATCCCCTGTTTCGTTCTACGGGTGATGTAAGAGTTTCAACCGCGATTACGTTTCCGACTAGTCCATATTCAACACAGCTCCTCTTATTAAAAACTGATCCTTTGAGGTCTCCGTGTACACGACTGGATTTGAACAAGTGTTCGATTTCTGCGAAATCGGATTTTCATTTCCTATTAACTGCGGAATTGGAGTTTGAAGAAGACTTTTCATCGGATTGAATTTTGATTTGATCTGATTTTGGAAAGAAAAAAATTCGGTGGGGTTCAATTGTTCCTGATCCAATCCAATAAGGTCCACTCGTAAATTTCCTTCTAATCATCTCTGATAAGTTTTTTTCAGGACTCGCCGTTTCGATCTGAACTTTCAGGTTTCTGATCGGGAAATAAAAAATCGCGACTTTGCGTGATTCCAGAGCAACCCGAATCGGATAAACCGATCCGATTCGGCTCCGATTTCGATTTTCATAACCGCTCGATTTCATTTCTGAGATGGTATATTTCCAGAGCTCAATCTCCGTCGTAGACAAATCTCCGATCACCATGGCGAACTCAGACCAAAAGCCAAGGAGCAACAGAAAACCAACAAGCAGCAGCTGCTCCAATTTCCCAATCTGCTGCGACGGATCTCGATCAGCTGCGATCGACGTGCTGATCCTAATCGCGGTGATCACGTCCTCTGGGTTTTTGATCTTCCCTTACGTCAAATTCGTCGCCGTCAAATCCGTGGAAATCTTCTCGGAGCTCTCTTGCTTAGTCAAAGAAGAGATTATCCGTAACCCGGATCCGATCGTTTACGGGTTGATAGCGTTGAGCATCTCGTGCACCGCGTTATCTGCTTGGATGATTGTGATACTCTTGTGTAGTCGCCATAAATGTGGGAAGCCGAATTGCAAAGGGCTTAGGAAAGCTAACGCGGAGTTTGATATTCAGCTGGAGACGGAGGATTGTGTTAAGAGCTCTGGTAATGGAAGCTCGAGCGGGAAGAGTGTGAGCAAGAAGGGGCTGTTTGAGCTGCCTCGTGATCACCACCGTGAGTTGGAGGCGGAGCTGAAGAAGATGGCTCCGCCGAATGGACGAGCCGTGCTGGTTTTTAGGGCGAAATGTGGGTGTTCTGTTGGGAGATTGGAGGTTCCTGGTCCTAAGAAGCAGCAACAGCAGCAGAGGAAGATCAAGAAATGAAGGAGAAAAAGATTGAATCATTACAGGTTATTATTATGATTATGATGATGATGATGAAGAATACCCTTTGATGATTAGCTTTATAAACCACATTTTTCTTTTTGGGTTCTAGTTACTTTTGCAAGAACTTTTTACACATACTAAAGAAATGATTATGATAATAATTCATGTATTTAAATAAAAGCTTTACAATGAGGATATTGCAGAGAAAATGTTTTACAGTGATGAATCATGATTTTGTTTAACTCTTGCAAGTGCTCTTCTTTGGTTTATTGATTCTGTGCTTTTTATTCTGACTTTCATGTTTGGTGATTTAAACACTTGCGTTACTTGTGTATCCTCTGGATTTTGGCATTTCTGTGTGTTCTGGTTGGGAAATTTATCATAAATGTTGAAACTTTTTGGGACTGTTACCTTCTTCATTAAATAACATCTCTTAAACTCTGAAAATTTCTCTGCTTTCGAGTCAATTGTGCTGGATACAATATTTCCGGACTGAAGAAGGTCCTTTGTAATGTCAAGTCACAAAACCATCTTGGTCTAAGAAGGATAAAAAACAGAGAGGTAATCGCGGCAGATGCTGTTTAGTTGCTCGACAAAATGGGGCCACAGAGAGATGACCATGAGACTTTCTTTGCATTTTTATTCTCCAAGTGTGTGGCCTATGTAATATTCAACTGAAAAAGAAAAGGAGAGTGGAAAAGATCAAGGGTTGTGGTTTGTTCTAAGCCTATGATTGTATATGCGGAGATTTATGATTTTTATTTACTTTTCCCCATACTCCCATTGTACAATCTCTGGATCATTCAAGAAGACAGTTACATGTTCCAGAGAAACAATTGAAACTAGAAACATCCTCTTCGTTTTAGTCATTACTTATCATCATCACCTTCTTTGTTTATATAACAAATTCGAACACACTCATCAAATAAATAAAAAATCACCAAATCTTTTAACTCTTTTTAGTTTTTACAGCATAATCTCATAGAAAAACAAAGGCGTTGGCTATGGTGATGAAAATGGCATCATCATCATCATCGGCTTTGTCTCTCCCACTCTCTAACATCCCAATTTGCTATAAGTCCTCAGAGTTTCCAAAACCGACCAGTTTATCCAAATCCACTCACAGGAGTGACCCTCTCAGTAACCAAACTTTAGATCATAAACTCACCAAGAGAGCCCTACTCAGTTTGACTTCCTTAGGGTTTACGTCATCTCTTGGAACTTTACTTGCTCGCCCTGCAAAAGCTGAACCAGAAGCTCCGATCGAAGCCACTTCCAATAGAATGTCGTACTCGAAATTTCTGCAACATCTTGAAGAGAACGAAGTGAAGAAAGTTGACTTGTTCGAGAACGGGACCGTTGCGATCGCAGAGATCTCCATTCCAGCGTTAAGTAAGATCCAGAGAGTTAGAGTTAACCTTCCGGGATTACCAGTCGATCTGCTGAGAAAGATGAAGGAGAAGAGCGTCGATTTCGCTGCTCATCCCATGGATGTGAACTGGAGAGCTTTCTTGCTCGATTTTTTGGGGAATTTCGGGTTTCCTTTGCTCTTACTTGGCTCTCTGCTCTTGACGACATCTTCTTCAAATAAAACCCTTGGTGGACCCAACTTACCTTTTGGTCTTGGAAGGTAGTTTCATTCATAATCAGTTTTGAATATTGAACTTAAAGACTAAGTTTTGAAAGTATGTTTTCTTGTGACAGAAGTAAAGCTAAGTTTCAGATGGAACCAAACACAGGGATAACGTTCGAGGATGTAGCAGGAGTAGACGAAGCCAAGCAAGACTTTGAAGAGATCGTTGAATTCTTGAAAACCCCTGAGAAATTCTCAGCCTTGGGAGCTAAAATCCCAAAAGGAGTTCTGTTGACCGGACCTCCCGGAACCGGAAAGACTCTATTGGCCAAGGCTATAGCAGGAGAAGCCGGTGTACCGTTTTTCTCACTGTCTGGATCGGAGTTCATAGAGATGTTTGTTGGTGTAGGAGCTGCTAGGGTTAGAGACTTGTTTAACAAGGCAAAGGCTAATTCACCTTGTTTAGTGTTCATTGATGAGATTGATGCTGTTGGGAGAATGAGAGGAACTGGTATAGGAGGAGGAAACGACGAACGTGAGCAGACTCTAAACCAGATTTTAACCGAAATGGACGGGTTTACAGGGAACACTGGAGTGATTGTGATCGCTGCAACGAACCGGCCGGAGATTCTAGACTCTGCTTTGCTCCGACCAGGAAGATTCGACAGGCAGGTACTGTATGTTAGTTGATGTTACATAACCAAACATAAACCGGACAGAAAATTCTCAAATTTGTTACAAAACCAATCATGTAAAGTTGGTTTTGAACAGGTTTCCGTTGGTTTACCGGATATCAGAGGAAGAGAGGAAATACTGAAAGTCCACAGCAAAAGCAAGAAACTTGACAAGGAAGTGAGTTTGAGCGTGATTGCCATGAGAACTCCAGGTTTTAGCGGAGCTGACCTTGCGAATCTTATGAACGAAGCTGCCATTCTCGCCGGAAGAAGAGGAAAAGACAGAATTACACTCAAAGAGATTGATGACTCTATCGATCGGATAGTCGCCGGAATGGAAGGGGCGAAGATGGTCGACGGTAAAAGCAAAGCGATTGTAGCGTACCATGAAGTAGGACACGCGGTTTGTGCGTAAGTCCCGGTTCAATTCAGTTACTATTTTTTTCGTTTCTCCGGTTAAGTCAGTTTTACATGGAAATTGACCTGTTTTTCTACGGTTTAGGACTTTGACGGAAGGTCACGACCCGGTTCAGAAAGTTACGTTGATTCCTAGAGGTCAAGCACGTGGTCTCACGTGGTTCTTACCAGGAGAAGACCCGACATTGATGTCTAAACAGCAATTGTTCGCTAGAATCGTCGGAGGACTCGGAGGCAGAGCCGCCGAGGATGTCATTTTCGGAGAACCGGAGATTACCACTGGAGCCGCCGGCGATCTTCAACAAATCACTCAGATAGCAAGACAGGTACAGTAATTTAAACCAAATTTTATAAACCGGAAATAACCGGTATTATTTTCTTATACATGCATGCTTCTTTTGGTTTCAGATGGTGACGATGTTCGGAATGTCGGAGATTGGTCCGTGGGCACTAACAGACCCATCGACGAAGCAAAACGACGTCGTTCTACGGATGCTCGCGAGAAACTCCATGTCCGAGAAACTCGCTGAGGAAATCGATTCGTCCGTGAAGAAAATAATCAGTAACGCGTACGAGATCGCGAAGAGCCACGTGAGGAATAACAGAGAAGCCATAGACAAGCTTGTCGATGTCTTGCTGGACAAGGAAACCTTGACCGGAGACGAGTTTCGAGCAATTCTGTCTGAGTATACTGATAAACCGTTAAATACAGAGGATAAAGGTCGAATCAAAGACTTGATTAGTGTCTAATACAAATTAAACCGGAAACATAAATAAATAAATTAATCAACAATGCTATGGTGTTTGTATTACAAATTTTTCTTCCTAACCAAAAATTTGAACTATACCCCTCACCTATTCTGAATTTCAAAACCGGCCGAAAATGTCCTTGACCGCTTTGTAAGTTCCGGTTATTACAACCACGATACCGATGAGTATAATACCGATGAGAACCAGTGTTTCGAACCCGAGCCTTCGGTATTTACCAGAGATCTTTAGGTAACACAAACATGGCAATATAACCGATGCCGTTGCGCTCAAGAATGCTCCTACCAAACTCATGAGATCACCGAAAAACGGGAGGAGCAATGCCACAATCACATTGCTAGCAACCAACGTCGTACCAAGGAACAAACCGGAGGTTCTTTTGTTAGGCAAAAACCGCGAAAACCGGCTTCTCATTGCGTCGATGATAGGCGTGACCATGAGGGCAAACTTCGCAATCGGGTTCACCAATGTAGTGCATATCGCCACTTTTGAACTGAACTTATCCGTCGGAAGACTCAATGTTATTTGTGAGTCAAGGTTTGATCCATACATTAAGTAACCTAATATAGCCACCGATGCATATATGAATGTGCATACTGTGAAACATATAACCATAACCTACAAATAAAACAAAATCATTAGTCTGAGTTTCGGACCAAAATAACACTGATTATCCGAAAAACTTACGTTAGAGAATTGGCGTTTGTTCTTCATGGAGGTGTACAGAGTTGGGAAAACTGGATGAGCGCAGTAACAAAACGCGTATAAGCTCACTGAAGTAGTAACTCCATTAATACGAAACATCTTTGAGTCGTTGTTCTTGAACCCAACTCCTTCAAATGCTCCAACCCAAAAGATGGAAGCAAGAATCAACCCGGAAGCAAAGACACCACTCGCGGAAACGTAAGAAAGAATCCTCATATCGTCTAACCAAACCGTGGGAAGGATAATGAGAGCTACGAGGATAATGAACATTTGCTTGCCTCCAAAATCTATACCCATGAAGCTGAATCCAATGTTTGAGAAGAGTTTGTTAAGGTTGTCACCTTCCAAGATCAAGAAACTAGTGGCAACTAGGTAAAGCTCGAGGTTCATGAAGATGGAGACGATGATACGTCCTGTGTTTCCAAAGGCTTTATAGCCAATGTCAGGGTAAGATCTAAGAAGTGGGTCCATGTCCATACATCTCTTAATGAGAATGGCGCAGTAGAAAGTTGTGATGGCTACGGTGAAGAGTATGATCAAACTTAGCCATCCTCCGGATGCTAATGCGTAAGGAACCGATAATATACCCACACCTATGAGAAAGACAAATAGAATAGGTTAGATGAGTATATGATATTAGTATTGTAATCGTCTAAAATTATAAATATTTTAATGTAAATACAAACGCAAAGAAAAAAACCGCGTTTAAGATAGTTATCAAGATAAGATTTGAATCGGTTAAAGAAGCATGTAGAGGAAGAAGAACAAAAGTTGAATAGGGAATAAGTATTGTAAATGTGTTAGGTTTGCTGAAGTGACACGATGTATTCAGATGTTGAAAGAAAGTTGTGTACTATTGGTTTCTTTCTAATCAATTGTTAGGTTTTTGTCGGTATGCATACTGCATATAGTACGTGGATATAAGATGGGAAATGGCTTATCGCATGTTTTCACAAACATGTGTCGACATTGAATTCGTACACAATGATATTATGATAGTGACCTGTTTGATAGACCCATACATAAAAACTCACTTGGCTATTAACAATACTCACATTGGAAACTCAGCCAAATTCTTTATACGGTATTCTAATTCATCTAAACCGAACCAACCTAAACAATACACAACTGAAACTCAAGCAAAAATTTAATTTGTTATAACTTTTCCGATATTTTTTTAAAATAATGAAACTGAATCTAGACGGAGAAAATAAAACCCAATTCGAATTGAACTAGAATTGGTTTTAGTTTGGTTCATATAATTTATTAACGGAAACAAACAAACAATTACCCAAATATCAATGTCATGCAAGAAAAAGGAGCGAAAGATAAAAGATAAGACTGAACCTCTACAACATACAGTCAAAAGCTTGAGTTAAGAACAATAAAGGTAACTAAATTTGGTTTTTTCTATCATATTATCAAAATTAAAGTAATGAAATTAATTAGAAAATCTTTATCAATAAAGAAACCAATTAGAAAATTTAACATTAATATGTATGTATGTGTGGATAAGCTAAGGTTTGGATCTTTCGCCGTGTGTTGTGGAGCTTGGAGATAAGAACGAGGAAGCGTTGAACAAATCAAAAAGGAAAAGCTAGTTGAAAAAAAAAAAACATTACCTGATAATGCGTTAATGCCATGGAAACAAGTCTTGGAGAAAGAAGTATTGCCCTGTGGATTACTATTGAACTCGTAATCACGAAGCGTCGCTTCTTCGTCATCAATCTTCTTAACGATGAACGGCTCCGACATGATATTTCCCTGCTCCTCCATATTTGTTTAATCTTTGACTCTGCTTCTTCGATGTCAGGAAGAGACACAGAGAGAGAGAGATAGAGTCGCCGGAGGAGATATAAATAGAGAGAAGTCGCTAGTAATAAAAACTCAAAAGGCATTAATATAAGAGACCCAATATATAATACAGTATGTAATTAGCTAAACATTATTAGAGCCGATGTTTATGCGTAATATTTTATGACGGTTTTGGTTTTGGTCAACAATATCTGATTAGTATTAAAACGTTACTTTAACTTGTATGTTATTTTTTGAACAAAAAAAAAAAACTTGTATGTTATTTTATGACATACACGAGATCCTTTAACAAAAAAAAAAATGATATACACGAGATCGAGATGTATGTAAGATTGGGAGTTTTTTTTTTTTTTTTTGTGCAACACACTGACTAAAATTTTCTACAAGTGATTCTTAGAAACAAATTGGAATTTAAAATGGATAATATTTTCATCATAATTATCTATACTAACCCTACATTATTTATTGTGAATATAGCTGTAGAATCAGTTGAACTTATTTGTGTAACTAATTGTAATTATCGACTACCCGAAAAAGGTATGCAAATCATTTGTATAGATATCTAATTTCAGTTTCTGATTATGTTTTTTTTGTTCATTCCATTACTGTCTAGCTGATACTCAGATAGTATTAAATGCACTTTCGTAAAAATAGTTATTTTGCGTTGTCAGTTATTTTTCAGGTTTCTGGCTTTTTTTCCCCAAAAATAATTAAGCAGATTGTGTGGCGTTATAAATGAACGTAACCAAAGTAAACTGTAAAACGATGATATGATTATGTGCTCTGGTCTGGTCTCCGACTCCTGTCACGATCGATGAGGCGATAAGTAATGAAGAGGTGGGACAAAACATTTAATTAGGACAACGAACACTGAATAACACGATTTAAACAAGACCATAAACGCTGAGTAGAGTAATGACATGTTGACTTAAGAAAAGCAATGTTATTATTTTAGTTTAGTGACGAAGAAAGCCATGTTATTATCAGACCATAAAAAGAAAGAAAGCTTAAAATAATCTATAGTTATTGCTGAGCACGATAGAATTTCGCAAACTCATTTCATATGTCCCTACAACAATTATAGTCTTAATACACTCCATCATATGTGAACCATAATAAAAAGCTACTCAAACAAAACTACTAATCAGTACAGCGTGCGGTAAAAACTTGGTACCACAGGGAAAAATTACATTAAACGCGAAATTAACCGATAAGTTTGTAATCATTAAACCGATAAAATAGGTTGTAAGTTTGTGGTTCATGTGAAACCAGACGAATGTGAATATCACTGTCGTGATTTATTGCGAATCTTTCAAATAACGCCACGGCTACTTCTGTCCGCTTCTTCATGTGAGAAGATAGCGCTATCGCGGGGATTACGTGATTTTGGTAAAAAAGAAAAGGCATGGATAAATGATAAATCAGTAATGGGTTTTCATTATTGGGCTCCGTGGAAATTTGTAATAATGGGCTTTTCATGATTTCGCTATGAGGCCATCACCTAACTACGTATCGCATTTTGTAAGTGTATGCTCTTTTCTATGATTTTCGATTGTTCAGGTAATTCAGGAAGACAAAAAAATATAAAATATTAAAGAAAATATCATTCATAATCATAGGCCACTCTCAATTTCTTTTAAGGATTTGAAACAGAATCCCAAAGGAGTGACATAACATTACAACATAGGTTATAAAATAGAGTTTTTTAAAAGGGAAAAACATTGATCAAAGTGAACTCATTAAATTATCGTCGAAATTTCTTTATATTATGAGAAGGAGGACCGATATTGGAGCCTAGGGAGGGTGTTTAATCAAGGGCATTTTGGTCCACCCTGTTGAGTTTTCCAGTTGTTGTAGCAAGAGCAAACTTCTTTGTTACCATAAAACTCAGGAGGCACACACAAACACTTTCTGCAGCACTTGTTACAGAACAAAATGCATGCGTTGTGGTACTGTGTCTTGCTACACCTCCTTTTGCATTCTCCGGGGCATTCTGATCATTTACACCACCAATTTTGAAATTAGTTGAAAATTATAACTGAATCTATCCTACTATCCTAGTGATGATGAAAAAAAAAAAAGCATTAAGCAAGAACATGTTCATGTCTTCTTCTTTTTGACCTTTTTATGGGTCCCAACGAATACAGTGGTTTGCTTTGACTCTTAGAACATAACTATTTAGGGGCAAATTAGTCAATATCTAAAATATTTGAGAATCTACGGATCTGACTAGAAACAGTCCACTTAACAACACTTCTGCTTTCCAACTAGTTCAACAGTTTTGTGGAATTCTGCTGTCAATTTAGTGATTTGGTTGCTTTGTAATAGAAAGTTGATTTTTTTTTTTTAAATGAATAAAATGTGTGACGGAAACACTTACGGCCAATTTTCAGGCTTCCTGGTCCATAACGTTTCTGAAAGTTAACCAAAAGGTAACAAAGTTATTATAAGTTAATAATCAAACAAATTTAGTTAATTTAATAGATAAATAATTAAACTTACCGGGTTCCACTTCCGTCTAGATCCCTTTGAGGCCATAACCTAAAAACCCAGAAACAAAAAAGGTACAGCAACATTAAATTCCATAATAAAAGGTAATCTTAAAAATAAAAAACTCAAGTAGTACAATCGTAGAACCACATTTAATAGGAAACAATGTGAGGGGGAAAAAGAAAAGAGATGTTACCACGGTTTGAAGCATGGAGAAGACAATGAGGGCCAAGAGGAAGAGAGCTCCATATGACTTAGCCATTTTTCTGTTTCGGATACTATTATCCAAAGAACCAAACACTCCTCTAGATCTCCTCAAACTAATTTGGTCTCTTTTTTGTTTGAGGTTTCGAAGAATGTGTACTGAGAGAGGAGCTTTGGTTGAGGACCCTATGATGTTGCATATAAGCTATATATACACTCAGTTTGCTTTCTAGTTATTATTCCCTGCGGCGATACGTATCGGGCATTATCGTATTCCTCCGTTTATATTATGCCACGTACGCTTTATTACTTGCTATTGGTAAACTGTGGTTGAATGGATGGTTTGCACGTGGTAAAGTTTGATGCTACGTGAAAATTATTAAACTTTTGGATCTAAACTTGGAGATTATTTAGTTTTAGCGTATTTAAATAACTTGGTAAGGTGTTATCATCCTATAGTTTGTATGCGTTAATGCTTTTGTAAATGAATTTCCATGTTTTTCAAAAAAATATTGCTATTGAGTTGCCAATAGGCAAATAACCAATGCATACACCTACGTTATTGTGTTTCTTCAATATGTTAGTTCATGAGTTAACAGAAAATAAAACTAAGTTAGTTGATTTGATTAAAGAAATCCAAACGACAACTTAATTCACATTAAATTCGGTACTTGCTTGGTGGGTTTTTATAACTTTAATACAGTTATTAGAGTTATAAACATTGAATAACATTAGAAAAAGAAAAGGACGGTGCATTGAAGAAAGGATACGGAAGTTAGATCTGACCAACGGTCCCAACTGTAAAAATAATCACATCTTGTGTATTTTTAGCCACTGATTGTAGACGGAGTACAATATAGTGAAGATAAATCAGATCTGGATCCGCTGTAATGAATTTTTCAGATTGGTTGCTTCATAGATCTCAATCATCAATACTACTTTGTAATACTATCTTTTTGTCAATCAAATATCAAATCTACAGCTTCACAATTATGAGCTAATACATCTTATTCTTACAAGTTACAACTAATTTATACATTATGAGGTAGTACAAAAGTGCTTGGAACTTAAAACCCGGGTACTTCCGCCACTAGTCACTAGACATATCAGATTGGAAATGAGAGAATAGTTTTTTTTTGGACAGTTTAAGATTGATAAAATAAAAGAACTTGAAACGTATCTATAAAGTTACAAACACACATAAAAGTATACATATCCCAACTTGTGTACTGCGTGAATATGAAATTATGTATAAAGTTATTTTTAGGCAACCAAAAAGGTTTGAAAAAGAAGAGGAAGAAAGAGAAGCATGTGCATCTTCACCCAGTTTCCACATGCTCATCTAATTATTGAGTGACTCTGCTTGAAGAAAAGGAGGGAACATTGTGATATTTTTGGTTTCTAACAATATTATCTTCTTTATAAACGTAAGAAGTCAAAAAAACTATCGAAAATAAGGATAAAATATATTTATTGCGAGGTGGGGAAAAAAAGGTAAATGCATTTCGACAATTTTTCTTAAATTAAGGAAATTTGGTTGTTTTCAATGTTTTGTTTTTTTTTGTGGAGAAAATTGGTTATTTTCAGTGTTAAGTATATAATTTTGGTCAGTTTGAAATCTTTCAGACTGCTGCATATAAAATGGAACACATTTTTAGCTACTGATTCCTTTATCAATTTGAGCTATTCCAATTTAAACTTAGATTTACAAAAAAATTGGAGTGACACCAAAAATTGTTAACAGTGGTTTTCAAGTTTGTGTTCAATTAACCAAAAGTCTTATTCATCATCAATCACGGCAAGATTTATTGCAAGGATTAATACGAAATTGGTAGGGTCGGGGTACGGCATGGCACTGACCGTAGGACCCTTTAATAAGAAAAAAAACGAAGCTATTTTATGAAAAGATTTCAAAGCATGTGATGGATCACATGGAAACATGGATATTGATTACTGGCTTAAAAAGGCATATAGGTTATAGATCATGACAAGTTGTTCAAACTTCAAACACATGCATATAGTATAAGAAATGTATAACATTTTGTGACTAGTCTGAGTAATGTAACAAGAAATAATCTATAGTGATCACGTCAACTTGCTCACACATTCGGTTACAAGAAAAACTTGATCACACATACAAACATAAGTTATGAACTGGGGGCTTTAGATAATTTTATAGTTGGGCTAGATTAATTGGGTTCTCTTCCAAAAACCGAACGGAACCAATTGTTTTTGTGTTACAATATTGTGAAACTATCTTCAACTGTTATGAAACATGTAGACAGTGTCAGTGTGTAACAAAATTGTTACTAACAATGCAAGTACATTAATAAAATCACAAATGACCAAGGCAAAAGTTCATATGGAAAAGTGATTATTATCAATTTTGATTCAAATCAAAATATAGGGGTCATAATGTGAAAACCGGAAACATCAAGACCATTTGTGCGTATAGTTGACACTTGACAAATAAGGGTTTTGGAGTTAAGCCCTTTCCTTCATGCTCCGTCCTCCTTATCGCGAATCCGTCGCCGTCGTCGTCTCCGGCCTCATTTAACTTCGATCGCAGTCTACCGGAATCGCAAATTTCCGGTAAGTATCTTCCTTTCTTAATCTCACATCCCTAGAAAGTTTCGATTACGTCCGAGTGGATAAATCGGCCGATTAGACTCATAATTGATCGGCTAAATCTGGGATTTTTACGCTCTCTGTCTCATTTTAAGATTTAGCATTACTCCAGGTTGAACATTGGTGATTTGATCATGAATTCGTTAAACTAGGGCCTCGATCGGTTCATTGACCCAGAATTAAGGACGTACAAGAAATTTAGTGAAATAAAATCTGAAATGTAATAGTTTTTTTGGTGACAGTGATGCAGTTTTGATTTTGATAGAAAAAACCACATTTGCTTTAAGTAGAGTTGATATGAAATGGACCAAAATGTTTAGCATTGTATTGATTCTCATTGAATGCTTAAGTTTTGAGGAGCGCTTTGTTGCTTGCAGATTGTGGAAAAAATGAATTTCTTAAACTCAGCAGCATCAATATGCAGAAGAGTTAGTTTGAGGGAACTAATCACGGAGGTTCCTGCTTACGGTGGCAGTGGCATTTCCGGTAAACACCTAATCGAATCTGTTTCCTGAGGCTAACATAAGCGGTTTTTGTTTTGATGTTCTTCTTTGGTTAACTCATTTGTGTTGTTCTTGTTCTTTGTTTTTGGGATGTTAAAGATAGTTCTTCAAGTGGGTTGAGTTTGGTCTTGAAGCGTTGGGCTACAAAGAAAACCGCTGGATCAACCAAGAACGGCCGTGACTCTAAACCCAAGAATCTTGGTGTCAAGAAGTTCGGAGGAGAGGTAAGAGAACAGAACAACGAGCTCAATACGATTTAGAGAGAATCAAATCAATCTCACTCTCTGTGTGTGTGTGGTTTTGCAGAATGTGATACCGGGAAACATAATAGTTCGTCAACGTGGAACTCGTTTTCATCCGGGAGACTATGTAGGGATCGGTAAGGACCATACTCTGTTCGCGTTGAAGGAAGGACGAGTCAGGTTCGAGAAAAACAAGATCACTGGACGCAAATGGATTCATGTTGATCCCAAGGATGGTCATGTTCTTCACCCTATCTACGCTAAAGCTGCAGCCGCCAAGGCGACTAAGATGGAGACAGCTCAGTCATCGTGAAAAGACACTGATTCAACATCTCTAAAGTTTGTTTTCGTTTGTTAGATCATATGACCTCTTCAGTAAAAGATGGTGGTGTTTTAGAACGGCAACACTCAAATTCAGTAACATCTGCTGATTTTGTGTTTCTCTTTAGTCTTTTGTCTCCAAGTTTAATTGATCAACAGATAATAAATCTTTCTTCTGAAATGAGTAAACAGACAGATTTTTTGTAGTTAACTCAGTTATCGCCTACTAATTTGTCAAGCTATGTTGCAAAACACAAATTATACAATTCTCACTCGAAATTTTCTTTGTTGAAAATTTCTAAAGAAGGTATTCATGATTTCAATCATGTTTTCCAGCCCATTATATAGCCATTAAAAAATGGGCCAGTGTCAAGCATAAGGTTCATGTTCGTCCCATTTCCACAACTTCGGGAGTCTCAGATTCTTGGTCAAGATACCATTATTTGTAAAATGAAAACCAAACATCAAATTGATACTTGTACATGAATAATGATCATATCTGACGAACCAGCTTTGTTTTCGACATAATGTGAAATTAAGAGCCAACTTGTTCATTAAAGCAGTTCCCTCCGTATCATCTCAACTTGTTACAACATCAATGTCTGTTTTTTGTTGCTACTCAAAACATCAATATATCATTTTTTAATTATTTTATCTTCTATTTTACATTTCCATTATTGCAAACCAAAATTTGTTTATGAATTATTTGTTTAGCCAAACAAAAAATAAAATCTCATATTTCCCCCCTATTAAATCTGGAGAATAGTCCAAACTAATTGATAATTGCTAAACGCCCATACGTTCATTGTATATGATGTATCATCCCAATTGCATTTGCGCAGATACATGCTAGTAACTTATGTCATGTGTGTGTACATGTATATATGTACTATTATATGCTAATACAAAGATTCTATCCAGATACTAGCATGTATCATATACGATTACAATCACAATTTACTCAGACCAAATAATGGCGTGAGAAAATATATCCTGGAAAAAGCTAATGACATCCTTGTTATGGGCATCAAGATTATTTAGTGTCGGTTTGCCTTGTTCTTCCTAACCAAAAAGTATGGACCTTATAGCTTATTTAATAGAAAAAAATATATATCATTTCGTTCTCTATGAAATCTTTAGATAGCGTTAATGAGGTACTTATGAAATTATAGCACTTAAATACATGCGATGTTGATATGGTGGTTCCCTATCTTGGTTATCCTAAGTCGTGCAAGTCGTAATATATACCGACATTCGAATTATTTGAGAAGTAACAATACAGTTGTTTGACAAATTTAATATTAGAAGAAGAATTGTCTTCGATAATACTATAAACGAACATGGTTCGACTAGGAAATGCCATATGGGAAGAATTGGACACGCGTAGGCAGTATGTTGTTTAGACAAAATTCATGTCTTTATTAGTATTTCAAAAGAGGGGAAAGAGTATACTTCAGGAGTTGTTTGCGAATACAATAACGCAATTATCAATTCGTTAACTGCTATAAACATGGATAATCAAAAAGCATACTCGAGTATATACATGGAGTACTTTAGAAGCACATCAATAATTTAGCACATATTTGTTCCCTTCTAAGGATGGAAGACAGATCAGTTGTACAATAACTAGGGATTATCGAGTTTGAAAAGCATTATATAAAGTTTGACATTCTTTGGCAGCATTTTGTCAACATCACGAATTAACGAAGCTTAATTATGCTTTATTTTCACATACTACAAACTTTGAAGCTAAAATTACGAGTAATGATGATAACAACTGAAAGCTGACCAAAAAGATTAATACTTTTACAGATTCGAGTATGTATCAAATAGTTGTCAACGTCATGAAGATGCAAATTTAGCAAAAAGAAAAAGACATGACTCACATTAGATGCTGTTCTATGAACCCTATTTATTAGCCTGTATTTATTACACTTATCTCTATTATTAACCCTAGGGTGGGGTCAACAAACCATAGTTCAAATTTTATCTCCAAAGCAAAAAAAAAGAGAACAAAAAACCCATAATGATTATGAATCTCAACCACTCACTTGGATTTCTCATTATCAACAGTGTTCAACTTTTCATCTCTTCTTCCTCCATGAGAGTTGAGTAGTAGTAAACCAGTAATACAAATTTTAAAATATTTTCGTTTTCTAATCTTATATCTATCCAAACACCTAAACCCATTCCCCAAACAGAACATTTTTGTTTAGTGCAGTCTTTATCTCACCTTCACTTCTAAACTCTTCTTCTTCTCCCATCTTTAGAAAAAAAAAAAGGTTTTAGTTTCTTTTCTTAATCTTCTTTATTTTTTTTCTTTCAAATCAGTCTTATTTGTATCCAATAACCAAAAACCATCCCAAACACCCAAAGATCTCAACTCTTATTTGGAAAACGCTAAATGTTTTGAGTCATGGATGTAATAGCTACTACAACTACTGTAGTATCCGACTTGGATTCGCGGCAACCCGAAATCGAAGCTCCGACCCGGATCCAGCCCGCAAAGCCTATTTCTTTCTCCAACGGCAAACGCTGCCACCACAACCACCAACATCTCGCGTCTGAAGCGGTTGCGGTTGCTACTTTCAAAGAATGTCTGAAGAATCACGCCGCAGGAATCGGCGGCCACGCTCTAGACGGTTGCGGCGAGTTTATGCCGTCGCCGTCGTTTAACTCCAAAGACCCCACTTCACTAACGTGCGCCGCTTGTGGTTGCCACCGTAACTTCCACCGCCGCGAAGACGATCTATCTTCCGTTTCCGCCATCGTCCCGGCCATCGAGTTTCGTCCGCATAACCGGCACCAGCTTCCACCACCTCCGCCTTCGTCGCAGCTTCCTCCGGTGGGGATTCGTAGTCCAGACGACGATGACTCGGCTTCTCCGCCGCCGATATCGTCATCTTACATGCTCCTCGCACTCTCCGGAGGAGCCACGGGAGTTCCGATGCCGAGGAAAAGGCATAGGACGAAGTTTAGTCAGTTTCAGAAGGAGAAGATGTTCGAGTTCGCGGTGAGAGTTGGGTGGAGGATGCCGAAGGTGGATGACGTGGTGGTCAGAGAGTTTTGTCGGGAGATCGGAGTCGAGAGAAACGTTTTCAAAGTGTGGATGCATAACAATAAGATCTCAGGACGCGGCGGAGCTAGGAGATCTAACGGTAACGGTGGAGGAGGAGACAGTCGTGAGAGTATGCCGACGAATGGGTCGTTTTCTTCAACTTGAGGAAGAGAATGGAACGTTGTCGTTTTAGCGTTAATTCTTTTGGCTTTTTTCTTTTTGTACTCTTTGATTTAAGTCAACGGGCCAAATCTTTTACTATTCCCCTTGAAATGTCTTTCGGTTGCGTTAATCCTTTTTAGAGAGGTGATTGGAGATGCAGGCTTCGACCAAATACGAGAAAGAAACGAATTAACCTCTAAATTATATTTTTGTACTAGGAGTATAAATGTCTTATTATGACGTATGAGATACAAGTGTACTCACAAATCAAAATTCTGGTACAGACCATACAATGTAGCTAATTATTTCGATCACCGCATACAACTCTGGCGTATTAACGTATATCATATTGGAGATGTTAAGAGTGTGATTATCAAAAATCATCAGGAGTTGGTAACATTAGGGAACGAATTAAAATGATTCGAGACAATACTCGCCTAAAAATATTCTTGCTGTGCTTTCACGGCAAGACTAGTAAAACACCTCTAAGATCTTGCCATCATTAGTCTTCATGAGACGTGTCTTAACCTCAAAGTACATGGATAATGACATTCTCAGTTACGATTATTCGCCCAAACGTGCACCACATCATTCAGCAACTAAACGAAGCTACTGGTAACAAAAAAAAAAAAATGAATCCAAATCGGAGCCCCAGTCCCAAATTGTACATACACGAATAAAATGGGCCATATATTATTAGGCACGAGTTTTTCGTCAAACATAAGAGAGATTCCAAACTCGAGCTCTAGGCCCAAACTTTATAAAAAAGAGTGAAATGGGCCATATATTCTACAAGCCCAAACAACGAACGAGAGTTAGGGTTTTTAGAAACCTTATAAAGGAATCGTCCGTCTCCTTCTTAACACTCTGCGTGCCCTAGTATTCCAGATCGCCGAATTTCAGTAAGGAGACGAAGATATGGTGCACGTTTGCTACTACCGCAACTGTAAGCCCCTCTCCTTCCCTCTTGCTCTTAGGTTATCTCTCATTTTCGATTCGATCTGCGTAGTGTTCTCTCCTCGAATCGACTGATAGGATAGAGACTATCGGATGCTTTTGATTTAGATTTTGTTCGACAATGGTTTATGTCATTTGATTTGCGAATCTGGGCTTTTAGCTGAGAATCACCATTTCCGTCTCTCACAATGATTATATCTCAGAGATATTTATATAGTTTCGTTTCGAAGATCTCTCACTGTTTGCTGATTATTTTCTGAAATGATTATTGATTGTTGAATCAGATGGAAAGACCTTCAAGGGACCACGTCGTCCATACGAGAAGGAGCGTCTCGACTCCGAATTGAAGCTCGTCGGTGAGTACGGTCTCCGTAACAAGCGTGAGCTCTGGAGAGTGCAGTACGTTCTCAGCCGTATCCGTAACGCGGCCAGAGATCTCCTGACCCTCGATGAGAAGAACCCCAAGAGGATCTTCGAAGGTGAGGCTCTTCTCCGTAGGATGAACCGTTATGGGCTTCTTGACGAGAGCCAGAACAAGCTCGATTACGTCTTGGCCTTGACTGTTGAGAACTTCCTTGAGCGTCGTCTCCAGACCATTGTCTTCAAGTCCGGTATGGCTAAGTCCATCCATCACTCCCGTGTTCTCATCAGGCAGAGGCACATCAGGTAATTCATTTGCCTGATCTCTCTCTCTCTCTCTCTCTTAAAGGTTCAAAATTTCAAGAAGTTAGCATCGATTTGATTTGGGTTTTTGATTTGTTGTTGTAGGGTTGGAAAGCAATTGGTGAACATTCCATCGTTCATGGTGAGACTTGACTCGCAGAAGCACATCGACTTTGCTCTGACCAGTCCCTTCGGTGGTGGCCGTCCAGGAAGAGTGAAGAGAAGGAACGAGAAGTCTGCCTCCAAGAAAGCATCTGGTGGCGATGCTGACGGTGATGACGAAGAGTAAATCTTACTCTCGCCGGTTTTAGCTATGAAACAGTCTTCTGCTTTTTGATATTTTTGTAGTATGGAACCTTGTTTCTTTTGTTTCCCCAAAGGATTGGTTTGTGGTTCCTTTTTATTTATCTTAAGATTGTGTTGAACCTTTTGCTCATCTATTCCTCATATTATCTTTAAAAGTTGTCTCATTTCTCTGTTCGGTTTTATATTTTAGCTTTCATATGCATACATAATCTCTCTACTATAGTTATAAGTTTTACAGATACTGTGTCCATGTGACTAATTGAATAAGTTGGTTATCTTAATTTTTCAGTTCTGTAATCTAACATGTCTTTTGTTAGTCCAATCTCTTGAATTCCTTGGCCCATAAGCTCTGTATTTCTAGTGTTGTTGCTGAGAGCTTTTTTGGTTTTATAATTGGTGTTGTTATATAACCGATTTTGTTATTCTTAATACTTCAGTGACATCGCCGTCCGCGATTATATAAATCGACACTGCCCGTTTGTTTACTAACACTCGGTATTCTCCTTACACACGTGTTACATGCGAACCACGTGGAAACCATATTACCATACAGTTCTGTTTATAAATTAGCAACGGTCGGTTATTCCGACACGTAAATGAAAACAGTTTCATTAATCTCTCGATAAGAGCCATGAGACAGCCAGATCAATCACAGTTTTACACGTTTAAAAACTTTGGAATCATCTTTTAGATTTAAAGATTTCTTATATGATTCTGAATATTTGCCGATGGCGATGTGAACTTTACCTTTTCTGACATTTCTGTTACTAATCATTCGACCATTCGATTTTCAAATGTTGTTATACTAATAAGAGTATTCAAAAAATTAGTATAGATATTAGGGGTGTCAAAGGGTAACGTTTTCATAATCTTAATATAACTTCAAACTCCCAGTTTGATCCCATGTACGCATAGATCCGCGTAACCACTTTCTTTTGTGAGAAATCTACTAACCATAAAACTCAATTAAATGCTATGAGATACAAATATATGATGTGAATAAATAAAATATAATGAACACAACCTCCATCTGTTCGAGAATAACATGGAGCTCAAGCTTATAAAAATGTTTGCTCTTTAAAACAAAATCCAGGAGAGATTTTTTGGGATGACGTGGCAATATTCTTTGGAAGCTATCGAACTAGTGTTTGGAAGATGCCGAACAAAACGGCGATGGATTTGGTCGTTTTCAGATCCGATTTCCTCTTCTTCCACACGTCTCATTTCATCAGTCAAACACTAAAACACAGAGAGATCGGTACCATACATTTTTTCTCAAACCGGCTCAGTCTAATTATCCACGTGTTAATAGCTCTATGGTGAGACTTCCCTCGTGACGTCATCAATACCGACACGTCAACAGTAACCGTTTTTTTTTTTCCTATCCCGTTAACTAAAGCTCTATATAAATTTAAGCTCCCTTTCACATGTCTTTCACAGTTCAGAATAAATTTTCAAATTTCGAAAATTCGAATTCCTTCCCCAAATCTCTGTTTTATAAGACGATGGCGATGAGAGGAGCAGCTGAAACTTGGCCGGAGATGGAGGCGATTGCTAGGAAGATGGTGGAGGAGGTTGAAACAGAGAGCAGTGGATCATCGGAAGCTGAGACTGAGTCTCCGAGATCCGTCGGACGCTGGGCAGCTGCTCCGATCACTGGGACGACGGCTAAGGAGCGAGTGCATAACCAGGTTTTGAAGATCAGGGAAGAGGATCTGTGTGTTCTCGTTGAAACCAGAGCCGCGAATCCAGAGAATCGGCGATATCTCCATCAGCGTCGTTTCAATTTGTTCCTGATCTCGCGGCCGAATCTGCCGTGTTCACCTCTCAGTGGAAAAGTGAGCTCCGTTAACGCTGTTCAGTGATGTTTCCCAGATCTTAGTCGATCAAGGTTCGTCTCTCTCTCACTGATTCTCGATCGATCGTTCCAACAAATTATACTAAACTTTTGAATTCTGTGATCATTTGATGATGTGATTGAGCTTAAAATTGTTTTCTTCAGTCGTATCTTAACATTATTTTTTGGTTTATCGTTTTTGTTTGTGCAGGTGATTCGTCCTCTTCGTTTGCTTTTTAATTTCTCTGTTTTTCCTTCGTTTTATTTTCGTTTTTCATTTTATGGAAGATCATGTTAGAGAGAGCCTTTTTCTCGTCATAATGTCATGTGTATATAAACCGTGAATGTATATATGAGCTCATGAAACTTTATGCTCGACTCTTGCTTACATATCTTTTTTCTCTCAGTCTTATTATGCGCCTTGTTATGAACTATTTGGATATATTGCCCAATTTCGAAATGATTGAATCTGCAAAATAAAATAATCCGAATTTCGTGCCACCTAGTAGAGTATTTTCTTTCTAAAAATATTCTACTTTGAATTGGAGATAAGAACGACTAATGCAAAACTATATACAAGTCAAAATTAACATCATACTCCTTAATAAAGTTAAAACTTTATAGTTTACCACTAACTATATGAAACAACAACGTTCATTACAAGACGGAAAAGATAATGTCAAAACAGTAGCTTTTGCATAACATTTTGGATAAGATGAATGTCAAAATATCAAGATATAAAATTAAAATGGAAAACTATGCATGATAAAAATAGCAGCTTTACTATAATATTCTGTTATTTGTTCTCTCACTCTATATATTTCTTCAGTTCAGTATAAATTAACATCTTTTTTTTTTGTTAATCATGTTAAGAATATATCAACATCTTGCAAATAGTGTTAGTATCAGTGAATTTATATGATATATGAATATGAGAGCAATCAAGAAAACTAAACTCTCCATAAAAAAAACTTTACATAATGGATTTACAATTTTATAGTCCACTAGACAATACACTTATTTCACACAGTTTTTCAGAGAAACAAATTTACAAAAAAAAAAACACAATCTCAGGAGTAGTGTATCTTTTACTTAATTAACATTTCTGCAATTCTTCCGAACTTCTCCGGCTTGGCCCGTTAAAACTCCAATCCGACCCATGTTGACCATAGAGACACCAAAGTCCTTCAAGAAAGTAGAGCCAGAACTTTTTATTTGCTTGAGCACGTAAGACTTAGTTTCTTGGTTGTCTAAAAGAGCCGCGTCAGATTGAAATAACCCTCTTCTTTGAGACACAAGCTTGAAGTAGCTCTCATCGAATGTTTTGAAGCTTCCTGGATCCATTTCTAGAGCTGTCGTGGTATCGGTCGGCTTGCATTTTTTTCTGAGGGCAGCTGCGTAATTCGGGTCTAAGTTCGGATCGCTGTCTCCTTTTCCGGTGAAATTGTAGAGCCGGTTTAAGATTAGAGGACAATGTCCGTGCCCAATCGTATGACCACCTATCAAAATGTAAATATATATATATGAATGACAGAAAATGTTGAAAATGTTTTTTTTTTCCCTTTTTAACTGAGGATCCCATCTCATATAAACGTAAATTCTTACACTTTTAAATGTCATATGAACGTTCTCATATTATGACGTACCTGAAAGTACGACGAGGTCGTTCTTGTCGAGGCCTTTGGCCTGGAATTGGGTGATAAGACTAGTGATATTATCACCTGGTGTTGGTAAGTTCGATAGGGCCTCATTGATGTTTGTAACCTTACCGTCTCTCCTTCCCGTTTCAACTCCCCACGACTGTCCATAAAGCTGAAAATATAACGATGATTAATATATATATATATATATATATATCTCATGTACGTATGTTAAAAGTCCAACATGTCATATATACTTACCGCAGCCACTGCGTCTCTAGTGACAAGAGCCAAGACATCTGAGCAAGAAACAACGCCTGGACACTCCTTTTCTAGAGCTGCCTTGACATTGTCTATGGTCTCAAACCCTCGAAGGCTAAGGTTAGGAGCTGCGTTCTTTTCATCTTGCTTGTTTTTCAGCTCTAGCAAGACCGACCCGTCGCATCCCTACAGGTTATGATTCAGTCATTACTCATTATATTGATAAAGTACCAAAGAAATATTAATTGGAAAATAGGGTTTTCAAGAAAGATCATTACCCGAACGAAGCAATCGTGGAAGAACATTCTGAGCAAAGGAGCTCCAAGTTTTGGATCCTTTTTCATCGCGTCTAAGACAGAATTCTTAGCAATAAGCTCGGCTTTTGGGCATGTCTTGTCGTAGAAACCAACTTTCAATCCTTGGGCATTGGTTGGAGCTATAAGGAGCAATATTTGAAGGAAGATGAAACAAGAGAGAGCCATCGCCAAAGCAGCCATATAGTTTTATTTAGCTTGGCTTTTGATCGATGCTTGATGATACTAATTGAGATAAAGATTGGTGCTGTTATTTATGCTAACATTATCCTATGTAATAATGTCATGGACGTTGGAAATACTATAGTTTAAGTTAAACTAAATTAATAATGTACCATAAGAGTTCGTGGTTTCAGCATTGTATTTTAAGAGGCCAAGATGTGGTCGAGTACATTAGTAGTTGTGTATAATTTTTTTGAGTTATCAATAATTACTTGTGGAATGTTGAATGTCTATGTTTTTGAGTTATCAACAAAAATAGTGTATCTTGTAGTTTCCTGCTAGTTTCCATTTGTTTAAGGTATATTGGTTTGCGTGATGCCTATAGCTATTGCCACCAGAAAAGGGCTGCCAAAGAATTTTAAACAAGAAAAATACAAAACTAACACAACATTGATAACTTTTTTTCGTTTTGTCAACTAGGTAATGAAACAAATAAAACTTTGTTTGATAACTAACTTGGAATTGACAAGTAAACCACAAGAAAAAAAAACTATACTGTATTATGTTTCGTAACAATTCAAATGTAACAAGAGCCGTCCATGATTATCTATTTCACACGTATACGAATGGTTGGTAGGTAGGAGAATTAAGAATGAACAATTTTGCTTGTGATAATGGACTTCTAAACTGACAAAGTGACAATTATACGGTAGAAGGAAATAATACAGCTTAAGTTTGAACATACTTAATTATTATCCTTTTGACAACACTTGACGAACGCTTTGGACTTAACTATACTGTTTAATCTTTGGACTTCATTACAGCAATTATTTTGTCCAATCTGCTTATTATTCTTCCAATCACACACCCATTTGATAGTAACATTTCAACGTAATGGTGACATGTAGTTGTTCTTTCATCGTATTTTATACTTTTAAGAAAAAGCTATTAAATGCAATTATATTATAGTTTGACAAAACAGGCACGGATTATCCATTAACCGACCACAAAAAAATGGGAACATAGGTTGATGACGTAAGGGAACATAAGTTGATGACGTAAGGTCTTCCCGCGCGTTTCTCCAGTCCAGCTGTTGATGAGACGTGTCAATACAAGAAAATTCAAAATAACGAAAGTGAAAAAGAATGTCTGAGCCCGGGTTCGAACCGGGGACCTCTAGTGTGTGAGACTAGCGTGATAACCGACTACACCACCCAGACGTTGTTGTTAATGATGACTAAGTCATTTAACTTATCTCAGTGTTAAATTGTTAATAAATTATGATGATGCTGATGCGGTGGTGAGATTGTTGCCGCCGGCGTGGAGAATCGTTACTTCCCGCTGTGCTGAGTTTCTTCATTAATTTTCTTCCTTTTCATTGTTATGATTCGGGTTTCAGCGTATCTCGAATTCTCGATGCAAAGATCGATAGAGCTTATAATTTCCCCACTGAAACATCCAGATTTTTCGCAATTCCTGCATTTATCTCTTTGAGCGTTATAAGAGCCAACGGATCACGTGGCAGAAGATGATTGGCTGTCATTTTTCTTCTTCATTATTCTGTTTTGTTTCTCTCTCCTCCCTCTCTCTTCGCCGTTGCTCTCCTATGGCGGATTCGCGATTCCACGGTAATTCGAATGATTCATCGATTTCGCACAAAAAATCGGTCCAATTATCATGCCTTCGGTGGTGGGTCTTTCCTAATCTCCGTGAAACGGTGCGAATCGGCGAAGAACACCGGAAGATCAACAGTTCTCAATCAGCGATTGTTTCTCCTCTATGCATGGTAACTTTTTCTTCCACAATCGGCCTTATATGGTGGTCAATTAGGGTTTAGGAGTTTATTCAAGTTCATGTCTGATTCGAATTGATCTTCTTTTCATTCGTTCCTTTTACTTATTAGCTCATGTTTTGTCCTAAAATTTTGGCTTGTGTTGTTGTTTATTTTGGTTTCTGGTGGGCACAGAGATGGAGCTGTTGACAACGACAACAACAACAAGGACGTGTTTACAGCTGTTGACCAAGCTGAGATTACAAAAGATGTTTGCTTGATGTATGATTTTGTGAATCAGCATTTACAGGAGGCCACAAGGTCGTTACATCAGCTTGAAAGAGAAGTGAGAATTTCTTGTGATCAAGTGATCTTTTGTTAAAACCTTTCTCTGTCCATATCTTGTTTTGAATCCAGGGTTTCCGACCTAAGCTTGGAGGAAGATGATGTTCTGAAGCTAGTAAGTGAAAAGAGTGAGAACAGAGTTGTAAGGAATATAAAGGCTTCAATGAAATGCAGTGATAGAGAAGTTTCCAAGCCTGCAACCGAGAGCTTCTCTTTCAGAATTCCTCCATCAGAAAACATTGAATCTCAAGGAAGGTCGGATCTTCCGGGAATAGATGTGTTGGTCTCAGCTGCAAAGAGAAAGAGCCGCCTCTGGTCACAGCCAACTGTCAGATTGATGTTAAGATAGAAACTGTGTTTTGTTTTGCAGGTTTGTTTCATGTCTCAACCGTTGATGCTACCTCATCGATCTTAATCAGCAAGCAAATAAAGGACACCAGAGCATTGTCAAGGCAAGCCATATGCTCTCAGATGCAATAAAAGCATTGTGCTTATTACCAATCGATCATACATATATAAGTATGTAACATACCACAAGCAGCTGAAAATTGTAACAAAAGTTTCCTCTCTTGATACGCATTTCTCCTCCTCTTTTTTTGTTTGTTTTGTTTTGGTTTGACAAACATACACATCTATCTCCCTCCACTAATAGATTAATCAAAACACATCTCTTGTTTCTTAAGCAAGAACTGTGTTTTTTTTACTTGGAAATTGCAGTGGTGGATGATAAGTTTGTCAAGGAACCAGTGAAAATGCAGATGCATATTGAAAATGCTAACAGGTGCAGGAGACTCTATAAGCACCCCTATAAGCACTCTCCATTAGAGGAGAGAAAACAGAGAATTTTTAATAGTGTTGCTTAACCCAATTTTAATAATAAAAAATCTTGTAAGCACTTTTATAAGCTCCGTGCGTTAAGCATGCTCTAAGGGTTCCACAAAACGCTGCGTTTGGCTGCTTCTTCCTTCTTCCTCAGTTCACTTCACTGCGCAAACCAACCTCAGAGACTCGTCGAAATCTTCCTTAATGGCACTCTCTCAGGTATATTAATTCGAAACGAAACTTTAATCTCCGTCTCTTACAATTGTTGAAATTAGATAACTTCTTCTGATTTTGTATCTGTTACAGGTTGCGTATTTGATTCCGTTGAAGGCAGATTTAAACGAAGACAATTCATCTCCAAGGATAACTTTATCCCAAGGGCCAAACACCATCGGTCGCGGCAACGTTTTAATCGCCGATAAGCGTCTCAGCCGCAAACACATCACCGTCACCGCTTCCACTTCTGGCTCTGTTTCATTGTCTGTGGTAAACCATCAAACGAAAAAAACCCATAACTTTTGATCACCAAATTCCCTAAGTTTGAGTCTTTTTCGATTTGTCTAGGAAGGAACGAATCCGGTGGTTGTGAGGTCTTCCGGCGACGGCGAGAGGAAAAAGATAAATCCCTGTGAAGAGATTTTATTAACTGATGATGATATTATTGAGTTGATCCCAGGTCATCATTTCTTCAAGCTAGTTTTGCCACCAACTGAAAACAAAGGAAGCCATGAAAGAGCTGCTAAGAAAGCTCGAAAGGTTACTTACTCTTTGGCCTAACTCAACAATGCAGTTTTTTGTTCTCTTATGCTTTTGTTTGATATGATGAAACTGTTGTAGGCTGAAACACAAGGAGATGATGATAATGTAGAGGCGATTCGTCGTTTTTGTCCACCTAGTGAGAAACTACCTTCAACGTTTCGGCTTTTGAGTGTCAATGGATTGCCAGATTGGGCTAATACCTCCTGTCTTTCTATTAACGATGTCATTGAGGTTAGTCTTATGCAAATATATTAGTCAATCGCTAAGTTCACACATCTTGAACTAAGATATATATTGTAAATGACAGGGAGATGTTGTTGCTGCAATCCTATCGAATTTTATGGTCGATATAGACTGGTTGATGTCAGGTGAATATTCTCATATCTTGTTTGTAGAGTTTGTTGAAATGATTAGCCTTTTAAGTACATTTAGTAGCTTTGTGTTAACTTAATTCAGTTCACTGCAATATCCTTTTGTAGCTTGCCCGAAACTGGCCAACATTCCCCATGTTATGGTCATTCATGGAGAAAGTGATGGTAGGCAAGAATATATTCAGGTTTGTAATGACAGTTTTGCTGATTTCTTATACTTGATGTTAATGGTAGACCGAAATCTCTAGTCTCTGTTATGTTTAACAGAGGAAGAAGCCAGGTAATTGGATTGCTCATAAGCCTCGGTTACCTATTTCATTCGGGACGCACCATTCGAAGGCGATCTTTCTAGTCTATCCTCGAGGAGTGAGAGTTGTAGTACACACTGCGAATCTGATCCAGGTTGATTGGAACAACAAAAGCCAAGGTTTGTGGATGCAAGATTTCCCTTGGAAAGATGATGATGATGATCACAAAGATCCACCTAGCGGATTTGAAGGTGATCTTGTGGATTACCTCACTGTTCTTAAGTGGCCTGAGTTTACTGCAAGCTTACCTGGTCGTGGTAATGTCAAGATCAATGCAGCCTTCTTCAGAAAGTTTGATTATTCTGGTGCTACGGTACCTTCTACTTCTCTAAAACCTTCTGATTTGTATGCTCATCTTTTATTAAGACATATGCAAGAAATTGTTCAGGTTCGACTCATTTCATCAGTCCCTGGATACCACACTGGTATGAACTTGAAGAAATGGGGACACATGAAGCTAAGGACGATTCTTCAAGAATGCGTTTTCGATAGAGAGTTTCGCAGATCACCGTTAGTTTATCAGGTTGTGTTCCATTCCGAGTTTCTTCTTCTTCTTCTCTTCTTGCAATTGTATCTTCTAAAAAGTAGTCTTATACAGTATAACTTTTTGGCATTTGCAGTTTTCTTCCCTCGGTTCTTTAGACGAGAAGTGGTTATCTGAGTTTGGAGCTTCTTTGTCTTCTGGTATAACAGAGGACAAGACTCCTCTCGGTCCTGGCGATCCGTTGATAATATGGCCGACAGTAGAAGACGTGAGGTGTTCTTTGGAGGTAATCTTGAACAAAAGGTTTCTAAAGATTACATCTTTCCTTATATACCATAACGGTTTTTTCTTGTGAACGAAAGGGTTATGCTGCAGGCAATGCAATTCCGAGCCCATTGAAGAACGTGGAGAAACCGTTCTTGAAAAAGTATTGGGCAAAATGGAAAGCGGATCATAGTGCTCGCGGGTAATTTTAAAGAAAACCAAACATTTACAAACCCAACTTGTGGTTGCTACTCAATTCTCTGATCCTTTTTATAATGTTACAGTCGTGCAATGCCACATATAAAGACCTTCACACGTTACAGCGACCAGAAGCTTGCGTAAAGTGTCAATCTTTAGTTACCCACTTGAATAAAAAAAGATGTACCTTTAGTGATCATGTTCTTGATTTTTGCTTGCATAGATGGTTCTTGCTAACCTCATCGAATCTTAGCAAAGCGGCTTGGGGAGCACTTCAGAAAAACAATTCCCAGCTAATGATCCGCTCCTACGAGGTAAAAACCCCTTGTTTTCAATCATCAAAGTCTTGATCTTTTATAAATACTGATCAAATTCCATTGAACTGTATTATTTGTTAGTTGGGCGTCTTGTTCTTACCATCTCCAGTAAAAACACAAGGTTGTCAATTCTCGTGCACTGATAGCAACCGGAGCACTATGAAGGTAATCTAAGATTCCTAAACGTGGACTCAAACTTTGATCTTTCCCTCTCAAATGTGTTGTGCTGGCAGGCAAAACATGAGACGAAAGACGAGGCAGAGAAGAGGAGTGAGCTAGTGACAATGACCTGGCATGGAGACAGAGATTCGCCTGAGATAATCTCGTTACCAGTTCCTTATCAACTACCTCCTAAGCCATACTCACCGGAAGGTTTGTTCGCATTCATTCTCCAACAAAAGATCACTTCTTTCTTTGTGGGTTCTTAGCGTTTCTTAGCGTTTTTCAGATGTTCCATGGTCATGGGACCGAGGGTACTCGAAGAAGGATGTGTATGGACAAGTCTGGCCTAGATAGTTGATGAGGTAGCGTTTAGCTGTTATGACTTGAGTTATGGGTTATGGGTTTAGCTGTTATGGGTTTCACTTGGTTATGAAAGAAAATTTAATCTTTTAGTTTGATGATCATCAACCAAATGGATCAAACATTAGCTGTGAAATTTGTGGATTCAACCAGATTCGTCCAAAACTTTTTTAAAAGCCTGTTTAAGAAAATTGGCTAATTTCAGTTACATACTTGCATACATTTTTTTTTTCGACATACCCACCCAAACACGTTTAATTAGCATAAGTGATAAGTACGAACTACAAACACAAAACAATAGACAGAAATTGGAGACATAAGTATGACAGAAGTGTGTCGTTGGTTACAAGTAACCTACGATTTAAATTCGAGACATCAAATTAACAAGAAAAAGAAAGAAAAAAAAAATGAAGGAATTTTTGGTGGTACATATTCGATAGATATTTAGAATACAAACAGACGAAGACAAGCATTCACAATCAATGTCTACGTTTCCAAGAACACCCGTCCCTCTCCTTGATGATTTGGCCTATATCATATCTATCACCTTAACTAAGACAAAAATATAGATACTTATAAAAATGATAATAAGATCCATCAGTCAATTGCTATTTGACATGTTAAACTAGTCCTCGAATCTTGATAAAAGCTTATCATGATTTATTTAGTGATTAAGAACAAGATCCTTCTTCTATGTTCTGACCATTCACAACTTGCCACATCAGTATCCAGAAGTTTTGGATCATTTTATCCAATGCCTTGAGACTTAATTAGGATATCCGTAGTGTCTAGAGAAAGTTTCACCAATTATTATTAAATTACAATTTACTTTCCACATTTCATAGGTATAACTTTCATTCAGGGCATCATCACTAGTACAAGTGTTTTTAGTCATAGTAAAGATGTAGTAGTAAGCAATAAGCCACATATACAGTGAAACTATATACAGTGAGCTATACAATAGCGATGTCCTAATATGATAATTCTACATGTAAAATGTGGAATGGTAAAAAATTATCTCTCTATAGTAAATTTATGCCTTCTATTGTGAAATGGCACAATTGTTCTAACTAAAAACAGAAAAGAACAAAAAACGAAAATAGAAATTTTGATATTGCTACCTTAAAAAATAAGTTAGAGATAAAAAAAAATGGTCATGTGGGAGAGGAGGGGGCGTGAAGGATGGGGATGCAGATGCTCCATGATTAGAGGGGGAAAAAGAGTGTCCTATCATCACATGGGAGGTTAAAACTTGTTTTTGTTTACAACAGAGAATTAACTTCAAAATATTAAAACATAAATTGTCCCACCTTTGTGTGCTCATCAACAAACATTTTTCTTTAATGTCCAATTCATCACACCATCTCCTTGTTTCTAACATATGATAATCAGATCATGCATCTACTTATCTCATCATTCATTCAATCTTCTGCATATCACCATCAATACTATGTGTTTAGGTATCTCATATATATCTAATGTTTTGTTGTTATGAACAAGTGAAGTTATTAGAAGGTATATGTGCAAAAAGCCACATGTTGACGAATACTTAGTTCTAAAATCATCTGTCCTAGAAAAGGTTCGAAGTAACTAAGTAACTGGGTTGATTCGATGAAATTTCATTTAAATAAATAAAGAGACAAATAAATATCCTAATGTCATTCATATATAAATAAATATCCAAATTTCTAAGCATGCAGTATCTATTGAGTTATCGAGCTTGATTTTTGAAGGTTAGCCCCTCCCTAGTGGTTAGATAGATACCGTACGTTACTTTTCAAATGACCTAAGTCATTGTTTTCATTCACCCATATCTATTGATACGTCTAGAGAAATGATTTAGTATCACCAAAATATCATCACTGATGCACAAAATCTTCTTTGTTTTACGTATCACTGCTCGAATATAAAATGATTTTCTCTCTATACCTCTCTCTCTCTCTCTACATATTATATACATATGCATGCGTATATAAGCTTTACACTAGTATAATATTAGAATATCAAGTGATGATATTTTATTTTTTATTGGTTGACGAAAGAACTCGATTCCCACTGTATACACTATACAGTATACTTGTTTCTCTATGGTCATCACTCATCACAGATTTCAGATGAAAATTTACAAATTATGTTTAGACTAGTTTTCGGATTGTGGTCGTTTGGTCGTAAAAACTAATGAGTAATGATACATTCTCTTAAACTCGCACCTCAAGCAAAGCTACATGCTGCGGTTGTAATTACTCTAACTAAATGACATATCATATATCATATTGCCAAGAGGCTAATTCAAAATAGTAATGATGGTTCTAATTATCGTATTTTAGTTACTTTGTTTTAAACGTACGACATGTATTTTAATCTAATTAATACATTGCACACATACATACATCACAATCTGATAAATTGCAATTCACGTGTCTTGTATCCAAGACACCAATTGTAAACCACTGCTCTCTCTTATGCACTTGTCTTCGTCATAGCCAACATCCATATTTTAATTTATTGTATTACTCACTCTCTCTTTCTTACTCTCTCTCTAGAAGTGGTCCTTACCGGCCCTCTATATAACACCGTTTTCTTCTTCTTCTTTCGTCTCCCTTTCTTTCGACAAACACAAACAGTTATATATCTTCCCTAACCCACAAGCGATCAAGAAAAGAGAGGGTTTTCTTGCATACATATATTTATGCAAAATATCTAATTTTTCAAAACAAAATGTCGTCTAGCAGAAGGTCGAGACAAGCAGGCTCATCATCAAGAATTAGCGATGATCAGATCACTGATCTCATCTCAAAGCTCAGACAGTCTATTCCAGAGATTCGTCAGAACCGTCGTTCCAACACGGTAAAATCTTGTTTTTTTCTTAAGTTACAGTATTCTATATATGTACTCTAAAAGTTGGTAGTGACATACTTTTGAATTTTATGATATATAATACACTTAGGGTTAGTTACTATGTCTAATAGAGAAACTCACATATACAGCATGTTGGATATTAGTGCATTATAGTCATAGAATTACGTTTGGGAGATTGCAGTTTGAAGTTTCTAAAAAGAACTTTGACCATTAACCGGACTTTGAGGAGAGGGGAACAGATTTCCCCTAACTTCAGCAATAAGCTTCTAATTAACTTAACTTATATTATTGATTAATTGCATTGAATGTGAGACGACTATATTGCTTGACGGACTATCAATTCAATACATTTATGATTTATGTACAGCACCGACTGATTATTTTTCTCGAATTATGTTTACACTGTTTAGTTTCTATAAAACCAGAAAAGGACGAACTCTACAAAAAAATATGAAAAAGAAAAGGCCGGTTCCTATAAATGGAAGCATCGTTTTCTCTTAGTATAACGTCACTACTTGGATTTGCTCTCAATGTTAATATAATGTGTTAGTTTTTGTTTCAATTATTGAATAGATTTATAAGTTATGACCATTTATCTTCAGCTTTATTTTGATAACATATTGTCATATGCATCTCGGTATTTACCGCTAATAATTGTTTTCAATATTTATACATTCTTTGAATTATATAGGTATCAGCTTCGAAAGTGTTACAAGAGACTTGCAACTACATAAGAAACTTGAACAAAGAAGCCGATGACCTCAGTGATCGCTTGTCTCAGCTTCTAGAGACTATTGATCCTAATAGCCCACAGGCAGCCATTGTTAGGAGCTTGATTAATGAATAACTAAGATATCTGTTGATTAGTTGTGTTTTATATATAATTTTACAATCTCGTTGCGAGGTTGATCCATATCAGGGTTTTCCGCTTATATGTTTCTTATATATTAAGTACAATTCTACCTAGCTAGGGTTCATATTTGACCCTCTTTTGGTTTAGCATATTATGCATGCAACTATTACGCTTAAATTATAATAAATCATATTTCAGCTAATTATTCAGTTTAAATCATTTTCTGTTTTTATATGTATCTATGTCCATTTGTATTCCCGTGTTATACAAATGCAATATATCTCTACATATGATTTGGATCAGCGACAGATCGTCTCAAACTAATCTTTTGTAGCGAACTAATCTGGTGTCTTGGTAGCGTATTTTTGTTTCTGCCGGTTTTCAGTTAATTTGTATAAATAATTACAGTCAAGATGTGTGAGTGTGAGCAGTTATTTAAAAAAAATTATCCTTGGTTAAAATATCAAGTGGCAGGATCTCTCGAATCTTCATTCTACAATAAGGACACAAACAGTACGACTTTTTTAGGAAAAATAAGAAAGAAAGATTTACAGATATCTTAAATCAAATTCTTAAAAGGAGTTTGTCGTCTTTTGTGAGCAGATGTGAAATAAAAATGACGTTAATACTTAAATTTGTCGGAGAATTGGGATCATGAGCCATAATTTTTGCATAAATTAGCGTAGTTATTAAGTTACTTTCGCACGTAATTTCTTATATAAACAAATATATGACTATACTATACATGTAAACATAAGATATGCATGGATGTGACTTCGATCTCTTGCATTGTACAATGCTGTTGTTTGTTACTACACTGCAAATTTGTAGCTTGTCTTTCAATTAAATATAAATCACTAAAAGATAAATCTACGAGATGCAACTGTAAAGTAGTTAGATCGGTTGGAACTTGGATATTATTTTGTAGCTTAACAACTAACGAGAAACATTTTACTAAGAAAATGTGGGAAATGTAGACTTTTGACATGAACCTTTGACTTTTGAGGTTAGTTAAAACTACAGTATTTGATGAAGCAAGTAGCTAAAGTGAATGTTTGTTCAATTATTTTGAATGACATAATTTTAAAAGTTTTGGATTTCGACCTAGACCTTTACCACTAACGTATGACTATATATATCAACTTTATAAAGCACAGTTCGTAATAGTTTTCCAACCGATGATCAAACTAAATAAACTTGAAATGACTTTTCTGCTGTTCACAACGACTAGTATTGATTGCTCTTAGTCTTCAATATCTTAATGCATCACTAGCTTTTTTCTTTCTAATTATATTTGTAAATTTGGTGTGTTATAACTTGTATGCATGGAAAAGCGGTGAATATATTTTATATGTAGCTAGTTTGTAGAATTATAGTTACTAATTAATATTCGTCTATTCGAATAAAAATTCTGAATTCCCACAGTAAAGTTGGTGGTGCGTAGGGATGGATTCCTTTATGGTCCCTTTCAACTGAAACCTACATTAAATTAGATACATATATTTATTTTTATCACACTGTGAATCTGTGATTAATTTCATATATTAACCGCTGTGTTTTGTTTTTAGTTTTTCATCTTTTCTGTTTCTTGACTAAATCTGATAATTGATGTCTCATGCAGAGGACAAATTGTAATATTTTGTTTAATGACTACCTAACACTAACTGTGTGGACTGTGGTGCACGCAGAATTAATATGCTCACAAGTCACAACATTCAAGATTAGTACCTCAGAATGAGTCTAATGATTTTGAATATCCGATCAAAATATAATCTGAATACTAAAGTGGGACGTTAAAAAGGAAGACATTAAACACGAAAAATAATCTTATACTACTGTGGTATTCGATTTTTTAAAAAAATATTGGCAATAAAATTCCAAAACAAATGTAATTGATGGGTCATAAACTAGTAAATGTTGCTCTACCCTACAATTTTGTTATAACTACCGACATAATTGTTCTCACCGTTGGATAGAGGAAACATCTAAATTTCTCGATCGTTTCCTTTTTGTGATTTCTCCTTTGATTTAAAAAAAAAAACAAATATGTAGAAAGTAGAAAGAAAGAAGAAAAGAGAGAAAGGGGAGCTGAACAGAATTACATCACGGTTAAGGTCGTTATCACTGTTTAACGGTATTGTCAAAAAAGGCCATTCATTGTAGTACCTCTTTGTCCTTTCCCACATTTTCCGCGTTATTTGACTTTTCAAACTTAATTTTTTTTAAAAATCACTTTAATAATTTATCCGACCAGCATATGAAAAATTTGGAGGACCAAAGAGATATGAAAATATATTTGATGGCTTTTATCCTACCCTTCTGCGTTGTGGTGGGCTACAAACCCGAAGTCGTAATCTATTAATGATTATGGGGTAAGGCCCATATGATGAGGCCCACAAGATCCACGCGTGTAAATTCATAAAAGGAAATCAATAACGCGCGTATCATCGAAGAGTATTCTCCACGCGCGCCGACAGTGTGGCGGTAAATGCAAAACAGTCTTAATGGTGTGGTAAATGGGTCTCGAAGCAGCCCATATACACATACGAGCGTGCTACGACTTTGAATTGGGTTATGAAAATTCATCTGAATTTTTCAGGATAGTACAAATATTATCGTCGAAAATAGATGATGTTACATGTTTTGAGTACTATCGTCGAAAATAGATGATGTTACGTACATGTGATGTCAAAACCGATTATATTTGTGTGTGGCCTGGAAGAACAGTTGGTTTATAACGAAGAAGTTGTGTTTACGTATGATTAATGAATGGTTCTACAAGTTAAATGTTTTGAGTTAAAAATAATTTATAACAAAAAAATTTATATCGTATAAATGAGAAAACAAAAACTTTATAGAATAAGGCACTCAGCTATCGGACAAGAAAGGAGTAGGCTGAGAACGAAAACGGAGAGAGAGATCAACAAACGATTAGTATGCAAGCATATTGCGGAATGTACAGTATCGATTGTAGTTATTCACATGAAATCGTTTGATTTTAGATTAAAAGAATGCTATATTAAATAGTTACTAACGTTTTTTTTGTTAGAGTAGTTTACTTACGCACTTCAAATGACATTTTCTATGAATCTCATAGATGTTTTTTTCAATATACCAAGATACTCGTTCAACGTGACCCAGTCTAGTTCTAGTCTTCTATATATTATGCTTGCCGCGCAATAATAGCCGTAAAGAACCCCAACGTATCGCTTTAGCTAGCATTGAGCTTCGGTTAAGCAAGATAAGAAATAAGATGTTAAAAAATCACTACGGTTAATTAGATAACATGACTGGGTCAATAAATAACATAGAAGAAAATGGGATCAAACAAACCCGTTAAATATTACTTATAATTTTAAAAAGAAAAGAAATAAAGAGTGGAGAGTTGAAGTATCCCAAGAAAGAGGCAGAGAGAAGGAGAGGAAGCAGAGCACATGGGAGCAGTGGAGCTAGTTGGAGAAGCTTCAGATCATATATTTATATTTTCTTTATATTATATAAACAATAAACATTCAATAATTTTCTGCAACAAAAGCATATTGCCAAAGAGGATAGATAGATAGATAGGTGTTAATACTCTTTCAAATCTTCCCAATACAAGCATGTGAAAGACCTTGTTGTAGGACAGGTCTGCGGCACTATATTGTAGGACCCCTTCTTATATTTTGTATTTAAATACTATATTTTATAATATTTTACCATATACTAACAAAATTTAAAAATTATATTTGTTTATATGTTTGATACTGCGAAAGCCACCACATAGATATGACAATTGGGAAACACTAGTGGTGGGTCTCTCTATCTTTCACATCTACCTTGGATGCTCATAAAAAACTCTTACCAACAAAATTTAGAAGAGTGAAAGAGAGAGCATCTCAATCATCATTTTCCCAATCAATATCTACAATATCAAAATAATATATAGAGCATGTAAGGAATTTATACCACACATCTGAAATGTTAATTTGAAATATATTCTTATATATGTAAGTAAAGCTTTTTCTGTTCGGATAACCCAACTTAGTATGAAATATCAAATATTAATCTAATCGAAAAACCAAAAAAAGTTTTATATAGGTTTGATCTGAATCGAAATCAAGTTAAGTTTAATTATGATGGATAATACTTAGGTCGGTGCATGGTGTGAACGTTGCTGGTGAGAAGAACACACATGCGTTTAAGCTGTACTGTGGAATGTTCTTCAAAAACCAATGAGTGTAATTTTAATTTTACATAAATTATTCAAGTCTTACGATAATTTTCAGTCCTTTTAAGAAAGGTAATATATGCATGCGACAGTACGTAAAAAGCTAATAATAAAACTAGCTAATTCAAGAATATATAATCGGTGATCTACGCACTGGCAAACCTTATACGTACATATTACAGTTATTTGTGGAGTATATATAATATAACTAATCAATTATTGAATTACACCTGAAATTAGAACTCATGCCCGATATACTTTTGTATGTTAATTGCCTTAATAAATTATCTTACTCCAGCGTACTGCTACAACACTATTAATATTGGTGATAATTTCCTAATGCGACGCCTATATATATTCGAGGATTGAGAGTAATGTGGGTGTCAACTATCTTCATTTCTTTGATTTTTTTTTCTTGTCTTAAAATTCTTACATGTTTGTGAATACTAATTATAGTCATGAGTAGATCTTTAATTTGTAGGGGACACGTTACATTGATCTCGATTTGTTTAGCTAGCTTTTTCTATGTAATCTTAAATCTACTATGAAAAACAAACACTGGCCGAAGATAATTTATAGATGAATCTCAAGATCTGTCAGTATTAGTAGAGAACGATACATTATTTTTAGAAAGTAATTAAATGGTGTGGCTAACAAAAATATTAATATAACTAGAAAATGTTAAATCTCATGTATTAGTTGGTTTATAGTTGTATATATGTATAAGCTAAGCTGTAACTTAATGTGCAAAAAAAAGCTGTATCTTAATAGCACACAAGATTATACATATATATAAATAAAGTGGAAAATGTAAGTACCAATATGTGTCAAAAGATCCATGTGGTATTTATTTTTTTTAATTTAAATTTCCCAAGTGTCCTATACAAATTAAATCAAAGAAAGATCAGCATATGCCCTAAAGCTTAAATGGTATAAAGGGTGGGTCCTATACAAACCTCTCATGAACTGATCTCTTCCCTCTTCAATTCCCTCTTCTCACTAATTCTCCCTCATCAGAAAATTCAAGATCCTGTGTAATGACCTCCAACCATTTCTTGATCTAAGCTGGGAAGATTGACCAGCTCGCAATTCGTAAGAAGAGTTGATCATTGGTGGGCTTTGAGCCTGCGTATACATATATTATACATATATGTATATGTATGAGGAGGAAAGGAACAATAGTATTAATAATCAAGAAGGATTGAGACTGGAGATGGCTTTTCCACAACATGGATTCATGTTTCAGCAACTCCATGAAGACAATGCTCATCACTTACCTTCCCCTACTTCTCTCCCGTCTTGCCCTCCTCACCTCTTCTATGGTACGTACCCCTCTTTCTCGTATATCCACACATATATAGACACATAGAATACATCAAGATCTTAATTTCTTTGTGAAAAGGGTCAAGACCTTACCGAATTTTATTTTGATTTATTTTGTTGGATTCTTCTTGGTCACTGCGGAATTCACATAACGTGTTCAGAGATTAACTTGTCTACAGTAAAAAGTGGTAAACTTTGTATTTTTTTCGTGTGTAGGAGGAGGAGGAAACTACATGATGAACAGATCAATGTCGTTCACGGGAGTCGCAGATCATCATCATCTAACTCAAAAAAGCCCGACCACGACGAACAACATGAATGATCAAGATCAGGTGGGAGAGGAAGACAATTTATCAGACGATGGGTCCCACATGATGTTAGGAGAGAAGAAGAAGAGGCTCAATTTAGAGCAAGTTAGGGCATTAGAGAAGAGCTTCGAGCTAGGGAATAAGCTGGAGCCGGAGAGGAAGATGCAGCTTGCTAAGACTTTAGGGTTGCAACCTAGACAGATTGCGATATGGTTTCAGAACAGGAGAGCTAGGTGGAAGACAAAGCAGCTCGAGAGAGACTATGATTCTCTCAAGAAACAGTTCGACGTTTTGAAATCGGACAATGATTCTCTTCTTGCACATAACAAGAAACTCCATGCTGAGGTATATGTTATACACAAAGATTCTGCTAGTATTTTTCACAGTAACACGTTATTTCTAAAGGCTAATCTTACTACTTATTAATTATTTCTTTTTTTATAACAAATTTTGATGAAACTGATATGAGCATTTTTACAAGTCGCTAAACTATTTCTTCGTGGTATATGATGAAAAGTTATGTAGTTTGATTAAGTTATTGAATTATTATCACTCATATATACAAAAGGAAATTCTTCATGGATGAACACGTAGTAGAGATCTAAGAATGGCTTTAAGAATATATAATAGTATATGATATAAAATGCAGCTAGATTACTGATAGGCTCTTGATCCAACGCAAAGATGTTTGTCAAAAGACATTATTTAATATTTATACATTGTTTTGTATTATTAAATAAAGATTCTTGTGTACATACATACATTTTAAATTAGTAAAATTCCCATGTGCTTGTGCTTGTGGAGTTGACATTACGATAATTTATTCTTATTTAACAAATTAATAGATTTATGTTAAAATATATCTCTCCACTAATTTCGCTTTACGTGTGATGATATTGGTACACAAAACAGTTAGTGGCATTGAAGAAACAAGACCGTAAAGAATCAACAAAGATCAAGAGAGAGTTGGCAGAAGCTTCATGGAGCAACAACGGAAGCACAGAAAATAACAATACTAATTCAGACATCAATCATGTGAACATGATCAAAGATCTTTTCCCTTCTTCGATACGAGCCGCAACCACAAACACGACCTCGGCCCAAATTGATCACCAGATGGCTCAAGATCAAGATCAAGGATTTTGCAATATGTTTAATGGTATTGATGAAACGGCGTCGGCTAGTTATTGGGCATGGCCTGACCAGCAGCAACAACATCATAATCATCACCAGTTCAATTGATTATATTGTCCAAAAGAACATCATCATCATCATACTCATCTTGATATCAATACCATCATCAAAGAAAATTTCGTAGTTTTTTTTTAATTGAGTATTTTGAAATTATTTGGTATTGTTTTAAATTAAAATACATCCGATTTTTTTTTTTTCTGTTTCTTTTGGGTTTGTAGAAAATTGGTGTATAGGGGATGTCCAACAAAATTTTAGAATGATAATTTCTTGTTACTTTTAACTGAATAAATCAAGTTTTCTTTCATCCAAAATATTTGCTCGAGATCAAAATATGTATTAGCTACATATACATGTAAACACACAATTTAGCTGTTAAATATTTTGCTAGGTTGGAACACACAGCTGAAAAAAAACAAAAACAAAACATATGGTAAATTTCAGATGCATGTGCCTTCAAGTGGAATTCCAGCTCTGCCATTGACACAACATGAGCCATGTATATATTACATCTGATATTTTCCATCTACCTTTTAACATATTTATTTATGAAATCGTGTGCCCGTGTGTGTTATCTTATCAGATATATAAAATCATTTCTTTCGTAAATATTTACCGTGATTGTAATAAAAACATTATTATTATCAAAACTTGCAGTGTTTGTAGAGTGGAAACATGAAAGAACGAACTCGTAGCGAACTAGTATAATATATCTTTGGAATTCTTATGAAGTACGCCAGAATTTGAAACGTTGTGTAATGTGCGTCATGTTAGTCGGACAGGTAGACATAATATTAAAATCAATCCAAAGTACAATTTACTTTTTATTCAATCACAGTTTAGTACTTATGTATGTACTTTTTATTCGATCATATTTTCTTTAAAGTGTTACGGTAAAAGTTGAGTCGTAAAAGTTTGGATCAAATTTTTTTAGTAAAATTTATGAACCTATACCGATTTCTTTGGTCTTGTACTTACTTTGGTTTTTCAGTATATACACATCTTGACTCTTGAGCAGTTGAGCATATATACAAGACCAAAAAAGGAACATGTAATATGGAAGTTTTTTTTTTTTTTTTGGTTCAAATGTAATATGGAAGTTATTATCAACAATTGTAGATAATAATGAAAGTGGTAACTGGTAGCTGAGGAAGATTACTGGAAGCAGGAAGCACACATTCCAAAGACGAAGAAGAAAAGTCCAAGAAAGAGAACAGAATTGCAACAGTGTTTAGGAAAATAGTTCACTCATTCTAGCTAGCTTTTCGGATCTTTGGATGCTTTTGAATTTTGAGTATAAATAAAATTATAAGATTATTGTTATTATACAAGAAAACAAAGAGAGTACCAAATATTTCTCCTCTTGGTGGGCTCTCCATGTGACCTCACTGCCACCACTTCACTTCCCTCAGAGACTCAAACTTGCGATTGTGAAAGTTATAGTTTGGCCGAAACATCTAAAACTACACAGTGTATATGTTTTGAATTCACACAGTGTTCGTATGGTGTAGCATCCAATATATTATGAGGTGAATACGTTTGTTCGTCAGTTTATTTTACTTATATATAATAAATCATTGACCCGAACTCTTACTAATCTGAAACGGATTGTTTGTATATCAGTGAAACCAAAGTTGCTTGCCAAGTGCAGTAATCTATTAAGATACTGTTATGTGTACTTACATACGTAATTTATGGAATATAAATATAGCTAGATGATGGCAGGTGAGATCATGGGAGGTTTTCATATGTTTTATATGGTTGTATAGGAATTTTTGTGAATTGCACATGTTTATGTTGATAGATTATGGATAGGTCAACTCCTGAATTTTCTGTTTTATGTCATTTGATTTAATGAACACCGTCACAACGAATATATTGACCCGCCATAATCGCACTTAAATTTATTTTAATTTGGTCTTAAGAGTAATAATCTTTCATTCAAATATTACATTCTTACCACCACTCTATTGCAAAATCTTATGAACGATTCAAACATCCCCATTGATCATATAGTTTAAAAATGGTGGTGTAAGTTTTTTTGTGGTGGACATTAATTTACACCCAATTTTGCTTGTGCCTACTAATAATGTGTACGAATATCAAAAAGCTTTTAGAAAATGATGTACAGTCAATGAAACATTCTCAAGGGATTACATAGAAAGTCATACATTCAAGATCGTTAAAGTTGGTGCATTGCAATTTCGTTCTTCTTAATTACTTTTATTCTGTTCATAACGTCTAATTACCACAAACAAACAAAACGCATGACCAGTTACAAATTTTATTCACAATTTGATTTATTTAAATAACAAAAATGGAGACGAGAAAGTCCATTCCCACGAGCGACATCTCAACCTCTACCCAAAATGTAACCAATGAGTAAACCCTTCGGAAAGATGCTTTTGTATTAAAAAAGACGTCAAGATTCTTGAAAACACTTGCTGTCAGCATTTTCGTGAGATTGATAGTTGTTCTCATATTAGATACATACATATATTTCACCCTTTGAGGTCTTTGATTATATGCATTGACAAAGTCGAATCTAGTTAATAGCAAATTCATAACGCACTATGTTTTTGCCTCTATATGATCTTGTATGTTTTTTTTTTTTGGAAACTATGAAAATCTGGTCATCCTTTTAAACTCATAACTAAAACTGTATTTCAAAACATACAAGATAACAAATTAATTAGTGTTTAGGATTTATGCATAACTAGAGATGGGTTTATAACCTTAGCTCTTCATGAAATTTGAAAGATTGAGAGCTAGTACAAACTTACAATCTAACTAGTTTCTTCATCATGAATATCGAATATTAGTTCCCAAAGGTATTCATGTAACAAATCTAAAACAGTACTCTATCAAACAATCGAAAACTTGAAGAGCATAGTGTGTTTGTACTTTTTCCCTGGTTCAACAATTTGTGAAGGGAATTTCGGATGATTTAATGCGTCTGGATAACTTTGAGTTTCTAGACATAATCCTGCAAAAGCTTTGTAAACCGTCCCATTCTTCCCCATGATGTCCTTCAACATTCCTCCGGTATAGAATTGCAAACCTGGTTGGTTTCCGGATAACTCCATTTTTCTCCCTGAATTCTTATCTACGAGTTCCACGATTTTTCTCATTTTATCCGCCTTACCATCTAAACAATAGTTTATATCATATCTGCAAGAAAAACATCAATAATTAACAAAACACCGTTAGATAACTTGGATTATAAAATTAAATTATGTTTTAGCAAAGTATGCACTCACCCTGTTTGAAGTTCCTTCATATTATCTTTAATAGGACGGAGTTGGAGAAAATCGTACGGTGTTCCTTTCACCGGAGAGATTTGTCCGGTGGGAATGAGTTCACCGTCGACGGGAGTATAACTTGAGCCAAGGATTTGAATTTCTTCCGACAAAATATCACCGGCATTATGACCACCAAGATTCCAATAAGAATGATGAGCTAAGTTCACCGGAGTTGCTTTATCTTTAGGATTTGCCTCCATCACCACACTCAGTTCATTTTCTCTGACAAGTCTATAAGTCACCGTGACATTGAGTTCTCCGGGAAACCCTAATGATAATCAACAAATTTGTTATTGAATTAAACATTTCAAAAGTTTTGGTGTGGAAAACTAAAAAAAATGAAAAGAATTAAGGAGACCTTGATCGCCATCAGGACTTGTGTAAGTGAAGACAATGTGAGGTTTCTTGCCATCATACTGGTGTTTTGTAACTGACCACACAACATCCCCAAACCCTTTCGTCCCGCCTAAATTAACAACAATGTTAGTTAGATACATCGTTATAATCACTTAAATTAATTGATCTAATTATGTTATAGTAATCATAGTTACAAATTACCGTGGAGAGTGTTTTTGCCATCGTTGGCAATTGTCTTGTACTCTTTACCGTTCAATTTGAATTGGGCCTTTCCTATTCTGTTCGCTACTCGTCCCACGGTTGCTCCAAAATAGACCTTATCGGTCTGATTTGCGATTACAAAGTTTAGCATAACAAAAAAATAAAGATCAAGCACACCGAAATATTAATACAAGGGAAATATAGTTCTTCGCCGTACCTTGTAGGTTTTGACGCTATCATAACCAAGAACAATATCGCCACTTTTTCCTGAAATTCCGTAGAAATAACATTTAGCTATAACCCAAATGTGTATGAGTTTTTTTTTTTTGTTTTTTTTTATATATCGCCAACATTCAATATGATTTGTCCACTAACCATTTTTGTCCGGGAAGTAGAGAGACATGATTGAAGCACCCCAGTTTGTTAATTTGACAGTTAGATTTCCCTTCTTGAGCTCATATAACCCAATCTTATCATCCCTTTCAACCTCATCTTCATCATCATCATCCTCATCATCATCGGGGTCATCATCCGTATCATCATCAGTATCAGTTTCATCATCATCATCATCATCATCGTCATCGCTATCGCCATGTTCACCCTTCTTCTTAACCTTATGCTCCTTTTCACCATCGCTGTCATTACCAATTTCAACATGATCAGCGCTTTTCTTCTTATCACCATGCTTCTTCGCACCATCACTTTTGTTGGCATCATGTTGATCATCTTTTTTATGGACACCATGCTCTTTCTTTTTTTTCTTTTTTTCTTCTTTATGGACATCAGAACCGGCATTGTGATTATCATTTTCTTTCACTCCTCCTTTTTCTTTGTGTTTACTAGTAGTATGAACAACTTTGGTTTCTTTCTTACTGGTCTCCACACTTTTCGATTTCACTTCAATGTTGTTGGCAAATGAGACACTTATCACAACTCCTAACGTAACCAATAAAACCAAACAGAGCAATATAGAAACTTTCGCCATATTGAAGAAAGAAAAAGAAAAAGAACAAAAAGTAATATGAGTAAGATGACTTTCGTGTTGAGTATTTATAAGTTGAATGTTGTTAGATAAAATAAGACAAAAATAGACAACTGTGGTGAATTAGTGATTCATAGAGAAGTCAGGAGATAAAAACGGACTGTGTTTTCAGTTTTTTTTTTTTTTAATAGAGATACTCAGATAAATCTTTACAGCCAAACTTGCGTGAATCACCAAACTCTAATAGATAGACACACACACACACCGTATGTGTGATACGTCACATAATCATATGGGCCTTTTTGTTATATGTCAATGAATTCTCACTACGGCCCATTAAGCCTGAGTCTGCTTATCACTTTATCTGTTTCTTCTTTAAAAGCTGAAAGAGAAGCATTCACGCGCATAATTAGCGCGTGCATGATACTGCTCCTAAATGTTTTTACTCTATAAAAATCCTATTAAAATACACTCAAAACTTTTATTTGTTAATCTAATTGAAAATAATCTCTATATGACTACAACAATAAAACTCACCTGAATATAGTAATTAGTGCATAATCTCAATCCAAATGAAATTAGAAACTACTATGTGCTACACAAGAAAACATCAATTGTACATTTAATTTGGTCTATTTGAATTCGGTGCCATGCATGGTGTCCTAACTCAAGGAAAAACAAAAACACTTATGAGAAAAGGACGAACAAGAATCTTCTGACACATAACACCTAGTAAAAAAAAAATCACCCCAAGAAAGAAGAAAAATAAGAACAGCTACTAGCTTTTCTCTTCCTTGTTCACGAAACTAGTTGTAGAAGAAGATGAAGATGAATTATTGAACATAGAGAACGGAGGAACTTGCGATGATGGCTGATCCAAAGACGCACCCGTTTGATTATTACCCGCCATTATGTTAGACATCAATAAGCTGCTAAAATAGCCTCCACATCCTTTGTTGTTACTGTTTGTCGCAGTTTGTTGAGCGTTATTTCTAATCTGATGCCGTGGACCGACGATCTGTTGTTCACCGTTGGATCCGACCATGGATGAGATCGCTGCAGCGATCACGGAATGGAAACTTGGGTCGGAAGTAAGCGCTTTCGTGAGGGTTTCGGTTAAAGACTGGTTGTTTTGGACTGTTTTTCCTAGGTTGGACGTCCCGAACTGGACGTTGTTGTAAGGGTATGGAGTATAAGAAGAATATCCATTACCCCAAATTGCGGGTAGGTGGAGAGCAGACGAGTTTGAGGATGATGATGAATTAGAAGAGAAATTTAGGCTTGTGGGTGGGAATCTTTGGAAAGAGTTTGAGAATTTGTTGAAATTCAAAGAAGGCAACGAAGAAGAAGAAGAATGTTGTGGAGCGGTGAGGTCTAGAGTGACGGTGGGGTGTAATGGGGAGTGAAGTGCGGGTGAATAGAAGGCTTTGTTGTTGTTGTTGTTGTTGTTGAATCTTGAATTGTCGTAGAGGTTGTTTCCGATCATATCGGCGGCTGATGATGAGGAGGACCCGGAGAGGAGCATGGATGCGGCGGCTGAGGTTGTAGAGGCCATTGTGGTGGCTGAGAGAGGAAGAGGATGGCTGTGTGTTCCTTCATATGTTGTGATTAGTATGGACATGTCGTCTGCACATCTTTGGACCTAAAAAATCCATATTTTAAGAAAAAATAGTTAGCTGAGCTGTTTTTAACTTTTTACATATGCACATGCCACGGTTGTTTTCGTTTGCGTCTCCATATTATAATAACGCAGATACATAATCATAGCCATAGGATAACATATAGATTATGAACAAAAACTTAAAGGCGTACCAAACCAGTTGATGCTAGAGATATGGTTACAGTTTCATTATTATTTCTTTCAAAGTTAGATATACCAAGATTAAAATGATGGATTGATTACCTGTTTTCTAACGGGACATCCAGGTGCAACCGTGCAGCGATAATATGCACGTGGACAAGGGTTTCCTTTCGCAATCTTTTGACCATATTTTCTCCATTGACAACCATCATTCATCTAATTCAACATAAAATAAACTTGTCCTAATCAGTGGTCATGTACATAAATAATAATCAAATTGTTTATGGTGATCAAAAGTAAATGTATGTTATTAAATTAAGGACGTACCGTTGGTGTGTCACATCTTGCTCTAACACAAACTCTAGCTCTCTTAACATGATTTTGTTGACCGGCCTCTCCATCAACATCGCCACCGGAGGCTGGTGCCGGAGAGCTTCTTTTCCCGGTAACCTTGCCTGGCGGCCAAGTTTCTCCAGGAATTTCTTCCGAGCTATTTTCCAGGCTGGAATTTGCCGGATTATTGTCGAGAGATAAACTCCCGTTTGGTTCACGGACGTTGCCGTTGTTGAACCCTAAAGTCAAACCGGCCTTGGTCAACTCTTCGTCAGCGTTGACTTCTGCGTTGATCGTTTCCGTTCTCTCTTCCTTTTTGGGGGAGTTATTACTCGGGGAAGAACTTCTTCTCCCCAGTGAAAGCGACACAAGCTCGCGTTCTTGATCAAGAGAACTCAAATCCGTCGTTTCTTTCGGATTGTCAACCGTGTTTTGATCTTGATGAGTTTGGTTGTTTGAAGGTTCTTCTTGTTGAATTATGTCGAAGAATCTGAGCTTCAGAGATTTGTAATCACTTTCAATTCGTTCGAGCATTCCTTTAAGCTTCTCGTTCTCTTCCTTCACCTCGCTCATCTCGACCTTGGCAGATTCAAGTTCTTGTTGATCGCCGTCACCCTATAAGATCATTGAATTATTAAAAATAAATAAAAAAACCTCAACTAAATCTAAAATTGTTCCAGGAGTTTCTTTGTTTAAATAAAATATGTTGAGATACATCATAAATTCTAACGGGTTATTCAGTCCTAATATCGAATATAATCTTTAGATGTGCTAATACAGAATCTTCTAATTTCAAATGAAAAAAATGAGTGGGTAAATATTTGAGTTTTTTTTTTTTTTTTCAGTGTTCTTCACAAGTAATTATAGGAATTATAAGAGAATTATACATAAAAGAATACACCAAATCTAAATTCCTTCCATGTACGTAAGTCGTAAACTATATAACTTTGCATATGCACAGGTGAGTTGGTAATCTACCTTATTAGCTTCGTGGACTTGAGCAGATCCAAGAACTTTTTCCTTCGGAGGAGAATCTGAAGAGGATGTTTTCAAAAGAACCTCCATAATTAGAAATATAAGAAGATATCTGTCTTCTTCTTATTGTTTGAATTTTGTTTTGCTTTGGTTGTCTGTTTCTTAGATATTTGATGAAACCCTTTACTTATAGCCATTTGTTTGTAGTTTCTTCGAGGGGACCCAAAGCGTCAACACTTCAACATGTTCAATTTTAAATATTATTTTTGTATATTAAATTCCGGTACCTTTTCCTCCAATCATATCTGTGTTATATATTTTAAAATAACAATCGAAAAATAAATAATTATTTCCTGACTTTGTTGTTAATAACACTACTTCTCCGTATAAGTAGGGACACTAAAACAAATTGCAACTAGTACACTGAAAACAAATGATGGAATTGTTGTAAGCGAATTAGCTATGTTTTTAAAAAATTTAAAAATTGAAATAAGCGATTTAGTAATATAATCTTATTATAAGTGTAAATGGAAATTGATCATGATTTTCACAGAATATGTAAACTCCTTCTTATTAATTGAACCAAGTGTAGTTAAAGTCTATAGAGATCTTGGTTATTTAACTAGAGTGTTATTTAAATGTCCAAATGCAATAAATGAAACTAATACTTATAAGAAAGAGCCCATATGTACGGCGTAAATTAGAGATTGTATAATGTGAAGGGAGATATCCTTGAAGCTTCATGGGAGAAGACTTCTTCTATAGCTTGGCCTCACATCACATGAGCATTCGTCAACTCTTTAAATCTGATATTATTATTTTAGTAGTGCTCCATCATCAAACACATGTTTTATATTCCAAATATAGATAAATTTATACATTCATCGACATACCATTAAATGCATTCAGTTTATCTAAATGTACATAAATCATTATTTCAGATTAATACTACACATAGCTTTTATATATGTTCTACCATTTTAGACAAAAAAAATGTTATATATATCATTGTTTCCATTATCTTTTTTACTTGGTGTTTCTAACACTTTAATCTGTATTTTTTGCTCACAGTATTTCCACAAAAGGTTAATCGTGTATCTCAAAACGAGTTTGAAATGAGTATTTTAGATGAATTAGCCTGATTCAATCATAGTTGAACATTAGTTCTTAGCACAAATTAAAAATAGTTGAACAATTAGTCAAATTAAAAAACAAATCTTAAAGTCAAATCATGTAACAAGAGTAAGGAAAAAACCTATTTGGCAGAATATTGCTGTTGTTATATATGTAAACCTTGTTCATATGGTAGACCAAAGGGTGCGTATACCGGTCAATACGCAGGTCACACACGGTAATTCTATGATTTGTCAACTATTGACTTTGTTAATAAAAAAAACTAATCACTTTTTTTTTAATTTTCCGAAGTTATTTTCATATTCGTGTTACATCTAATTTCATTTTATAACCAACATACAAATGTCAAATGGTTCACATAGTTGTCATTTGTCAAGTTTCGTCAGTGACGTAACGCTGCATGGCGTTGAAAAAATGCGCATTAGTTATTTGTATTGTTCTTTTAAAAAGGTTATAAATATACCAACGAAATATGTTTTACTATAAGCTTGTTAATTACACATAGCTTGAGTTTACCGGTACAACACAAGTATCAGCGACATTAAACATGACACGTACATATTAATTAGCTAGCTATTTTTCTTAGTAATTTATAAGCTAGCTAATCGTCGTATTTCCTGTCTCCAATTCGTCAAACAAGAGTACCAGACAATAGTGGTCTCTAGATTAGTTATTTCAAATCAATAAATATTGTACGTTTTTTTCTTTGTGGTACCGTACGTAACTACATAACTATTTTAATAAATTTATTTCGTTAACATGATTTTGTGGTATCTCAGTTACATATATGCCAAGTTGAATCTTGGATACTAATTTGGTATCGATACAAGCTTCCAATTTCTTTTTTTTGTTAAAGGGTCTAAGCTTCCAATTTCTTTTCTTATGGGGATCTGAACTCCCACATTTACTATATTTTTATCGCTTTAAAAACTTGGTAAACATTTTGATAAACTCAACTTACATCATCCATTTGTTTTTCATATTTCTAGAAATTTATTTAATAGTAAACAAAAGACTTCTAAATGTGTACAGTTCATTATATGGTTAAGTAAACAATCGTGGTCGCAATGTGGTTATTGTATAATGGACTAGTTAAACAGCTAGCTCAGTTAGCAATAATGAGATATTAATAGCGCAGTCAAAAAGAATAATGAGATAATAATAATGTATTACACATTTACACTAGCACGTCCCCATACGATGATCATCTATTCATCTCCACTAACAAGAGTAAAACTAATCAGAAATTACTAATTACATGTAAACTTTGAAGCTTTCTCTAAATTCGTTGATGTAATTTTAATTCCCACGGGACACACAATTTCAGTTTCATTTTTAATGGTGGTGGTGAAATTTAAATAGTTTGATGTGGAATAAATAGATGGCTTACTCATGACTCATCCATAATAAGACAAAGGAAGATTTATCAAGCCATTTGGTCTTATTTAGACAATAAAAAGTCTTTCGTCAACTACATTAATTATTTTTCTTATAACTAGCGATAAGTTTGTTTATTCAGTTCCAGTTTGATTTGTTATTTACACAATACTATAGATAAATAAATAATTAAATCAACGGTTTGCTAAATTTGCAAGAAAAGAAGATTTTTTTTTTTTTTTTTCAGAATGAGTGAATGAAAGGGTCAACTATAACATGTCTCAGCGACTTTTACATAAACAGATCAGCGATCTTAATTGACCCGAACTTTGTTAGTTTTTTTTTTTTAAATTACGGTTTACAAATTTACATAGTTTACTTTTATTTAAAAAAACTTATATATAAACGATATGCTGAAATAGTATTGAATTCAAGTTATTACACTTCTTTATACTTCATACGGTTTAAAATATGTCATAAAAAATAGAAGTATTTTGTGTAATTAATTAAAGTAAAAATATATATGAACACAAACAAAAATTGGAAAATATATAAAAAGGTATAAGTTTTGAGATTTAAACCGTACTAGAAAAGATTCGAGTTTTGCTTTAAGGTAAATATAGTCTACAAATAGTTTTGATATGATCAAATTCCAAACGTTTCTAAATACGTCCAGCGTTACGAATATATTGTTGTTACTTGTTAGTATAAAATGTTGTTAGTTTGCATAGTGACGAAGAGTTCGAATATTTGCTCGTCTTTAATACAAAACACAAGAATATACTCATAAACTTAAGCACTTGTTATTTTCTGCTCAGCAACTTGCGAATAGATTTTCTAGTTTCTACTATAGTGACCTAAGGTCAATGGTTTGGATTTAGACATTGAAATTAAACAGTTAAAGAAAGATTTTGTAAGTTTTGAAGACAACTTGGAGATTCTCTATTGAAATTTAGGTCAATGGTTTTAGATTGGTCATTGAATGAATGGTTATTTTATTATTATGTGTTTTTTATTGTTGGGTTGAAGAGCTCCCATCTCTATGCATTATCCAAGAGATTTGAATTCAAATTTAAACAATTTAAAATCCATAGAAAACATTGATTAAGTTGAAGGAATCATAGTACATGTCAACGAACAGCTAGTCAGCTACTAGTACCACATAATTATTCTTCTCCGTGGAAATTGAGCATATCGGCCGGTTAAATTCATTTTTTTTAATACCAACTATCCGGTTAACTGTTATAGAGCGGTATATATTTGACTAGTTTGTAAAATACAAATTGCTAGACCATCTTGTACAACAAAAACAAATTATCAAACCCAATTCAAAGTCGATTTTATTTTGTTTACTACTGGAAAAAACTTGAACAGAGACCAAAGTTTTAGACCCCAAAAAACAGGTAAGATCTTTCTTTTTTTTCTTGTTTCCACTTTCCTATTTTATGTACAAAGAAGAATTTAAAATAGGAAACCAAACAACAACAAAAAGCCAACACGAAATCTGAAGTGGATAAAAAAAAAGCCCTCAATCCTCAACCTTTGGGCCTCTGTATAACGCTCCAACTACATTAAGGTCCTCTGGATTATCATCTCTTTCTTGCAGCCATGCATGATGACCTTTCCTCTCCTCTTCACCTCTCAAAACGTCGTCGTCCTCTGAAAAAACAACGTAGACTTTTAATCTATCTGTCCAACTGCAAGCAACAAATGTAAAAGACTTATCATCATCATATCATCACTAGTAAGTCTGAAAGCTGACCTGGTGAGAATTTGTCGAGAGGGAAGTCAAGGAAGTAAGTGCAATGCCTGCCTTCTGGATTGCAGTAAGGAGGACCAAGCACGTCTAGCACCGCGCAGGCTGTTTTTGCTGTGAACCGATGCATGTTCCCGCCATCTTCTGGATACAAAATCGAGGCGTTGCATGGTGCGGTTAACGTCGAGTCCATCTTCAACTTTGCCAGCCGAGTTTTCGGATCTCTCACTGTGATTGAGTTTAACACAAAGCGGTTTCAGTTTACACAACACTTACCAAGAAGGTCTAAAACAGAGACTATTAATGCATTGATTGGAAGGTAACAGATCAATAACCGAAAAAGAATACTTTACTGCAGATTTTACTTTGGTTCACTAAAATCACATAATAACCGAGACAAAACGTCACTTTGCAGAACTAGTTTGATTGCCAATTGATTTAAGTTGAAAGCCCATGAAACTAAACAACTTAGATATGATGGTCCAAATTTGGTATGTTACCGGTCCTACAACAAGATTTGGTTCGAGCTGGGCCACACAAGCCATCATCCCAAAAGGGCACTAGCCTATAATCTTATTGCTAATTTGGGATTGGATCTCCCTCCGACTTAAGAAGTTAAAAGTGGCTTCTTTTTTTTCATTTCTGTCACAATACACATTCGAATATCTAATGAACCCTACTAAGCTAAACAGAGACTAACTGCAACGCAAACCAGCAAGTTTCAAGAGCTTTTAAGTTTTCTTGGGATGAAAGTAAGCTTACTTGGAGCATCAACCACCCAATCATACGACTTGATGTGCATCGTACCGAAGAGAAGCTTACTAAATACAGTCATCTCTGGATGGTTATGAAGAGGAATGACACCAGATGGCGGCAAACAGAAAATCCCAATCTGCCGTAAAACCCTAACCATGATTACTTATTCCACAAGAAATAAACAATACAATTACATAAGTGAGAGTGGGAAGTGAACTTACCGAGAATTGATCACACTGGTGTAGATGCAGATACGTTATTGGTGGCGAAGACAGATTCTCTGGTACGGCGTTTGGTTGGAAGTACGGCATGGTCGGAGTTAATCCGACATCCTCTGGTTTCATAATGTCTATATTTACATAAAATCAATCAAAATCAATACTTTATGTAAATCCCGAATCAGAAACGCAAAAAAAGATTTGAATCAAAATGAATACCAAGAATCTCCTGTAGCTGTTGGATTTTATCTTCAGACGGAACAACTCCAGGACCGCCATTGGAGAAGACTTCCTTGCAGGTATTAAAAAGCCGCCGCACGGCCGTTGTCTCATCCGCCGGAGAATCAGTCTTTTTCCGTCGCCACGCCATCACCGTCTTCTTATTCTTCCTCTTCATCTTATTCTTATTATTAGGCGAATTAACAGAACTGGGATTATTAGGGTTGTTCTTAGCTTTACATTGATTCTTACTCGACATGAATTCCAAAACGTCTTTCTCTGGTTTCATCTCAAACCCCATGAATCTCACAAAACCCACCAACCAAAAACGGCAAAAACAGAGACTTTGTCACGAAATCAAAAACTGAATCTGGAAATGGATTAGGAAGAGAGAATGAGATATTAAAACGAACAGGGAGAGAAAAAAAAGAAAAGGAAGGAGAAGAGAAGAGAAGAGAAGATAGAGATACCATTATGGATACAAAACCAGGGGCCATTCTTTTTCTTACTATGGGCTGTGTTTTTTTCAAACAGCGGATTCTTAATTTTATCCGTTTCGGTCTTCGCAAAGGGGCAATTATGTAAACATACACACAGATAGCTGCCTGCTCTGTTTCCTCGGTTTACTATAACCCGGTTATCGTAAACCGGACAGTTTAGCTTTATTATAATTTTATAATCCACTATCCATGTTTTTATCACATTTTCATCCAAAAATGAATTTACTGAAATACAGAATGCAAACGTAGTACAAGAATCAGCTACTTTCGCTCACTCTTTATATACAGCTTTACAAATACATTTTTACAAATTTAAAACTTTTTTTTCATTTTCACCACTTAATTATATATTTCCTGAACTAGATAGAAGCAAAAAATCAAAAATGTTGGAAAAAATTGTCTTTAATTAAGACACATAGCGAGTAAGTTAATTACAAGAAAATGTTCTAACAGCGTCTTCCGACTCTGCAATCAAGTGCTCCGGCGTATTTGGTCAGCTTAGAAACCGCCGATCCATGCTTCGGCCTGATCATCTGTTGCCTCGTGTGATCACATTTGTAATGAGGATTCCCAGATTGTCTGAAATAAGCTCCGTTCATAAATATATCTTTGTCAGATCTCCAGTTCCAGTGTTTCCACTCGTGTTCCGGTGCATAATCTCTCTTTGTCACCTACATCCATTATTTTTGCATAATAATAAGTTTACACAACCTTATAGCCATAATTAATGTATAACATTTTTTTTTAGTTACCTCTCTGTAATGAGGTTTGTGTGGTGGAGCTATGAATCGGTTTCCATGGCTGAGAATCGTCGGTCCCTGACTACCTCCGATCGCGTAAAGCTCCCAGTGAGTGTAGTCATTGTTCACAACGTGAACAAATCCCCATCGGATTCTTGGCATTCTCTGAACAAGTCCTTTACCAAAATGGTTATAAGCCACTGTGACTTGCATCTTCTTATCAGCTTCATTAGTGTTTTGTGCACCAAGTAACATAACCTACACCAAACAAAGAAAAATCCCCAAAAAAAAAAACAAGTCTGAATTATAATTTGATCAGAAGATAGAATAATCTGAGCTGATATGGATAAGTTTGAATGCTCACATCGTTGTGGTGAGTGAAGTGAGAGTTGGAGATTGTAATGCCAGTGGATCCAACAATGGCGTCAATGAGTCCATCTTGACATTTCGACATTGAAATATGGTCGAGCCAAATGTCGGACGAACCAAAGATCGATATACCGTCTCCATCGGCTCTACCTCTAAATCCAAAATGGTGAACCGAGTCTCGGATCATACCACCGCTACCCTCGGAAATGTGGTGGATGTGGAGTCCATGGATGATGATGTTTCTCACAAACTGCATCGTGATCCCTGCGCCATGTGCGATGTGGACATTAGATCCACGCGCGTCGATCGTCTTGTCGCTAGCAATCAGAAGCTCTTGTTTCAAACGAATGCTCATATCGTTCTTGAAAATGATCCATAGATGTTCCTTCTGAATCACGGCATGACGCAATGTCCCTGGTTTAGGGTTTATCATGTCCTCGTCGAGGTTGCTTGTAACCACGTAGATGCGTCCGCGTTTTCCTCCTGTCGTCCTGTGTCCGAATCCACGGACGCACTTGGCAAGCTTCTTACGACGGTTTGCCCAATCCGTACGGCAACGCCAACATTTGTCTATCGGGTTGCTTGCGGTACACGGTCCCTTGAGCTTACTCCATTTTCCTCGGCCTCTACCTCTTAGGCTCCGTCTCGTGTTGTTTGTAGAGCTTCCGACCATTTCAATGACCTCATTCTCCGCCTCTTCAGGCTTAGAGACGTCATCGTCATCATGCTTACGGACGTCATCGTCATCATCTGGCTTATCGACGCCATCTTCCTCATGCTTTGCGATGTCATCTTCCTCATGCTTTGCAATGTCATCTTCCTCATGCTTAGCGATGTCATCTTCCTCATGCTTAGCGACGCCATCTTCCTCAGGCTTAGCGACGCCATCTTCCCCGATCGTGATAACATCAGTAGAGTTGCTATATATAATAAACACCAAATTAATCAAATCAAGAGTCAAACATTAAGTCATGTTTTCATTTGGTTCAAACTCAGATATAAAGTTGACTTACTCGTAGTGACGTTCGTGAAAGTGATCGACGATTTCGTAAGGATCAGGATGATAAGCTTGAAGAGTGAATTCTCGGGCTTCGTCGGCTCGTTGCGACCAATACTCGTCCAACTCAGATAAATTGGCTCGTGTGGTCGGAATCAGACCGGCAATACAAAATATGAACATCAACTTTAGCAGCCTAGCCATCTCCATCTTTTCAAAAATGTTGTAATTCTATCTCTTTTCCCCCTCTCTAAAAACTTTTTTTCTTCTACTAAAATATACAAATCTATTATTTTTCCTCGTTTGCGTAAGGAATTAAGATTTAAATGGAGAATTACTAAGCTTTCCACATGGCTTTAGGTCGTTTTTGTTAGTGTTTTTTTCTTTGGAAGCCTAAAGCCTTTCGATGATGAATCGTACTGCGAATTTTTAGAAACGTAGAGGGTTGGTGTTTAAATAAACTTGATTAAGAAGTAATCTTCTATTTTAGAAACTTACCGCTAAGGATGGGGAGCCGTCATTGTTTATATGTGGACAATGTCTATGTTTTTATTTTTAAAGTTATTATTTTTAGCAACCATTTTATTTCTTTGTTTAGATTTAATTTGGGATAAAAATAGAATTATACAAGTTTTTTTGAATGATAACATAATTTTGATATGCTTTTCATTTATGTTAATTGAGACTATTATACATCTTTTACTATAGGATTAATACTGATTTTACATACAAATAAAAATGGTTTTACTTTATGTCCCCGTAAAAGTAAGAGAGAAAAAAAACGTATAGTTCGAGTCTAAATAATATTGTTAAAAAATTGTAACAAATTTCAAAAACAAAATACAATTGATTTCAACTTCTTAATTAGTGTTTCTAACATTCTTTGAATAAAATTATTTTTGGTACCACTTTAATAGAGTACTTGATGAGGCTTTAGATTCGTTTTCACAGACAAAATTAGCTTTCAAATGTTCCAAGTTTATCGGTTCAACCGAAAATGGTAAGCATTTGCTTCCTTCTTGTAAGAAGCAAACTTAAAAGAAAGAGACGATTTCCTATTTTTAGCAAAAAAGAGAAGATATTTCTGTAAATATGTTTATTAAGAAAAAAGTTTATTTCTCAATATTCAAAACAATTTTAGAAACAAACGAACATTATGCTTCATGATTACTTCCGTGCCAATTCATTTCTTTATTCTTTTGGTTTTATTCTCATATGTTATGCCTATGTGTATATATCTATATATAATATTAGCATATATAAGAATTATTATCATCGATGTTAACATATTTGGATGCTGCCTTGTATATCTTATTTGACTAGAATATAATGGTCGTAAAACATACATAGGCTACGATACGATTTGGTCATTATATTATACTGCTTTGAATATTTAACAGGGGCAGTTTGTATAATGAAAAAAAAAAAATAAAAAAAATTGAAGTATCTAGCTAAGGTAAGAAAAAATCAAAGGCTATAGAACTAAAGTTCTGTTGGAGCATATTTAGCTCTTCTTTGTTCATGCAAAAGACAAATTAAGCAGCCTTCTCTTTTTATCTTTAGTTCGTTTTTTTTTTCTTTTCGCATTACTGTTAATGTGGTGAGAAGAAAATGCCAATTTTTAAAAACAAAATGAAAACTGCAGTAATTAGTTATTCACCCAACTATAAAATAGTTCTAATTAAAGGGCAAGAATTGTTCTTCAACAACTTAAACCCTGAGTTTAGTTCGTTTCCAGCATACCCTGACTCGAATCCACTCATCATTTTTTATTTTTCCATCGAAACAAAATTCCATTGTGGAATCAATAACCTTGAAATTCAAGAGTTGTACGTACGTTTGAACAAAAGAAAGAAAAAGCCATCGGCTTTTCCCATATATATGCCATAAGATCGAACAGTCTCTTCCCATTAAATCTGTGTCTTCGATTTTCTTTCAGATCTTTCATTGTTTGTTTTTTGGGTTTTATTGTCTGAAATTGTTTAATTTCAGACAATAAAAACCAAAGGAAAAATGATCTCTTGGCTTGATGTCTACCATGTTGTTTCAGCAACAGTTCCTCTTTATGTTTCAATGATCTTAGGTTACCTCTCTGCAAAACATCTAAAGATCTTCTCACCTGAACAATGCGCAGGCATCAACAAATTCGTCGCTAAATTATCCATCCCTTTGCTTTCTTTCCAAGTAATCTCCCAAAACGACCCTTTTAAGATGAGCCCTAGGCTCATTTTCGCTGATATTCTCCAGAAGGTCTTAGCTGTTGTTGTATTAGCCGGCGTTTTGAGATTATGGCATCCAACAGGAGGAAGAGGAGGAAAACTGGGTTTGATCATAACCGGGTTATCTGTAACCGTGTTTCCAAACACACTCATTATTGGAATCCCAATCCTGAGTGCCATCGATGGAAATGAAGCTGTGAACTACTTGGTGCAGATTGTTGTGTTGCAGAGCATAATTTGGTACAACATCTTGCTATTCTTATTCGAGATTAATGCCGCGAGGGAGAAAACAGCTTCCATTGAACAACATAGAGGTAAGTAGTTGTTTTTCTTTTTTTTTTAAATAAAGAACTTTCCTTGTTAACGTAACATTTACCCTAATTAATATATGGGTTCTTGTAAAACAAGGCAATGGCAATGAAGACAATGAAGAAGCTCCAAAAGACGAAGAAGTAGCAATAGCGAGAACAAGATCTTCTGGAACTTGGAAGATTTTAATGAAGGCTGTGAGAAAGTTTTTAGCCAATCCTAATACGTACGCAACATTGGCCGGAATAATCTGGGCTATTTTACATTTCAGGTATAAAGAGAAAGAATAATTAGTGTATATATATATTCTCAAACAATAATCTTTGGTAATTCATGTTAACATCTAAAGTTTCGATCTTTATCATCTCAAATACCTAAACATTTATTCTTCTTTCTTTCAAAAAGAAAAGCGATAATTTAGTAGCGCTTCTCCTATTTAAAGATTTATTTTTTCTTTTGAAAAAGGCTATTTTAAGATTTCTGTTTAAACATTTCACGCATCTACAAATTCAACCTTTAAAATGTCGAAATGTGATAATCTAGCGATAATTCACTTATTAGTAGTTGCTATAATTTTTGTCACGTGTTTTTTTTCCCCAACAGATTGGGATGGAAACTGCCTGAGATGGTCGATAAATCAATACATTTGCTATCTGATGGAGGCTTAGGAATGGCCATGTTCAGCATGGGTACGTAAGCTATATATATAAAAGAGTATAAACTTCATAATTGGAAATTTTAAATCAAACAAATTATAAATGAAAACAGGTCTTTTCATGGCGTCACAAAGTAGTATCATAGCATGTGGAACAAAATTGGCGATTATAACAACAATCCTCAAGTTTATATTAGGACCTGCTCTTATGATTGCTGCTTCATTTTGCATCAGATTACGAAGTACTCTTTTCAGAGTCGCAATATTACAGGTACCAAAAAATAAACATATCCATTAGTAAGATTATTTTTAATTCGTGGAAAAGATTAAAACCAATTAGTTATTGTGTTGCAGGCTGCACTGCCTCAAGGAATCGTGCCATTTGTTTTTGCAAAAGAGTATAATGTTTATCCGGAGATCATTAGTACGGGGTAAGATTGTTATTTGAATCTCTTTTCTCTTTTTTTTATTCTTGAAGTTTAATTTTGTGGTTTATAATGGTATGCTTTTTTTTCTTTCTTTTCAGGGTGATCATTGGAATGATAATTTCGTTACCAATAATTTTGGCATATTATTTTGTATTGGACCTGTGAAAATGACATGTTACATTTGTGTATATTTAAGAGCTTTCTTTTAGTAGACAGATTGGATTTTTATCATATTTTAGTCAGTGATTAGGGGTGTCAAAATGGATAACCCAACCCATCCAACCCATTATCCAAGTGGATTTAGTGCTAATGGATCATGGATTAATCCAATCCATTTAGGAAATGGGTTGGTTTGATCCATTATCCATTTAATTAGATGGTTTTAATGGGTTAATGGATGAATGGGTTAATGGATGATCCACAAACAAATATAACTAAAAATTTATATATATTAAAATAAAGATAACTAAACAAAATCTATAAACATCACAAAAATCTATAACCCATTAAATCTGTAAAATCGTAAAATCATGTCTTTCCGCCAAAATCGTAAATCACATCTTTCCGCCGAAACCGTAAAATCGCAAAACACGATTTTTCATCAAAACCGTAGAACCACGTTTCCGTCAAAAACATAAACTCACTGTTTTTTGCAACGTAAAATTGTGATTTATGCACAAAACAGTAAAATCACGTCTTTCTCCCTAAACTGTAAAATCACGTTTTTCAACCAAAACCGTAAAAATCAGTTTTTCCATCAAAACATAAAATCACAACTTTCCCCAAAAACCATGTTTTGCGGTTATGGCGGAAAACCTTGATTTTGCGGTTTTGATAGAAAACCGTGATTTTGCGGTTTTGGCGGGAAACCGTGATTTTGCGGTTTTGGCGGGAAACCCGTGATTTTGCGGTTTTGGCGGGAAACTGATTTTGCGGTTTTGGCGGGAAACCGTGATTTTGCGGTTTTGGCGGGAAACATGATTTTGCAATTTTGGCGGGAAACCGTGATTTTGCGATTTTGGCGGGAAACGTGATTTTGCGATTTTGGCGGGAAACTCGTGATTTTGCGGTTTTGGCGGGAAACATGTGATTTTGCGATTTTGGCGGGAAACTCGTGATTTTGCGATTTTGGCGGGAAACTCGTGATTTTGCGATTTTGGCGGGAAACCGTGATTTTGCGATTTTGGCGGGAAACTCGTGATTTTGCGGTTTTGGCGGGAAACTCGTGATTTTGCGGTTTTGGCGGGAAACTCGTGATTTTGCGGTTTTGGTGGGAAAATCGGTTTTGGCGGAAAACTGTGATTTTGCGATTTATACCAAAATTGTAAAATCGTTTTTTTTGTCAAATTTGTAAGATCATTCTTTTATGGTATTGTATTCAAATCCAACCAAATACAATTTTGGATTTATTATGTGGGAAAAAACATTTGATGTATAATTGTTTTTTTTTTTTTAATAAAGTGGGTTAACCATTGATCCAACCCATTATAAACCAAACCATTTCAATCCAATCCAATTAATCCATCACCCATGTGAACCATTAACCCATTTGGATCCAAATTTTTAATCCATTTGGATTAATGGATAAGATGGATTGGGTCAACCCATGGATTTGGATCCATTTTGACACCCTTAAGTGTGATTTTCTAGATGATGAGTTTTCTATAAAGCTAATGACCTAATGTCAACCATTCTCTCTGTTTAGTTTAAATAATTTTCTCCTGATATTAAATGTAAATCTATGAGAGAAATTCTTCTAAGCTAATTAATAGATGAGAAATCTAGAAGTAAAATCTAAAAGAACAACATTTTTAGTAAGATAATAGCACACTAATAAATATTAATAATCTCTAAACCAAAACAGTGATCTAAAAGAATATTAGAGAAAATATATCAACTCAAACCAACAACAATTTTGACAATAATTAAAAAAAAAATGAAACTTTGGAGAGGAAGCAAAATATATTACAAAACGCCGACTGCGTGCCACGCATTGTAAAACTGGAAAAGCCAAATAAAAAAAAAGGAAAAAAAGAAAAATTCCTTGGTGAGTGGGGAATAAATAAATCAACGGTTGTAAAAGAAGGGAAAACCTACACAAGTAATATTGATCCAACGGCTGAGAAGTTTTTGCTTGATAAGCGGAAAAAAAACAAGTAGGGTTTTCTTGTTTCTTCTTCCCCTTTATATATTCACACACACACTCACCACAAAATCCAATTACTCTTTCTTCTCTGCTCTTCGACTTATCGGATTCTTCAAAACCTCAAAACTTTTCTTCACCGGAATCAATCAATCATGGGTAAAGGTCCAGGACTCTACACCGGAATCGGGAAAAATGTCAGAGGTACTAATTCGATCCCCTTCTCTCTCTGCGAGGTGAATGTGACTGTGCTTGAGATTTCGTGGTTCTCGTATTCGAAATTAGTGCTGGTTTGGGGTTTCTGATCTAGGTTTTTGCTGAGATTCTCTTAATCTGTTGGGTTTCTCAATCTTCGTCTATTTCATTTTCAATCAGTCGTGCTTAGGTCGTTGAATTAGTCTCCGTGTTTGTGAGCTGGTGAGCTGATTGATTGATAGTCTCTGTGCCGTTTCCGTCGATTTATGCTATCTGTTTCGTTTACTTGATTAGATAGTGAGAGTTAGCTCGATTGATAATGTCTTGGTCACTCGGTTCTATAGCTGTATATGAAAATTCATCTTGGATCTGGAAAATGTTGTCGATGTCTCATGTTTAGCTCCTATAACCATTTGAGTCTCTGTTTAACGAGATTTTGTTGCTAATGTTGCTATCCTTTGCTTCGATTTATAGATCTTCTGTACAAGGACTACCAAGGAGACCAGAAATTCAGTGTCACTACATACTCTGCGAACGGTGTTGTGAGTTTCCTATCCGTTAATCTTTTTGGAACACTTATAGCATTCAAAGATTGAAACTTGCAAAACTTAAAGTTCATTCTGTGTGTTGATTGATTTCTAGGCAATCACTACAACAGGAACAAACAAGGGAGACGTGTTCTTGGGTGATGTAGCTACCCAAGTGAAGAACAATAAATTCACTGCTGATATCAAAGTTTCCACCGATTCGTCTGTAAGCACTTAACTTCCCCTATAATCATGCCTTACAAGGCCTTTACTTTAGCATGTTGATTGCTGCTAGAGAATTCACTTTGACATTTTTTTGCTGTGTGTAAATATTTTGCAGCTTCTGACCACTATTACCTTTGATGAGCCTGCCCCTGGTGTCAAGGCAATCATTAGCGCCAAGGTGCCTGACCAGAAATCTGGCAAGGTACTTAAATCATCTTCCAAGTGTCTGTCTTGTTTTAAAATAGTTTCTTATGTTTGTTGAATCTGTATAATTAAACAACAATGTGCTCTCTTTGTAAACAGATTGAGCTACAGTACTTGCATGAGTACGCTGGTATCTCCACCAGCATGGGACTTACATCTAGCCCCATTGTCAACTTCTCTGGTGTGGTTGGAACCGGAGGCGTGGCTATAGGTACCGACGTTGCCTTCAACACGGAATCCGGCGACTTCAAACACTTCAACGCTGGTTTGAGCCTCACCAAGGACGATTTGATCGCTTCTCTCACCCTGTAAGTACCTCCATTATCAAATCAAACCTCATTACAAAATGCTCTGCTTAATTCACTGGCTGATCTTTTTGAATTTTCTTGATTTTGTTTGTAAAGGAATGACAAAGGAGAGAAACTGAATGCTTCCTACTACCACATTGTGAACCCATTGAGCAACACTGTGGTTGGAGCAGAGGTTAACCACAACTTCTCGACCAAAGAGAACACCATCACCGTGGGGACTCAGCACGCTCTTGACCCGTTGACGACAGTGAAGGGACGTATCAACAATGCTGGTGTAGCCAACGCTCTGATCCAACACGAGTGGCGTCCAAAGTCGTTCTTCACTGTTTCTGGACAGGTCGACACTAAGGCGATTGAGAAGAGCGCCAAGGTTGGGATTGCTCTTGCTCTCAAGCCTTGAGAAGAAGATAACCAAACTGGGCCCTTGATGGGGGTAGCATAGTTATTTTCATTTTCTGTCTTCAAAAATCTTTGAACAATTCTCTTGTCTGGTTTTTGCTTGAGAAATCTTTCATTCGTTGTTTTTTTTCCGGTGTTGGGATTTGTAGAAAATAAGAAAAAAATACTATTGAAAACGTCGTCTTGAAGATGATTTGCCTTTGATGAACCATTTTCCTTGATTGTCTCTTTAATTTCGGCTCTGCTCTACTCGATTTGGTTCTTCAGAGCATATGCTGAGAGATTCTCGCAGGCTCTGTTTTATTATGTTTCATAATTCATCGCAGGAGATATGATTTTGTCCGATTTGCATCAGTCTATTTCTTTGTTTTAAAATTTTTATGCTTTGGCTTCTACTTCTACATAATAGGGACCAAGTTCACTTCAATATTCGAATCTATTAAGAACTATTCTTCCTTTTTTTTTAATTCGAGCCACATGTGCTTCCATATTTTGAAAATAATTTTGTCAGCGACTTTTCATTTATGTTTGTCGTTGAAAATTAATTAGTCAGTGAGAATTTACAAGCATACACCTTTGGAAATTTACACCTCTAACAAGACGAACACACGAACATGTATGTAATGTCAAGATCAATCTCTTCTCTTTTTTCATATATACCATATGTCAAAGGAAGAAGCTTTCAGCAATGGAAAGGTCGAGTCGCAGAGAATTTGATCTGTAAAAACAAAATCAGATTTCCATAGAAAACCCACTGGGATTCACCGTTTTTACATCGATCGATTAAAGAGTTACCATAACACCGGTTAAAAATATCTCCTTGCCGCTTAAAAAAACGATAAAAGCTTCAGTCTTTTTAGGCTTTGTCCACGCATAAGCTATGTAGTTGCTCCTTTAGGCTTCGGAGAAGGAATCTGATGTCGATAAGGCGAAGAACCATGTTGACCATGAGGACTAGACAGTGTCCGCAACACAGGTTGTGGCTGCCCGTTTCTTGAACCAAACCCGCTTCCTCCTCCTCCCTGAGATCGACTTGACCCATTCTTCAAACGCTCGGCTTGCATTGTCTGAAAGTAGTAAGAAGAGCTTGCCATGTCTTTGAGGTGAGGAAGTGGCTTAAGCGCTTCGACGACATCACTCATTTTTGGCCTAATCTTGGGGTCACGGCTAAGACATTGTGCAGCTAGCTGAGTCACCTTTTGAGCACCCTTGATTGAGAAATGACCCTCAAGCCTCGGATCAAGTAACCGGTAAAACCTTCTCTTGTCAAGGAGATGCGGTCTTGCCCATTCCACTAAGTTGTGCTCACCGTTTGGCCGGTTTTTGTCCATTGATCTTCGTCCGGTCAGCATTTCGAGCAGAACCACACCGAAGCTATAGACATCGCTCTTTGATGTCAAGTGACCTTCAAGGAGTTCAGTGGGAAGCAAAATCAACAAAGATGTAAACATTAAACAGAAGAAAATGTGATGAAACCAAAGAGGACTCACCAGTCATTACATACTCAGGAGCTGCGTAACCATATGTGCCCATAACTCGAGTAGAAACATGGGTTTTGCCTTCATCAGGAGCATCTTTGGCCAGTCCGAAATCTGATAGCTTTGCATTGTAGTCCTGAAAAATTTGGATTATATACTAAAACTGTTAGAGGCAAAAGGCAAATACAAGATGTTGATGGTAAGGAGTAAAGATACATACAGCATCAAGTAAAATGTTGGACGTTTTGAAATCTCTATAGATAACAGGCTTCAAGGCTTCTTCATGGAGGAAGCTGAGACCTTTAGCAGCACCTAATGCAATCTTCATCCGGATAGACCAAGGAAGAGGCAACGACCCTTTAAAAACATGAAAGCACGGTTATGCAAAGAAAAAAGATTAAACTTTTGAAAAACTGTAAAGTGGTTGTGGGTTTTACATACTTCTGAAAAGGTGATTCTCCAAGCTTCCTCGAGGCATAAACTCGTAAACAAGCAGCCTTTGATCATCTTCGATGCAGTAACCGACGAGCTTGACTAGATTTGGATGGAGAAGGTTACCAAGGAAATTAATCTCAGCCTGCAAATGTCAACAAGCAGGACCAAATTAGAACAGACACTTAATAAGATGGATTGAGGCGATAAAACAGAAGAGGAAGTTGCTTACAAGCCATTCTTTGTGACCTTGAAGTCCATCAGGATTTAAGGTTTTGACTGCTACTGTAAGTCCAGTACCAGGTTTAACAGGAGCAGTTCCGTTTTCTTCGATCCATCCTTTAAAGACACAACCAAAACCTCCTTCTCCGAGAAGACTCTCAGGTCTGAAATTCCTAGTTGCTAGCTTAAGATCATTGAAAGTAAACTTCCTCAGGTTAGAGTAAAGCTTGAGCTCTTCGCTTATCATTGGAGTTGATGAAGAGCTCTCTGCGTTGCTTGTTGTTGTTGTCGAAGAAACTGGACCAACTGGTTGATGATCATTTGATTTCTCATTTGCTGATTTACTTTCCATTGTTGTAGCTAAAGGAAACAAAAAAAATCCCAAATAACTCAGATTTAGGTGAAAAAAAGTCAGAAACAATCAAGTTTAAGTTCAGTTCAATAAATTCTCAAATGGAAACCTTAAATCTCTGTCCCTGAAATTGGTAACAAAGAACCTTAAAAAAGGGTAGATCACAAGCATCACGTGAATATTTGCACAAATTGTCAAATAAAGAACCCTAGATGGGAAACATGTATTACAGTTAGGAAGACAATTATGGAAACAAAACCCACAACAAGATTTTCAATTTTTTTCGATTTCAAAGGAAAGGCCTTTTCTTTAAGAAACCTAAAAAAACAGAGAATTTATATGTACCGGTGCTGGTAGTGGCATAGAGAGAAGAAGAAGAAGCATCAACATCTGATTTTGAAGGTATGCAACCAATCATAAACCTGAATTTGACCCAACACCCATTTGCTTCTCTTTCTTCTTCTTCTTCTTCTTCTTCGACTGCTTTTCTCAATTCTTCACCTTTACTGATATCACCATTGTTTTTCTTCTTATTCCTCGTCTTCATATTCTTCTCACTCTCGCTAGATTTCTTCTCCGATTGACAATTTCCTTTAGCTTTAACAGCATCGGTATCGTCCAAACCCATCTCACCAAACACAGACAAAGACTAAAAACAGACACGGATGAGTTTTTGCTCAGACCACCATCTAGCTCATGTAAGAAAAAAAACCCCAATTAAAAATCCAGGCGAATTAGAGAACGAAAATTCGAGGGTAAAGGGAGTGATTTTGTGATAAAGGAGTGAGATTCACTGGGAATGGATCAAAGCCCAAGTCGCGGAATTTTAGTCAAAAAGAGGAATTGATGTCTGCGAAGATGAGAGATGAGAGAGAGAGAAGATGTGCAGAGGAGTAGACTAGGTAGAGAGAGAGGAACGGGCAAAGAGGAATTATGAGCAAGAAAAGTGAGATTTTTTCACATGTGCTTCAACAGTAACTAAACAGTATTTCGTACCTACATTAAGGGAAAAAATTGCAAAATTAATATATAGTTTAATCACCGATTTTACTGTTGTTAATTAGTGATTTCATAATTGTTAATCTTTTCTCCTTGGTTATACAACTTACAAATCTCCTGGATTTGTGTTGGGTGTGTTTTATTTTTGTCTGGTTGGAACCAATTATCGACGCTTATTATTATTCTTTGGGGGAAATAAAAGGTACGAGAACCAAATTCCATTTCATTTTATATCTTTTTTCTTTTTCGGTATTTGTGATCCAATTGATATCATTTTTGTTCTAGGAATATATACATACATAAAGGCAACGACTAGTAAAAGTTTGAAATTTTCCAATAATGCTGCTAAGCCAACAAAAAAAGAATTGTTTTAGAAACAAAGCAATTAACATGATTGTGATATCTGATAAACGAATTAAAATTCTAGTTTACTCAATTAGAAAATATTCCAAAATTTTTGTCCAAAAAGGACATGGATTAAGAATGTCTCACCCACTTTGTTTGGCTTTTAGCTTTTGCCGTTAGAAGTGGTGGTCTTGTGGAAGGGCCAAAGTTTCACAAGGCGCTCGAGCACGGCGGCGCTTTTGGAAAAGTAACCGGAGAAGCCTGCCGGAATTGACGCTGGAGGGAAATCCTCTGCCGGCATAGCAAATGGACGTATCATCTTCTCCATTGTCTCGAGTGTCAAACAAGAACCAACCTCCTGAAGCCTCTCTGGTCCCATTATCGGAAGTGTGTGTTCCCTGAGCAACGACTCAGCTTCTTCATCCTTCTTCTGTTGTGACACAAAATATACTTAATTAAAAAACACCATCCTTTTGTGTACGGGACAATTCTAGGATTCTGTTTCTAGTTTAAAACTCAAAAGAGAATAGATATTGTGTCTGTCTAGTCTTTTGCTTTTACCTCTAGGGGAGACAAATCTGCGCCACGGCTAAATGTAAGTTCGATTCTGAAGCGTTTCGGGTCTTCCAGAGATACCTGCAGGAAACAAATTAAACGTTTGACGACTTGAAAGCATGAGTGAGACAGAGAAAAGGCTGGGTGAGTTTTAAACCTCAGTGTTCTCAAAGAGTCTTAGGACAATGTAGCTCATGTAATCAAGTTCTTTGGTTTTACAAAGGCGTTCCAATGCGCTTTGGCAAACGAGACTTTCTTCTCCTTGAAGAGATTCGTCGAGGTTACAATACCGTAGAACGTTCACCAGAGAATGAATATGTGATTCCTGTCCAACGAGTTTCATTGCAGAGAGTCATGTATAAATGTATCAGATGCTTGGCATGTAGCAGGAGATCATGAATCTGTTAGAAAGAGAGAGGAAAAAAATGGAAGAAGGAACTCACAGAAGTGAAATAAAGGCGTGTCCTCACATGACGTTCAGGTGTCATTACATTTGCGTACCTAAAAGGAACAAGAGTAAATGAAACTAAGAACATTAATCAGAATTAATGATGCTACTTATAAGAGAGAGTTTTCGCTTACTTTGGATCTAGTCGGTATTTGGTTTCTTTATCATCATCTTCGTCTTTGTTCTCTCCGGTGCTAGGACGTCTCAACTCATCGCTTTTAACGAAAAGTTTTGGCTGACTATATCGATCCTCCTTTCTCGACGAATACAATGACACTGAGACTTGGTCTTGGTTGTTCTTCAATTCAGCAACACTCATGGCCTCTTCTCTGGTATTCCTCAAGTCAATCAAGATTTTACCAAGCAAGCGCCGAGCAATCTTAATTTAGAAGACAGCCACACACACACAAAAAAAAACAATTTGGTTAGCTGTGAGATCATCTGAGAGAACCATGGAGTCGGAAAAATTCCAAGATCGGAACCAACCTTTGAACCGATTTTGAGTTTTTGCTGAGGATTGATCCCATACTCATTTGGGATTACACCATCTGCAAGCAGCTGCAACCACATAGCACATAATTGGCCTTAACCAACACACTCCAGATTGTATTGCAAAACAGAGATGTAGGTACAGCTGTTTGAATCTGGAAAACTAGGACGCATGGCTAGTAGTAAAGTAAAATTGTCTCATCAAGACAACTGGAGGATGGTACATTGAGAAATACCATAAATTTTAGATAAGTTGAAGAAAAACTTCAGTTTTTTTATATATTTAGCTCATACCTGAGCAACTTTGAAGAGTTCGTCTAGTCCTTTCAGGTCGAGATGAGAATTATGTAACAGATCATACCTGGTAATGACAACACATTGCAGGATGTTGAGAATGGAACAATTTAAAAGCTAAGATGGATAACATAACGGACTGAAACACATAGCTTACTTGCATGAATCGTAAACATCAGGAATCTGCGTTATGTCAAACCGGCTGCATTTTTAATTCCAACTATCAGTGCCACTCATAGAACCTCATGCAGAAAATCAGGAAGATAACTTGAGAAGATTTGGTAAAAACCCATTTTGGCCATAGAACTTACTCTCTTCTTTCGTTGTAGAGATCCCTTTCGAGTTTTCTCCATCGAGCAAGCATCAAAAGAAATCCTTCACTACCACAAGGTAATCCAGCAGCAATCCGACCAACGTCAATGTTTGACTTGCCAAGGGCCTTTGCTTGATCATAAGGAGGGGCTACATCATAAGCGCTAGGCTCTGTGAGACCCTCGTCTTCATCTTTTGCAAGTAGCCCCACTTGTTCAGTCACCTTTTTAGCTAATTTTACCTATCAGTTTAGAACATATAACAGCTAAGTAAAGTTGAGTATATACTTGTTTCTCTATAGTCGAAACACTTGGCATATCCTTTTTTCAGAGACTACTAGGAAAAAAAGGAAGAAAAAAAACTATAAAATGCAACCGATAATGATGATGTCTTGTAGCATGATAATTCAGATATGAGAGAGAGAGACTAAGTTTTACAGAAAATCTGCGAGTACCAATTCAGGTAGGTGCTCATTGGCATGAGGAGGTAGTCCAGCACCATCAGTCATCCAAGGTAATTCAGAAGAGACGTAATCATTGACCAGTTTTGTGCCGGCGGTTATGAGCTCATTCAATTGAGCCTGCAGGCAAGTTGGGAAAGGAATATAAAGCTGTAAATACTTACACATGATTGTTTCGCAGATGAAATTCTAGTACAATACGTGAAAAAATGAAGTTGTCAATAAAGAGAGGGACAAACCTTGGCCTCTTCCATTTCACTGCTCGCATTATCAAGACCATCCAACATGGAAGAGTCCTTGCTAACCAGAGAAACCTAGAGAAAGAAGATAAGAAATTTAATGATTTTGACATTGGGAAGCACTATACAACATGGGCAAAAGAAAACGACAAACCAGGATTGGGGTCAGCTGTCCTTCTAGGTCAAGCAGGCCTTTAGCAAAAGCAGCTGCAGACATCTGCAAGCAGAGTCAACTATTCATATTTTGATCTGGAAGGCAACCGTTGAAGAATATACAGAAGATTCCAAGTTTATATTTGAATGCTCTATGCCTCTATGGTTATTTCTAAATCGGTATAAAGTTGTACCTGAACACGTCCCTCGTCAGAACTGTAAATTTTAAGGTCATGACGGTATGTACTATGGAGACGGAGCAAACCGGTACCTTCACCTGTAAGCATATCCAGTTTTGTTATAAGCCACTCAAATATGTAACATGATTTGATCAACACAAACGAATGGACTGTTTTAGAAAATAGTATGAGACATGGAAAGTAGAACACGAATTGATCAAGGGTGGTCACCTGGATACATATTGTTTCGAAAGTATCTACCAAGTTCTTCTGCCTGTGGAAAAAAATCAAGCAAACATCAACCCCCTCCATTAGCAATACCATTACTTTAAGTTTGCAATGCATATTTATCATCACCTTCTGATACCAAATGACAGTGTTACCTGCTTCCGACCAGCATGAGTTAGAACACCACCATATTTCAGAACCATAAGAGCCTCCACTGGGCGTTCTTCTTCCCCATCACCATCACTTTTTGGTACTTTAACCCATTTCAGCGGCTTTAGTTGAACCTTCCTGTATATGCCAGAGAAATGTCCACCCTGCACGGTTTACACATATATAAAATGAGAATGAGTTTGTGAAAATTCAGTCAAAGATACAGCTGCTACTCTGCTATTCATTACAAGGACTACATTCAATAGAACGACATGAGACTCATAACGGATACAGCTCAGAGAAAAGGAAAGTATATTAGATTATCAAGGTACACAACCTCTTCAAGAACGGCTTTTACTTGACGAAGCTTGTCAGCATGTTCAAGGTCTTCTGCATCACTATCACATTCACCTGGTCTAAACATCAAACAGAAATACAATAAGGTAGTTACCAGATTTCGTATTGCAAGCATATTAGTCAAAACAGAAAAAAAATCAACGGGAACAATCAGAAGGCTACCTTGAACGAGGAATTAACATTCTTGTGGCATCCAATAGATCTTGCAGTTGGACAGCACTTTTAAGTTTCGTCTGCAAATAACGAAAAAATTGCACAGCATAAGAATATCATTGTAGGCAGCAGGACGAAGATGAAAATAGAAAAGCCTGAGCCTCTCACCTCAGCTCTTGGCTTTCCTCCATTGTACTTCAGCATCAGGTTTAGCAGTTTTTCCTCTGTAACCTTTAGCTTCACTTTCTGCTTAGGGGTTCTATCACC